TCCCCTATCAACTCCTGAACTCGCACATGTATACTGTACCAGGTACATGCCTGTGATTCCTGTGGTACGAGCCTAAACACATCAGAAATGTTGATCGCGAGCAAACACAGTCATGAGTCAGCAACGACGTAATATGTTAATGAAATAATGTCAGTTACCTCTTTGTGTTGGCATCAATAAATATGTTGTCTTCAAAGAGTACGTCTGCGACTCAGTTGAACTCACTACACATGGAACACTTTGAAGCAAGAGCACTTGCTACAAGTACATTAAAACCATTTTTTTGGCTTAGAAATGGGGGTGACACTTTGGTTGTCTGACCACATGGTAAAAGATACCCTTAATGCAATTCTAAATCATCTAAATTCACAAAACCCGGCCATCCAGTTCACCATGGAAATGGAGGCGAATAACACACTCCAATTCCTGGATATTTTGCTCGGACGTGGCCTAAATGGTAAAATAAGACACGGCGTTTACCGAAAGGAAACGCACACTGATGCCTATCTAAATGCAATTCGCATCATCACCCTGCACAGAAATCCTCTCTCATCAAGACGCTCAAACATCGGGCTAAAACAGTATCAGATGGTGAAAGTCTGAGGAGAGAGATTAAACATGTTAAAGGAGCGAAACGATTAAATGGCTACAATAATGCTCAAATTAAAGAGCATTGAATCCCAAACCAAGACCGAACAGCAATACTACTGAAAGCGATCAGGTTATTAAAACATGTAAATACCATATATTTCGAGAGTAACTGATAAATTAGCTAGAGTTTGGAAAAACAAAAAATAAAAGTAAGGTTTTGCATGGTACACAAAATTCAAAAACTAGTATCTTGTACCAAAGATGAATTGCCTAAGTTATCAACAGAAGGTGTGTATCGGATTAATTTCTTATGTGGCAGATACGATATTGGACAGATGGGATGTAACTTTAGCGTAAGACTAAAATAACACGAAATAAATATTAAACACTCTCAAACAAAACTGTCGGCAGTTGCAGAACATGCTTGCCAACAAGGACACTCAATTAATTTTGATAACGTGGAAGTGTTGTATAAAACGAATTATTACTGGCCGAGACTAATTCGAGAATCTATTGAAATTTAGAGAAATACAAATAATTTGAACCGCTCCTACAGCTACAGGATTAGTGCGGCCTGGAAGCATACTATTAGGTAATACATCTTACAACTACAATTCCTTACAGAGGAAACACATACTAATTAACTGATTACTAATCTATTATATAATTACAATACTTTCCGCCTCTGATCTCTGCACCTGATGGGTTGAGTGATGACATTGTCCTGCTGCTGCTCGATTTAAGACCGGAAGCAGGTGGATGGCTTCACTATTCTGGCAAATCGCCTGACGATGCTGGATGTAATTAACAGCGAAACGTCGTATTTAAATTGTAAATGTTGTGGATTTACTCTCCAATACACCGGTGGGCTGAAGTAGTAAACTAATTGGCGCGTTGTTTATGTGACAAACCTCAATGACTGTCGGGTGTTGGAGGGTTACGACACATTTATACTTACGCGATCTAGTCCAAAAACCTTTATTATGAAACAGGACCCTGCGGGGTGGGCTGGTAGGAATAATACTTAGTACCGGTACAGGGATATCGACCGGGTATAGAGGAGTTAAAGAAAAAATTACTGTATTCTAGTGTAACGTTAATTAAAAGTGTTTGTTTTGACAAGAAACGCTGTGAGATGTAAAGACCCCCCAACACCACCCTCAACACCACCCCTCCCACCAGCCCTCACCACCCCACCACCCCCCACCACCACCTGCACTAGGCCTCGCGAATCCTGCCGCACTAGGCCTCGCGAAGCCTGCCGCACTAGGCCTCGCGAAGCCTGCCGCACTAGGCCTCGCGCCGAGATTTTCGTGCACAAATAAGGCGATTAAATGTATCTCGTCTCTGTGTTAATAAATGTTTCTTGTCTCTGTGTTAAAAAAACGTGCTGCGTTTCAGTAAAGTATTTTTTTTTAAATAAACGTGCTGCGTTTCATCTTTGTGTTAATAAGCCTGCCGCACTAGGCCTCGCGAAGCCTGCCGCACTAGGCCTCGCGCCGTGCTTTTCGTGCACAAATAAGGCGATTAAATGTATCTCGTCGCTGTGTTAATAAATGTTTCTTGTCTCTGTGTTAAAAAACGTGCTGCGTTTCAGTAAAGTAATTTTTTTTAAAAGCGTGCTGCGTTTCAGTAAAGTAATTTTGAAGCGAAGTTTAAAATTTTGCCGTGATGTGCCGGAAGCGACGGCCATCTTGTTTAATTCACAGATCGCAGGGGGAGCGGGCGGCCATCTTGTCGGACAGGGTCATTCCAAGTGTTTGCAGTAGGGGGCGATGTTGATACACGGACGGACGGACGGACAGTCGGACGGACGGACACATTAATCTATTGGTGGTCTGGTCCACTTCGTTCCTACCAGTAACAGGACCCTGCGGGGTGGGCTGGTAGGAATAATACTAATACCGGTACAGGGATATCGACCGGGTATAGAGGAGTTAAAAAGAAAATGATTTGTGCATGGGGGTTGAGCGATGACGTCCACACCTCCCTCCCCACTGACTCGCGCGCACACAGAGCAATGACGTCAACAGCCCCCTCCCCACTGACTCGCGAGCCCACAGAGCAATGACGTCAACACCCCCCTCCCCACTGACTCGCGAGCCCACAGAGCAATGACGTCAGCACCCCCCTCCCCACTGACTCGCGCGCCCACAGAGCGATGACGTCCACACCCCCCTCCCCACTGACTCGCGCGCCCACAGAGCAAGGATTGCAACAGGCGATGTCATTGGCTGCGCCGGATGCGACGGCCATCTTGTTTAGTTCATTTAGTTCACGGATCGCAGGGGGAGCGGGTGGCCATCTTGTCAGACAGACGGACGGCCTCGCGAAGCCTGTCGCAGTAGGCCTCGCGAAGCCTCCTGCACTAGGCCTCGCGAAGCCTCCTGCAGTAGGCCTCGCGAAGCCTTCTGCACTAGGCCTCGCGAAGCCTTCCCTGCAGTAGGCCTCGCGACGCCTTCTCTGCAGTAGGCCTCGCGAAGCCTTTTCCGCACTAGGCCTCGCGCCGTGCTTTTCGTGCACAAATAAGGCGATTAAATGTATCTCGTCGCTGTGTTAATAAATGTTTCTTGTCTCTGTGTTAAAAAACGTGCTGCGTTTCAGTAAAGTAAATTTGAAGCGAGGTTTATTATTACACTTGTTAAGCCAGGAAAGCCCCACTGAGTCAAAAGGTTTTTGTAGGGTCCTGCCAAGTGTTTGCAGTAGAGGGCGATGTTGCTACACCAAATCGGACGATACGAAGGGAGAGATTGAGGCCTAGTTCTAGGCTTTAAGGCCTAGCTCTAGGCTTTAGGCCGCTGTGAGTTAATTTTTAATTTAAATGTTTTAATTATTTATGTAAAAGCTTTAAATTTAAATGTTTATATTTAAAAACATGAGGGAATGTAACATTGTTAAACATAACTCCCTTTCACACACGCGGGGGTACGATACGAAGGGAGAGTTTCAGGCCTAGTTCTAGGCTTTAGGCCTAGCTGTAGGCTTTAGGGCGCTGTGAGTTTTTTTTTATTTAATTTCAAAGTTTTAATCAAAAGCTATCTCAGGGAATAAGGGAATGTTACACGTGTCATGCCAAGTGTTTGCAGTAGGGGGCGATGTTGCTACCAAGATAGCGTCACTGAGTCTAAAGGTTTTTGTAGGGTCATGCCAAGTGTTTGCAGTAGGGGGCGATGTTGATACACGGACGGACGGACGGACAGTCGGACGGACGGACGGACACATTCATCTATTGGTGGTCTGGTCCACTTCGTTCCTACCAGTATAATGACACAAGTTTAACGTTACAACGTCCACGCAGGGAACTAATGGAACACCTTGACCACTGCAGCGCCGGATTACATCTCAGTCTCGCGGTATTTCACGTTCAATCAATCTACAATTCCTACCGCGAACAGGCGCCACTCACCCGCTACAACGCCAGGCGGCGCTGTGCTACGAGTGCCTTGACAATGTGGACACTAAATTTCGATTTAAACTTTAAAGCTTTCGTGACTGCAGGGATTCATCTTCTTGGTTCTTTCGGTAAAGTCACGTAGAATGGAAATAATAAAATAATAATAATAAAACATAATAAAATAATTCTCACGACGTTTCGGCCACAACGCAAGCAGCCGTCCTCAGGTGAAGAACAGGTCTGTCGATAAGACAGAGTCTGAATGACACGTCCTGGGCTTGGAGCGTCTATTTAAGCTGGGAGGGACACTATTTGGGTCTTTCAGTAGTCACGGAGATAGGTTCACAGAAAATAACAAAAACTTCGACGTTTCGATCGCAAGACGAGCAGTCGTCAGGAAAAAGGGTGACACAAACTGGACACATGCGCGTTACGATCCCACATGGATGATCTTTAACGTCCACTGCGAGTTGAGCAGACGGCGCGCAGTCGTATTATTACGATTGTAGTATTATTAGTGTCGTAGTAGGTAGTATTGCGGTATAGCATTATTTCAATGTCGTATTACGATAGTTGTAGTCGTATTAAGGTATAATATTATTACGGTTGTATTATAGTGTAGTAGTATGACGATACAGTATTATTACGGTAGTAGTAGTATTACGGTGAATACAACAGAAGTATTAATCAGGGCGACCGCCGGAATCCGACCGCGAACCTCCGCAACAACAAGCGGTGACTCGCGTCACCGCCGCTCTCAGGCAGTGTTCGCTGCCACTCATTGAAATATCTATTAGTTTAAAGGGCGTATTGCTGAGGCGTGTTGTTGTTGTTGAGGTGTTGTTGTGTTCTGTGCTTGTGCACCGCAACAGCAGCCAGCGCGGTCGCGTTCGAGCATTTCCCGCCAAAAAACAGACGTGACGAGCGGCCCCGTCAGATTCCCTACAGCGGATAGGCGGACACTCGCCACTTAAGTCACTCTGATTGGCTCTGAGCGCGCGCGCAGCGGAGTAGACGACCAATTGTATCGCGCGTGTGGCAAAGTGCACTAGGGAATCAAGTGTGAGGCCTGCGCACGGAGTAACAAGCGGGGTCGCAATGGGCGAGCGGACGCCGCGCAACCTCCCGTGGTGAGAGCGAGTTAGTTCCCACACGGCAACAACGCGCGTGCATCGTTACAGCATGGCTAGGCTATGCTTCATCATCACTGGTGCTTCATATTTACATCATGCAACTTTATTCACGTGGGGACTTCGGCTTCTTCGACTACGTCTAGGCAGCGTGGAAGAGTAGGCCAAGATAACCTCGAGAGGGCTCCCACTGGCAATGGTGTGAGCGAGTAATTTCAGGACCGCGTCTTTGACTTTTTGTACATTATATTCCATGCACGTTGTTTCATTGGTTAAGATTCGTATTTTATCGGCCTTGCTGAGGAGACTGATGACAAAATACGAATGCCCACAGGCAAATAACATGGGGAAAACATGGTAAAAACATGCCCATGTTAGTCAATGGGCATTCGTGTTTCTGTCATTCGTTTGTCCCCTTGCTGAACTCCAATGTGACTGCGCAATGCGGAGTCGCGTTTAACATAAGAGATCATTGTGCCTCATTTGACTTGAATAAAGTTTCTACAGAAACCACTTCCAAACAACTTTAAATACTTTGGGATTTTGTTTTGTTAACGCTCATGTTTGTGTTGATGTTCAGCTCAGGAACCCTGCGGCTAGGTGGCGCTGTGGGCAACAGTTGCAATTAAAACTCCGACCGTAACCCCTGTGTAGTGGATAACATCTGTGTAGTATTGTCTTGTACTACATTATGAGACATTTACAGCAGTTGCCCTTGTACGAGATTCCCCTCCGTCGTAGGAATGTGGAATTTCCACCACGGGCTCAGTGCTGCCAACAGATGAGCACGATGAGGCACATTGCCATAGAAGAGACCATGCTCTTCTGTTCATTGGGCATGTCGGGGACACGAACTTAAAATGTCAAATTCTTTACGCAACAGCAACTCTTGATTGTTTTCTTTGACAATAAACATGTTCCAGAATAGAAGTATTTGAGTTCGATCACGTAACTATAAATGTGTCGTTAAACCCGCCATCACCCGACACAGCCAATTATTCAGGTTTTTCACGGAAACAAAACATGTCAATTCGTTATTAGTTCAGCATACTGGTGTGTTGGAGAGTAAAAACACAACATTTAAAATTCGAGTACAGTACGACGTTTCGCCAGTATTACAACTAGCATCAGGCAGACAGCCAGAGTTGTGGATAAATTCTGCTTCGGTCTTAAATAGAGGGATAAATGTGATATCGTGACTTGTAATTGTGGGGTTTACTCTCCATCACACTGGTGTGCTGAACTAGTAACGAATAGACATGTTTTGTTTACGTGAAAAGCCTTACTCATTGGCTGTGTCGGGTGGTAGGGAGTTTAACAACACATTTATATTCACGCGATCTAACCCTAAAATTTCTTATTAATAATATTGGTCGCGAAAGTCTATGTGTTAAAATATAATTTTTACCGCACGTTTTGTCTAAAGAGCCACTGTCAGCCACCTTGCAGCAAACGCACCATTCCCATCCACCATGTCTCACTCACTGATCGTGGAAGGGATAATTGTTGTCAACGATTAATATTGTTTCTTAAGGCTCACGATTGATGTACTGTATTCAATCGTAATATATATATTTTTTTAAACAACAGGATTTGAGCCGATTGCCTTTAAATTATGCCCCATTAGCAGCCAACAGCAGCCAGCTATCGGCAATACCATGCTACTAACCAGTAGCAGGCTGTCCGCTTTTTTGTTTTTGGAATCACACTCCACGGGAGAATAATTACTCGGCTCACTAATGATGGGGATTTCTTTAGCATACGTTTCATAACAAAACAACTCAACACATTCGTTATTAACGCTGCCTTAAAAAGACAACAGTATACAGTAATCGGCGGCGTTTAGTGCAGTGGCTCTTCGGCATAGCACAAAGATTGAAAGCAATCAACTTCTAAACCATAGATGTTGGGGACCTAATGTATGCAGTATGTGCCACATTTCAGATGTATGCTTTCTAGAACATCATTAGAATGTGCATCAACCACTCAGCCCAGATTGTCCATATATAATGTATTACTGAAAGAGCCAAAGAGTATGGATTCCTGCAGTCACGAAAGCTTCAAATCAAGATTATAATGTGTTACTTTGGTAACCATGATCATTTAAAACGCTGAACCAGCGTTCCACCCAGCAATTCTTTACTGTCATAATAATGCTGCAGGCTGTACTTGTGAAAAATGGGTGCATTTTATTGCCATGATGTAGTCAGTCGCCTGAAGGTAAATTTTGTAATGTAACTGCTGATATTTATCCTGGAAATAGTGGTGTAATGGTTAACGCACTACACTTTGAACATAACATTTGTGGTGATTGCTACCTAAACCAGTCTGGGAATTATCTCCCCTTCAACCACCTTCACAAGCCACACTAACCATTTTCTCAAACTCTGGTAAAAAAAAAAGTTGCTGCTCCACGTCTCTGGAATACCCTTGCTGCTCATTTCCTTTCCTTACTACCCTATTCAACCAAAACACAGAGCATACTTGCACCTGTACCTAACTTTTTCTGTCACCTCATTTTCAGAGTTTTTTTTTATTGGCATGTGTTTCGTTGATGACCATTAAATGCGTCATTTGTTGTGCAACTTTCCTTCAAGGATCCTGTACTCGTTCTCTGCAATATTTATGCTTTTCCATAATAGGGGTTTTTTGGGTTAAATCACGATCTAACCCAAAAAAAACTTCTCATGATTGATGTTTTTGTTTTGTATTTGTTGTGCTCACGTACCACGGATCTTCTTTGTAAAAGAGCCAGGCAACTAGCTATGAACAGGATAATATGTGTAACACATAAAACAAACTTAAGATGGTTAAGTATGGTCAGACAATCCCATGGACGAAAGGAGCTAGTGTTTTTAGGTCAACATTTCGGACTTCGACTTTATTAAACCATGCTAAACACCAAATTAATGGTATATAAAGAGGACACTTCTATCCACACTGAGAAGCATTGGTGAATTACATTCAAACGATCTCGGTGACCAACATGACATGAGGAGGCCTTCATCCAGCAGTGGATTGACAAAGAACTGTGAATTAATGCTCACTAACTTTCCGGCGTTTGTGTTTGTGTTTTTTTTTGTAAAAGGGTGGAAAAGTATCGACCAAGAGTTCTTGACGAGCTCATCTCACACAAGGATATTCTAACTACGAGTGAGTCACCTCGCAGGAGAAAAAGCCACACAGGGCGGCGATGTTGTGCTACACTCATCACAAACCAACTGTTATCCAACACTGACTCAAGGCTACCAACTGAGATGAGGGCAGCGCCATTGCTTGTTTGAGCAAGAAAACCATTTGACTCTGTTTGGTGATAATTTTGTTCCACTTCTGGTGTGCATGCTTGTATGTGAGCAGTCCAGAAGTTCATCAGTGAGGACCGATTGCCCCACTTGCTGTTCTATGGCCCCCCGGGTACCGGCAAGACGTCCACCATCCTGGCATGCGCACGGCAACTGTACGGAGAGAAAGAGGCTGCCTCAATGGTGCTCGAGGTGCGTACGTCGTCCTCCAGACCTCGTGATGGCATGATGGGCAGTGCGCATTTATGGTCCCCACCTTCACCAATTGACACTGACCGACATGGTGAAGCATGGGGGTGTAGAGGCTCTAGTTCAGTAGTGGTTTGACAAAGGCCTGTACATGTACAATGAATACCATCACCATTTTTACGATTCTAATCTCTTTTTTTTAATCGTCATAACTGTTATGGCTGTCGTACCATGGGAATTTCTACCATCGTGGTCATCATCCCCACCATCATCACTACGATAACCACCACTTACTACTACCACCAATGTCAATAATACTACCAAAATCATCACCGCAGTCATCAATTTAAAGTCATGATACTGACACACAGTGGCCTGCCTCTATGTAAATTATGATGCTGAAGCAAATGGCATTCATGAAGTTGAATGCATGGGGTTGGCATCACATTAACGATGACCAATTTTCCCTTTTTAATTGTTCCAAGCCATTTGAATATCCAGGATGCTCATAATTGTATCATCCATTATTAAAGAATGTAGCAGTTAAAGCTAGGTGAATAAAATTATACTTTGTAAAATTATATTATTTTACTTACCCTCAAGGGAGTAATAATCAGGCTGCAATTTGAGCTAGACCAGTAAATGTTTGCGTCCAATTTTGTAAACAGTGCTATGAGGCATATCCAAGTCCATTTAAGCTTTTTTGATCAACTTGTGGATTATGCTTTATGGCTGCTTTGACACTTTCAACAAATTGTCTAACTGTGGAGGGCCTGCCAACATTTGATTTCAAATCTATATTTTAAAAATTACATTAACATAGCAAATTGCTTGAATCTCAATCCGCTTGACCTGCTGAGGGTCGTGGCGGCAGCATGTTGAGTAGTGGCGGTCCAGACCTCCCTTTCCCTGGCAACGGGCTCTAGGTCTTCCTGAGGAATTTCCAGGGGTTCCCAGGCCTGCCGAGCGACATAGTCCCGCCAGCGTGTCCTGGGCCGGCCCCGGGGTCTTTGCCCAGTGGGCCGTGCCGGTATAGTTCCAGGGAGAATCTACCGGGGGGCATCCTTACCAGATGCCCGAACCACCTCAACTGGCTCCTGTCGATCAGGAGGAGCAGCGGCTTGACTCTGAGGCTCTCCCGGATTACCGAGCTTTTCACCCGATCACAAAGAGTAAGCCCAGCAACCCTGCAGAAAAACCTCATTTCGGCCCCTTGTATCCGCAATATTATCCTTTCCGTCATTACCCAAAGCTCATGACCATTGGCGAGGGTGGGAACGTAGATCAACCTGTAAACCGAAAGCTTTGTTCGAGAACTTAACTTCCACGGAACGGTACAGCGCCCGCATCACTGGACGCCGCACCGATCCCCCGGCTGATCTCCCGCTCGCACTTATGAAAGAGACCCCGAGGCACTTAAACTCCTCCACTAAGGGTAGCTGTTCCCCCCTCACCTGGATAGCACACTCTACCATCTCCCGGGAGTGAAACATGACCTCAGATTTAGAGGTGCTAATCCTCATCTCAGCCGCTTCCCACTCAGCATCAAACCCTTCAAGTGCATGCTGGAGATCACAGGCTGACGAGGCAAAGAGGACAACGTCATCGGCAAAAAGCAGCGACAGCACCTCCATGCCCCCGTACTGGATACTCTCCATACCTTGGCTGCGCCTTGATATCCTGTCCATGAAAATCACAAACAGGAGTGGAGAGAAGACGCAGCCTTGGCGGAGTCCAACACCCACAGTGAATTACTTTGATTTAATACCATACGGACACAACTCTCACTCCGGGAATAGAGGGGCCAGATAGCACACAAAAGCGGTACTGGTACATCATGCTCCCGCAGCACCTCCCACAAGACTTTCCGGGGAACACGGTTATATGGCTTTTCCAAGTCCCATTGACCCCTCCAAAGGCGTCCGATAGTTTGCCAGAACATCTTTGAGGCTGCCCAGTAGTCCATCTCCATGGACTTTTCAAACTCCTCCCACGTGTGGGCTTTCGCTTCAGTGACTGCTACCGCTGCCACCCTCTTGGCAAGCCAGTACCTCTCAATTGAGTCGGCAGACCTTTTTCCGAGCATAGGTCCTAGGGTTGCCACATCAACATCGTCCCCTCGGACTCAATGTCCATAACCTCCCTTGGAGTGTAGGCGAAGTTTTCCCGGAGGTGGAAGTTGAAGTCTTTCTGCACTGGGTCTTCCGCCAGACGTTCCCAGAAAACCCACACTATTCATTTGGGCCTTCCACGTCTATCTGGTCGGTGCCTCAAGCGTCGTATCCAAATTACCACCAGGTGGTCATCATTTGACAGCTCTGCCCCTCTCTTCACCCTAGTGTCCAGAACATGCGGCCTTATGTCCGATGATACAACTATAAAGTCAATCATTGACCTTCGGCCCAAGGAGCTCTGGTACCAAGTATGCTTATGAGCATCCTTGTATTTGAACATGGTGTTTGTTATTGACATTCTGTGACTAGCACAGAATTCCAATAACATCTCACCGTTCGGGTTCAGATAAGGGGGGGGGTTTCCTTCCAATCACGCCTCTTGGTGTATCTCCATCGTTTCCCACTTGAGCACTGAAGTCGCCCAGTAAGACTATGGAGTCGGTAGGCGGCACTCTATCGAGCACTACACCCACCGGCTCCAAGCAGGCTGAATACTCTGAACTGGTGTTTGGTGCATAAGCACAGACAGCAGTTAGAGTTTAATTGAGGCGACCCTCTCATCCACTGGTACAAACTCCAACTGAACAGCACCCAGCCGAGGGCTTGTGAGTATCCCCACACCTGGGGATACACACAAGCCTCTAACCAGGGTTTACTCCGGAATAGGAGAGGGACCACCCCCGATCGAGAAGTTTGGTTCCTGTGCCAATACTCTCTGTGGAGGTGAGGCCGATTATGTCTTGTCGATACCTTTCTACCTCCTCCACTAGCTCTGGCTCCTTCCCCCCCAGTGACGTGACATTCCACGTCCAAATAGCGAGTGTCCATTGCCAATGTCCATTCCGTTCGAGACCATCCCTCTCCCTGCCATACTGGCATCACACCCGCCCCTCACCCATCATCCTGCGGATGGGGAGCCCACAGGATGGTTGATCATGTTTTGATCTTTGTAATTTTCACTTCATGTGGGTGGTGCTTTGAAACTTGGTATGCAATTTGACACAATTTAGTTTCTCTTGTAAGGATGCTGTTTTATTGGAGGGTACTTGCCTGACACCTAGTAGAGTAAGAAAATAGCCCAACTGCATCCTAATTATAATTATATCCTAATTTATATTCTTAAGGATTTACTGTTGTGTCAGTATCAGTTTGTGATTGAACTTGAATGTAAAATAATACACTACAGCAGTCATAACACTAACACAGTACAGAGTAAATCCTATGGAATTAATGTGCTTGACTTGCACTGTCTTATGACTACATAATCATCTCTTCTCCCCACCTGGGATTGTATCACATCGTGGAGTCTATGTAGAGCTGGGGTATCCAGTTATTTTAGTAATTGATTACTTGACCGATTATCAGTTCGATAACTCGACTAATCAGGTAACAAAAATATTTTGAAAAAAAGTCACCTCTATTTCCATGTGTGCCGCTGGATAGGAGGTGCCAGGGTGGAGCTTGGGTACGTAATTGCACCCATCGGCCGTGATTAAATCAACTAATCATCCCGGCTCTTGGTCTATCTTGGCCTTATTCTATGGCTAATGTGGAACCATCTTTCCACTCGACCCCTGACCCCACTGGCAGCTGAACGCGTCGGACGACCGAGGCATCGATGTTGTGCGAGGCCCCATCCTCAGCTTCGCCAGCACGCGCACCATCTTCAAGTGAGCTTTGTTCCACAGTTCAATAACGGCATTGTGTTTGTGTAGTGAGTTTTATGCTTTCCGACAAAAGTTCAAACCGTTAATGTTTTAGCAGTCTGTCCATCTGTAACATGTGGTCAGGAAAAACTCAAATGATTAAACTAAATGGAATATAATTATCATTTTGTTATTTATATTCTCCACAATGACGCATATTATTATTTAGAGTTTTGTGTAATGTTACGTCTTGCGTAAAACATATTGGGTCCGTCGGATAACTTTGGAGACTTTAATTAGTAGGGAGCTCGTGAAAATGAACCTCCACCACGCCCGAGTTCTTGCTTGATATGCTGCGTTTATTAACATGCATGAACGCACCTCACATGCCTATGCATTCCCTGCCTCATAACATCTTTATAAATATACATGAGCACGCTACATGTCACTTATACCATTTAAGGTTACATCAACCTGGGCCCACTGTACTAAGGGTCCTTGCCTAAAGGATCAGCAGTTCACAGCAGTCATTCAATGAAGCCTTTGACTGCTAATGAGACACTGAATGTCGAAACCGCTTTTCTTGTTTGAAAGATTGATGCTGAAATTATGCACTCCCAGAAAGCCATGTGGCTGATGGATTATGTAAGAAATCTTTTTTTATGTGGAGAGATGGATATGAGAGAATGACTTTAAATTATTTTGCAATCTAAACGTAGTTTTTTGTATAGAAAACCAACCAAATTTTTCAAGGAGTTTGCCAAAATTTGATAACAATCCAGCGCTAATTGGATAAGCTTTGTCAGCCAAAGTGATGATGTCACAGGCCATGTGTGCATACAATGCCTGGCCATGATGTTGCTGAATATGACATCGTTTCGCAATTTCACAAGTCATGCACTCGTTGTGTGGCTCGGAGAGTCATCATATTTCTTAAATACTTGCTGGGACAAACGCATAATGAAAAGTGTTACAAAATTCATCCACAGGCGTGGTGGTTTTTTTTACTATATAATAATTTTGTCAATGATGAGCATGCGGTACTGTGGTGTCCCAGGAAGGGCTACAAGCTGGTGATTTTGGACGAGGCAGACGCCATGACTCAGGACGCCCAGAACGCCCTGCGACGAGGTGATGGGAATCTCGCACGCGCACACACACACACAGACAAAAAATCTTTGTTTAACCTTGCAGAACGTGAGGACCAGTCCTGTCAGCGAGCACCTATTTAGACCTGCATCAGGCACAATGAAGTGGGGTGGCCAGAACTACACCTGAACAACATCGTCTCACTATTATTGATATTTAAAGACCGCACCAGATATTTATGGCTGAGTCGACCTAGTGGATACCCAGGACAGGCTCAGGTACCACGTACCCCATCGCGTCGATGTAATAAATCTGGATCGTGAGGATCATAGCGCTCATCACTGCTCTACTTTAGACACAGATGCCCTGTGTAGCCTACATAGGCTGTGAGGATAAGTTATGTTAGTGAGCACCTATGACATTCGAACACCGTGCACGAGGGGGTGTTGTGGCCAGCACCTCCACTGACCACTTTCCTCTCCCCAGTAGTAATGTTTTCAAGGCTGAGTCGACCTAAGAAAGGCCTAGAACTGGTTCAGGTATCACTTTGAAAAGTACATTATCGGTGTGTGGTTTTCCGTGAATATGTTTTGAGGGTTGATCTGCCGACCTTAATAGGTGCTCGCTAACAAATATTTCTGCTACAGTCTATGATAAGGCTAACCCCGGTATATTTGTCTTTGGTTTTCATCCACCGGCAGTGATGGAGAAGTTCACGGAGAACACGCGCTTCTGCCTCATATGCAACTACCTGTCGCGAATCATCCCCGCACTGCAGTCGCGCTGCACACGCTTCCGCTTTGGCCCGCTTTCGTCCGACCTCATGGTCCCACGCCTCCTGCACGTTATTGCTGAGGAGCAGTGAGTCCCGGGGTGGGGGGAAGCTGGGACCTGGGTTTCGCTGGGCTTAGCTGGAATTCAAATATCACTTAAAGAGTTGTGTTTTCTGCGGTGTAAAAAAATATATACATTGACAAAAATCTCACTGATCTTGTCATTGACACATACAATGGAGGTCTGGTGCATCGCTTGATATGTCTTCACACATTGTTTTACAGGTGCTGTACTGTGGGTGTATTTTTCTCTAACGTGTGCCCCCTTGCTCGTGCGGCCACAGGGTGGACGTAACGGACGATGGGATGAACGCGCTCGTCACGCTGTCAAACGGGGACATGCGGCGTGCGCTAAACATGCTGCAGGTGAGTGCACGTGGGCTCTGCGCTGTGTCGCTTTCTCTTGTGGAAGGCAACTGACCAATGGGTTTGCGTCACACATTGCGGGTTACCTCGCATCATATTCGCACTGCCCACGGCAGTTGCGATCACAGGTGCAGATACAGGTTCAATCACCTCCACAAAGGGAAAATAAAACTATCTCCCAATGTGACTGTGGTGCACAGCAATAATTAATCAGTGTAACACATCGTGAACCCATGTCCACTGTGAGCCTATGAGTATATAGGTCTCCTCTGCATGAGTCTCGGTCTCTGAGTCTATGGGTCACCGTGTGAATCTTTAGATCTTTTTGCGTGATTCTGTGGGTCTCTGTAAATCAATGGATCTTTGTGTGAGTCTGTGTGTCTCTGTATTAGTCTGTGGATTTCTGCGTGAATCTGTGAGTGTCTTGAGTCTGGATCTGTGTGTGAACTCATGTCCAGTGTGAGTGTTCTCCGAGGGCACAAGTGTCATTCACAAGTTTTACTCTGAAGCCAGCAGCTGCATTCACAATTTAGACAATGATGTATAGTTGCTGCTCAATTCATACCCTCTCAAGTGTAGCAAGTTGATAGTCCCCAATAAAAAACACAATATCATACGTTTGTCTTTTCTCTTAACCCAGCCCATCCCGGTTGTGACGGCTAAGCTATTTGGGTGATTGACACATGACGAAATGACTTTGCTTATACCCGTTCGAGGTGATTAAGTAAAGCTATTTTCTAATAGTAATAATTTAGTGCATTTGATACTTGTGCCATTCCTATAGTGTAGGGTGATCTCTTTCCTCCCCTCGCCCCTCCACTTCTTTCCCATGCCTCCTTTACCCTTTCGTAACCCCTAAGTACCATATTTCATGGTCACCCATTCCTCAGCCTTTGCACGCCCCTGCCATCAATATGATTCTTCTATTTTACCGTTTTTTTAACTATGTGAAGTGCCTTCAACAAAGGCGCTCTATAAATATAAAATAAGATAAGATCATCGTGAACAAAGACGCTGCTGTGTTTCACAGGCACAGTCTGCAGTAGTTTCACAGGAGGGGGTGATGTTGCTGTGTGATCCCCATTGAGTGGTTGTAAGTAATAAATAAGGCACAAATGTGTACCATGATGCCGGCATACAATAGCACAGAATCTTTAACGTAACCTGCGAAGCAGACGGCGCCTATTTTACAGTTGATAAACCTGCAGTATTAACCAAGACGGCTTGCTGGATTCAAACCACAAACCTCTGCAGCAAACAACGATAGTGCTGCTGCTGGGCCTCGTGACCGCCAAGCGTAGCGGTACGGTACGGTATATTTTCATATTTTGTACTAAAAAAAAAATTTGTGCTGTAATTTTGCACCGTATCTTTGAAGATTTTTTTCATACAGTATCAGTACAGTAGAATTTCGTATCATAATTTCGTACCTTATATCATACCTAAGGAAAACAAATCTTGGAAAATAAAGGATAGATGACAAGCAAGCTGATAGTATATCGTTCTTCTTGTTTTATTTTTTTTGTAGAGAGCTCTTTACTCTTTAATTTCGAAATATTCATTCAAATGCTTAAAATTCTCATCCGTTATCAGCGGTAAGTGGCATTTTGAGAGAGTAATCTTGCCTGCCATTTTAGTTATGATAACTGATGCTTTAAATCAAAATATAACTGATGTGTTAAATTATTGTAGCCACCTTGAAAGAAAAAGAGTAGAATGGAATTAAGAAGCTTAGTTTCTAATTAATTGAGCAGCCGAGTTCGTACGAAAAGAGTATGAAAAAGGTAAGAAAAAAATACCGTACTTTCATACCATACCTGATGAAAAGATATTGTACCATATTTTTTGGGTCTTTCGGTAAAGTCATGTAGATAGGTTCAAAGAAAATAACAAAAACTACGACGTTTCGATCGCAACACAAGCGGTTGTCATAAGGAAAAGGGGGTTAGCCTCTAAGGGCAAACTGTTTATAAAGGTTTGAAATGGGCGTAGCCCAAGTGTCAGCAGCCTGGGTGGGGGCCAGCTCATGTTAATGCAAGTGATGGTTCTCGTAGAGGGCCACGACGGCGCTGGTAGTGGGCTTCAACCAATGAAGGGCTACTGCTAGTGGTGATGGTAGTAGTGGGCAGTGATGGTCCCGGTGGTGAGCTTCCACCAATTAAAGGGCTGCCAGGTCTAAAATGGCAATATTACAGCCAGTTATGACTTAAACTGGTTGATAATGTCCTTCCAGTGATTACTGAGGTTGTACCCATCTTCTCGGTTGAAATTGTGTCTATGTCTGTATATATGGATGGCTTCATGAACGCATATTTGTTGATAGCCAATGGGTTTGCAAAGTACCTTTTGTCTTAGAGAAATCAATTTCGCGTGAGCCCACCACATTAAAACGATGATCAGCCACAGCCGAGGTATTGGTCCTACCGTGTTTCGGATCTGCCTTATGTTCACGAACACGGTCCGAGACGTGTCGCTTAGTTTCCCCAATGTAAGTACTGCCGCCGACACAGCTTAGTTTGTAGACGCTGGGGTATTGCATGTCAGGGATCACATCCTTCACAGATGGGACCAGATCACGAATTTTATTTACTGTGTTAAATCTAACCTGGATCTAGTGTTTGCTTATGATTTTGGAAAGAGATCCTATCAACAGCCTCGTTACGAAAACCAACAATATCATCACTGATTCGACATCTTTAATCGAACCAACCAAGTGGTTTTCCTTAAAACCCTCTGCTGCTAGACCACCCAGATTGTATGGCTTACCAAACATCCATAAAGAAGGTACACCCCTTCGTCCTATCGTCTCCACCATTGACTCACCCACCTACAAACTGGCCCAATTTCTGTCTGAAACCTTAAAACCATTCACTGGTAAGACCGCCTCAGCTGTACTTAACTCAGCTCACTTGGTATCGTTAATTAAGGGCATCTCACTATCTCCAGGTGATTTGCTCGTTATTTTCAATGTAATCTCTTTGTTTACCAAAGTTACTGTGCCTGACACCATTGCAATCATTGAAGATTTGGTCCAACAAGGACTGAATGCTGATGTACCTGGCTCTGGTGAGACACTACCTCACCAACACTTACTTCACCTGGAATTGAACATCCTACAAACAAGTTGAAGGTGCCACAATGGGTTCTCCCTTATCTCCAGTTGTAGCCAATGTTTTCATGGAAAAATTTGAGACAGACGCCATCCAGGCATCCACTCTACGTCCGTCCTTGTAGAAGAGGTACGTAGATGATACGTTCGTCATCTGGCCACATCGCCGACCAGCTCTGAACCAATTCCCCAACCACATAAATTCTATACACCCAGCCATCAAATTCACCATGGAGGTGGAAAAGTATGGCAAGGTACCATTCTTGGATGTTTTAATCGAAAAGAGACCAGATGGCTCAGTGCCGTCGTGGCCCTATATGAGTACCATCACCTCTAGCAGAAACCTCCACCGTCAGCAGTGTGAGTGTGTAAAGGGAGGTGCAATGATTACTTGGCACCCCTATAATTGTTGACAACCCACCACCAGCGCCGTCGTCACCCACTACAAGTACCATCACTTGCATTAACATTAGCTGCCCCGGCCATGCTGCTGACACTTGGGCTACGCCCATTTCAAACCTTTATAAACAGTTTGCCTTTAGAGGCTAACCCCCTTTTCCTGATAACAACCGCTTGTGTTGAGATCGAAACGTTGTAGTTTTTGTTATTTTCTTTGAACATATCTACGTGACTTTACCGAAATACCCAAAGAATATGAATTCCTGCAGTCACGAAAACTTTAAGTCAAGAAATATCATACCATAATATTGTACCGTACTTAACCGAAAAATCCCATGCCATACCGTAATGCCATCCTTGGTCACTGCCCACAACGTGCAGTTAGCAACAGTAAGCCAACTTAAATACATTTTATTTCAATAATTTTACACGAGTGCATATGACATTCAAATATGATCTATCAGACAGACTCAGGATCAGCTTCTTTTAAACCAGGGCTGTGTTCAGAATGCTGGCCGAATATGGCCCATGTCTTCATTTCATGTAGTCCACAGTCACGTGTGGCCTACCGCTTTGAAATCCCCACAAATGATAGACAGTAAACCCTCTCTGTCTGCGAGGGTTACGTTCTTGAAAACACTCGCTAATGCAAAATTCACCAAAACTCTTGACTTTATTTTGCCTTTTTTCAGCAGACGCACGCTTCTCTCTCAATGGATGCTTGAGAACCATGATTAAGGGCAATTAACAAGCAAGTACGATGCACAATAGTAAGTTCAGAGTGGGATTACTGCGAGACTTCAGGACAAAGCAGGCAGCTGAGGTCGGGCATTCGTAATCTTCACAGAACGTTTCAAATCTAAAATTATGCGCGCACCTCCCCAGTGTCGGTGGTCTGGCACCATGTACACTCGCGAATACTGGAGTCCGGCAGGTCGCGAATAAAGAAGCATTATACATTTAGCCACTCGCGAATATGCGAAACTCGCAAATCCAGAACTCGCAAACAGCAAGGGTTTACTGTATTACATCGCTGCATGAATATTAGCCACACTAATTGGGTACTAAACGGAAATATTTTTAACCCAGCAACATTGCAGTAAACTATAAATTATTTTATTTTACCAGGGAAGGCCCCCTGCGCTTCGACTTTAGTGAGCTTAAACACTTCTGGTAGAAGTGTTTGTGCTGCGTGTGTGTGTTAGTGTGCGGTTGCCCATGAGACAAAGATCTCCCATTATAGCCTTAGCAGACTGTAAAAACAAATGCTGTTAGCGAGCACCTATGAAAGCCGGCATGGCACACGAGGGGGTGGGTGGCCAGCACCCTAGTAGGGAGCGGTAGTGCAGTGGTTAGCACGTTGCGCTACAAACCCGGCGAATCAAGTTTGATTCCCGCTCATGGCCAACACCAGTGACGATTATCTAAAAAATCTGTCCTGGGCCTCCTGTAGGAACCATAAATGTGTACCTGATGCGATGTGTAAACATTGCCACTGGGAAGACAAAGGCAGCCGGACATAGTGCTGGCTACCCACCCCCTAGTGTGCTGTATCGGCCTTCACAGGTGCTACTTGCTAACAGCACTTGCCCCAACAGTCTGTTAAGGCTAAATGGGGATCTTTGTCTGTGGTTGCCCGTGAAAGGTATTTGAAAGTCCTATTCACCCCTGTGCTAAACAAACATTGACTCTCTACCCCCCCCCTGCCTCCTCCCATCCCATCCTTTTTGCAATGCCCGTGAGTCAGAGCACCAACATGGCATACGGGCGCGTAACGGAGAACAACGTGTACACGTGCACGGGGCAGCCGCTCAAGTCGGACATCGCTAACATCGTGGACTGGATGCTCAACAGCGACTTCAGTGGTGCCTACAGACGTATCCAGCTCGGCTACCCTTACCCTTCCCCACGTGTGTGAGGCAGCTACTCACACACACACACGTCTGACCTTAGTGGTGATCTCAAATAACTCGGTTGGTGCCGAGCCATGACGAAAACATTTTGGGGATGGTGCAAAAGTCCCAGATGTGAGGTGTCATCATGTCCCATCTGTTGCCAATGTTTCCATGACATTCCTTTTATGCTATACCTCACTTTTATTAGTCTGTATTTTTTTTCTCCCCTCGATTACACTTTCATTGGTGTTGCTTTTGCTGGATTCTTGTTTGGTGACATTCTTTTGTATGTATGTAGAACTCTCTCATCCTACATAGCCAACCTTGCTGACCCCGTGCCTTATCAGTCTGCAGCCCTCAATCAGTGCTATTAGTGTTCAATCAAACTTCAAGATCTCTCTAAAATATCTTTGTGTATTATTCTATCTAACTTAGTTACGCCTATTATCGCTTGCCAAAGGCGTGCAGAATCTGCACCACTGAGTCCGAGTGATCAATACTGGTGGCAATACCCAATGCTTGATAAGCATGGAGACACTGACTGCAGCACAATGACAGAAATTAATCCAGTGAGTCATGCTCAGCTGCACACAGTCTGCTTGTTTAAATCAGTATAACCTACAACTATGTAAGGGCAGATAGGCTTGCTAACACTTGCCTATTACTAAATCACCCAGGAATGCACTAAACTGGGTTAAGTATGGATAAGCTTGGAAGGGCAACCACGTGCATAAAACAGATGTTGTTGGCTGTTGTGTGGCGATGTTGTTAGCAGGGAGCAGTGTAGAATAATCCATTGTTACGCTGTGTTCCAGTATCTAATAGTGAGGTTTCACTTTAGACATATCAGTACAATTTTGTCTTGGGGCCGCTGCTGGCAGGTTTTTTAATTCTCCCAGCTCAGGTTGTGATTGATGTGGTGAATTGTGCGATGATCACATTGTGTGTATTTGAATTGCCCATCAATCAATTAGGACTGGCAATGACTTGTTCCTTCCCCGTGGCTATAATGGTAATTTATAAAAAAAAACACCGCACAGTATGGTAATGTTAAAAGTAAAACTTTTCCCTTGTTCTCACACCCGCACTGGTGCTGGCCTTAAACCTAAGACACACCAGAATATCTTGCCTCCTCAGCCCTTCCCTGTCCATCGCATCACGAGCAACCTGGGACCCCACTACTCAGCGGGTCCCGTAAAGCTGATCTAATTTCCAAGTACTGCACTTAAGAAAATAGTCACTGATTGATTTTCTCTTTGGAAACATTATATATTGAAAGACCATTGTACAGTCAGTTGCTTCCCCTTGCTATCTGATTATTGGGCTATGATTGAGGTTGGTGGTAGCAGTTGCTTTTAGAGATCATATTTGAGTTATGGCTGAAGTTGAGGTCATGGATTCGATCCCAACCCTGATGCCTGTATGTTTGGAGTTTACATGTTCTCTCCGTGGTCGCGTGGATTTTTCTCCAGGGCCTCCATTTTTTCCCTCCACATTTACAAACATGCATTTCGAGTATTTGGCTGCTATAAATGTCAACGTGATAAGCCACTTCGTTGGGCTGTCATTTGTGGCCAGGTCGCTTCTGAAAAAGGGCTGTATAGCTCAGTGGGCCTTACCTGGTTAAAATTAAAAGTAGTTTAAATAGAAAATACAGTCCTTTTGATTTTTAGTTACTAAAGGTAAAAGGTGTGGCTCTAGAGATCCCTTATGGATATTTTGGCCTTTACTTCCACTCTGGCTACCCCACCACATGTGACCTGATGATACACTTCGTGTGGTGTTCACAGTTATACAGTTGGGTGGAGAGGCCGGAGGGGGGGGGGATTTAGTAAATTTGCTTCATTGTCTCAACTGCCATGGTACAGGCAGATCAAGCCAGTGAGCCCTGGATTTCAAATCCAGCATGCAAACCATTAAACCACAGCAGCATCCTTTTCAATTACTGCTTCATTACTGCTTCATTGCAGCCTCATGGAGAGAACAATGTGCGCCCAGTGCTGATTAACTAATTTCAATTCAAAGAAATCAATGATTGCTTTATTATTATAATTACACTTGTTTACCCACACAAGCCTCACTGAATCTCCAGACGATTTCAGAAGGGGCCTCCCAAGTTATCGCAGGAAAGGGCAATGTTGCTGCTGTGTAATCTCAATTAAGTCATTTAACACACATGCTTTCGCGACCAATATTATCCATTAAGGTTTTTTGGTTTAGATCTAAATTGAGTAATTACTCAATTGAGTAATTTGCAGGTAATATTTAAGTATTGGAACATTTGGCCAATGCCAGTTACATTGTATATATTTCTTAGCGATGGGAGGAAACCAGAGAATCCAGAGGAACCCATGCAGAACAGGGGGAGAGAAGCACACGGATCACCACCTCCACACCCTGCCACCCCACATGACTCCTTATAAGATTCATATATTTTTTTTATTTAAAGATGGCATCTGGGATTGAAATTGCCATGCAGCCACGACCGATGCGGGTAGAAATCTCCATCTCGCCTGGTCGTGCGTTTTGATTCCTGCTCAGGGGATTAATGGAAAAAAACTGCCAGCGGACACATGCTGGGCTTGCCTCATCTTTTGTTACTGCCAATTCCTTAGCACCACTCGCAGAGATCATGAAATTGAAGACTCTGAAGGGTCTGGCGCTGCAGGACATCCTGACAGAGGTGCACACCTTCGTCCACAGGGGTGAGTCCTGTTCAGAATTCACAAAATGATGAGCTGAAAGTAGTGGTCGTGTGGCTCGAGTTCAGAGGGGTGATCTTGTGCCACTGAGATCCAGGGTTGGAGTCCAGGTCCAGCCGCACGTAATTAAACTGGGTTCTGAAATGTAGTGACTCGATGGCACAAAAAAACTAAGCTCGTGAAATGTGTTTCTGCATTGTAAGAATGTAACTACATCGCATCACAGAATTCAAATATCGGTTTGACTCTATAACACTGGCAGAGTGAATGGTTAAGTGCTGCAACTTATGCTGTCGAAGAAAGATCACGTGAATGCATCTCGGGTAATATTTGTTTCAATGGATTCTTCCCGAACACAAAGAGATATCCAAATTGATTCTTCATATCATGACGTGATCACAGAGTAAAAAAAACACTCACAACTGCTGTTCAGATGGCACTCTTTTCCAGGATACACCCCTAAGGCAGTGTTATAAAATCCATATTCCTATGACAGGATCAAGTATATCCATAAGACAAACATTAGTGATGTCTCACCAATGTGTTAAGAGTACTCAGTTTAACGACCTCAGAGAGATGGAGGGCTCCATCGACCCTTAACCAGGATTTCAACTTGCAACCTTAGAAGTATGAGTTGTGCTGTAACCCCCCTTCCACCTCTGATGATAGTGTAGGGGTGATTGTCACTCACGTAATGGAGCCCAGGAACAGAAAACCCGCACTAAGCATCGCTATATTCACGTACCCCCTTCGTCATTTTTCACATTAATTTGCCATTTTACTGATGTCAAGAGGGAGTCTGCTGTGGGGAGTTGCCAGGGTGAGGTTCACTATTGCACCCTGAGGTCTACAGCCAATCTGATTTATCTTGACAAAAATGTATCTCATTGTGCTATGGGCGTCGTGCAAAGAGACGAATAACCTGTTAGATTGTCTCGCAGTGCAGCGTAACCCTTCATTTTAAAGAGAATGGCCCACTGAAGTGGATATCACAGAGCTACCTCTGAAATCCCCTCAAGTGGTCCACACCATCAGGGGTGCAGCATTTCCCACCTGGCCTGCAGAACAAAATGTATATTATTTTGTGTGCGGTCATTAGGTGACCGATCTAAGCCTATCAACTCACTACACTTGAAAATCCAGTTTAATTCATCACAGGCGGGATGTCAGCAGTGTCAGCTCGGCATTGACCCCTGAGCTACCCGGCCATCTCGTAACTCTAGACTTTAGCTTCGGAACGTCACACATGTGTACCAATGATGCCGTGCTGTAGTCTGCCTCAGCAGGACATCTATTGCTTCTATCCAAGTGTTGATGCAGTTGCATAGTGCCCCCACTCAGTCAAACAGTTGGGAAAGTAATTCCTCATTGTAATTTGATAAACAATACCACTGTGCAAAATCAACAGCATTTGTTTAATTTGGAGAGAATGTCTGCATCCCAGGAAGGTTAAATCAATGGCCGCCACTGACTCACCACCACACTCTTTAAATTAGAGGCCTCACATGTTGACTTTTACACCATTGTTTCAGCTGTGCTGCTTTGTCTTAAATTTTTTACAATCCAGTGATGCAACTCGTTTGCAACTGAATCAACATTTGCAAACAGGGATTGCACCCTATTTCATTATGCTGTGTACAAGCTGCCTCCAGGCTAATTCTTATGCACAATTAACTTTATCTTGTTTGGCAAAGCACTTACCACTTGCTGCTGCTACTGGCTCACTTCAACTGGAGTAACCTGCTGTTTGACTGTTACGTGTGAATGCCAACCCTAGGGGGGGGCGGCTTCTTTCCTTTGTGGATGGCTTTGTTATAGGGGTGTGTCTTTGTCTGGCTTGTTTAATGTGAATGCCAATTTTTTTTTTCCACAGTTGACTTCCCCATGTCGGTGAGGATTCACCTCCTCACCAAGATGGCAGAAGTCGAGTGAGTTGACTTCACTGTCGTTCATGCACACACCCACACTCAACAGCTTTGAGATTTCCATGGAAACCCATGCGCTTTTCTATGAACGCTTTACAACAAGCTTGAAAGTGTTTATGCATTAGCTCTGTCTATCTATAGTAGGGAGAAGGGGGCACTAACTCGAGTAAAGATGAACCAATGTCAGTGAATCTTGAGTGTAAAGTTGTAGTTTTTAGGGACTTGCCTGAGAACACTGATGAAATTTATCTAATCTCATAACAATTATTAACGTTGCTCTGGAGAATATTAGAAACACAATAATTAAGTGGAAATAAGTCTTGTTTAAATACCTGTCTCTCCACATCCAAAAACGTTTTTGCACATCGCTTAAGCTACAAGGCTGAGAGTGCATAATTTCAGCAGCATTGCTTCAACACATGCAAACCTTGGACTAGTTTCAACATTGTCTCAAAGGTTTGCCCAAAACGTGCACACACTCCAAAGCTAAGGGAACTCTGTAAATACACAAAAGCATTTTGCCCTAACAGCTCCCCATCAGCTTCAATACTGCTCATGACTTGAGGACAAATGCACGGCTGGAAGGTATTGCAGAATCCATGCGCATGCACGATTTTTCTTCTTTGTTCAAAATTGCATCATTTATTTTTGTTGCAGGTACCACCTGGCCTCGGGCACCAACGAGAAGATCCAGCTGAGCTCCCTCATCGCTGCGTTCCAGGTGGCGCGGGACATGGTGGCGGCCGAGGCATGAGGGCACGACGAAACCCCGTGGCACCTCGGGCTTCGCGGTGACGTGTGAGCAAGTGGGACTCTGAGCTCATTTGACTACTACAGCTGGAGTTTTCATTTCCTACGATCGGATGTTTGATCGCTGAATCAACGTAACAAATGGGATGGGGTATTATTATTTTTTTGTATCCTTCACGGACACTTTGTGTGGTGAGATGAGCACGGAACTCTTGAAGGGGTTTTTGACCGACATGACATCTGCGTACTTGACAAGAGGGCTTGAAATACCACATGCTGTAAATAAAATCCTTCCTCAGCATTTCAGTGTCACCTTCCAAGCAAGATGGAGTACATTATAAAGTCGTCGGAAAACCTTGTACTTTTAGGATTGTTAGAGAGACGGGTTTGGCTCAGTGTTCGGAACAAATCTGCAGCGTTAAAGCAAGTAGCACAACACCCACATGTTATATTTAGTCTATCGAGTATAATAGAAGTTGGGTGTTGGTATGCCCCCTGGAAGTAAGGCTGTTAATATATCATTAGTGTGCATGTTTCAAATGGCTTTGCCTTCCCTCTACCTGTGTAATGTAAGCTTGTATGCTTGTATGCTTACATTACAGAGCTGTGCTTGTTTATGGTTACATCCAGATTCTGACGTGATAAACAGTCTCAGCCTACAGAAGTCTGCTTTTGTGCAAGACACCCAAGACTTGTTTAAATAGACCATTACTTTTGTCTGGGTCGGTAAAGACTAAGTCGCAGGATTTGTAATAAAATCTGCTCAAGCACCTGCTTCCAACCCAAGTAAATGAATAGCGGTCATCTTTGTTGGCGCCTTCCTGGTGTGTGGTAGTCCATCCCTATGCCTTGCCACAGTGGTCGTCATTTTACCAACACCACATGGAGGCCGAATTGATCCCAAATTGGAGTCTGGAAATAATGCTCGGCAGGAAATCGATTAACGTTTTTCTCTCCGTCGTTTGTTGCAAAGGATCGCCAGATTGAACGAATCACAAACCATCACAACCACCTTTGTCACCCACAATGCAGCGGGATTGTTGAAACCTGCTGTGAAACTTTCCTGCCGAAATAAAAGTATCTGACGTGTACGGCATCCGTATTCTTTTTCTCTTGCATCCGTTTAAAATAGCGGTGGAATTTTCCGACGCGGACATGGGCGAGGATAGACCAAGATCTCTCCCGAGTCACAAGAGTCTGCTGATATGTGACTTGGGGCAGCATCAAACTGCAGCCTTGAGCCAGTGATAAGAAACTATTTCTTGGCAGCAGACACATAAAACTATCACCTAATGCAACAGCAACTGTAATTGGACAATGGTTTAAATCAAATATCCCAATGTGTGGTGTTTAAGCAGTCATGTAAACTAAACTAACCCTAAAATGTTATATCAACACCATATATAGCAATGGTGGGCAACCTGTGTGCCCGTGGAGTCACCCGTGGTGGCCTGGTCGAAGTGTGTTGAGGGTGATGCGTGGGGTCATAATTTGTGCAAAAGCACGATGTCAACCTCGTGGCCCACCACGGTGAAGGTGGGTGGTTCATGTGGCTCACCAACTTGTCTCGGTTACCCATCACTGGTATATAGTGTAAAAAAAACTCACCACTGTCGCATTTTTATGTCATAAAGCGGCATTATTGACAAAGCTTTTGAGTTTAAGATTTTGTATGACTGCACTTTTTAAATCCTTTATATTAAGTTCACGTGCTTGCGTGCTTGCTTGCTTAGGACCGTGCAAATCTTTCGGTCGTTTTTTAACCCACTTCCCGTGATCCAATCGAGCTGACATTTTGCACACAGACTCGTTGTGCTTGACAATTAATTTTCATTAAAAACATTTTCCTAAATTTTACACTGTTTAGGGGAAAAAAAATATTTAATTACCAATTGCTTAATTGTGGCAGACAATCATCTGACCCATAGGTGGCAGCCATCTCAAGCCAGAGGACGAGAGGACTGTAGCCGCCCGTTTCATGATGACGCAAATGTTGGCTAACCACATGGCATGAAATCCCTGCCCCCACGCTGTACAGTGGAGACTATTTATAGAGCAGTTCAATTGAAGCCGCCAGGTTCTTGAAAGTGGTAAAACGGGTCAACGCTAGTGCCCTCGGGAATATACGGGCATGTCAAGAAGTGATCTTTCATTTTTAAATCCTTTATATTAACTTCACTTGCTTGCTTGCTTACTCAAGAAAAACAGAAATGAATAATAAAATTAAACAGATGCCACGCATATAAAGGATTTATAATGAAAAACTTTGTTTTTACAGGTACATTTTTTTTCTTTTCAACATTTGTATTCATGCAGCAGAGTTATTATTTCTCAGCTGTCTGAATTCAGTCTTGAGAATGGAATAAATGCACCACTTTGGTGAAAAGTATCTGAACGTATATTTACCTTTCACACCGTACATGCTAATCGGAGCTGCGTGCGTTTCTGTTGTAAGCCGTTCGGCTCGTAACATCAAGTGTTCGAATCTGCACGGCTTCCGATTTCAACAATAAACGGCAACCATCGCATGTTTGATGAGGCACCTAACACCACGATTCTGTCATAGCATCAGTGTGAGGCCAATTAAAATACTGCAAAATCCCGAGCTTGATGCATCACGCACTGGGTGGTGCACATCCATTGACGTTCCTCAGCCTGTGCTGGAAATGTACATTATTCTGGCAGGGGCTATGCTCTCCATATGGCAATCAATATTGGCCTCCTACCAAAGTGCTGCTCCAAGTTATTGAACCCGGAGCGATGACGTGGCAAGTGGAGTCCCAAGCGATATATAAAGGTTCATCAAAGTACAAGTTGAGTGTTTTGCAACAGCTTCCCTCTGAGATGTACTCTCGAACTGGCAATTCGGTCCATGAAAAGGGCCGTCAAAGCGTGTCAATAGACTTGTAAAAAACGTGTGTAGTAAACAATGTCCGAGTGTTGATATCACAAGTCACATAACAAAGCCCAATTGATGTAATTAAAAAAAAAAACGTGCTTTAGTATCGGGGTGGTTTCACGTCCTGGCTGTGGTCGCCAATGGAAATGGAGTTAGTTGAATTCCGACTCATGCATATTTCACTTCTATCGCACCGTATAGCCAACCATGTACAAGAGACCTGGCACGATGTTTCAGGGTGACAAGGTACATGTTGGAAGCAGTACGAGACCATCTGTGGTAGTAAAATTGTTCTCCCTAGTTATACACAGCCTGTATTTGGCCAAATGTCCAATAACAAGGATCCACCTGACAATCATCTTTTGCTAGACTTCCTGGATAAACGAATTCCTAGTGCAATCAGTTTCAAATGGCAAGTTTTGCACATGACAACCACCCCTTGTACATGAAACAAGCAACACTGAATGCAAGCGAGGAGCCAAGGGTAATGGTTTCATGCACTCGTGACTGGCAGTAGGGATACAGTCCTGCAAGTGATGTCACCATCGGCCATCCAAGGCATTGTTTGCTCAACTGGCTTACCACCGTGCACTTAAAATACGGGCAACAGACATGACTGGTAGGCACACTTTGCGTGCACATACCATAGGCACTTATAACGGATGGAGCACGGCTAGATCTAAGTGTGGTGTCCGTAAAGCCTTGCCAAGGAAGGTAAAGGGATGATCAACCAAAATATATTTATTCTGGAGGAATCCGATAAGCTTTAAATCTCATTTTCACAGATGTCCGGTCATGAATGAAGCCCCTGCCCAAGCCGTCAGCATTTCCCAGTCCAGCGATGAGCCGCAGAACGATATTATGAAGAGCAGTGGTGGGATGACACGGGACAGCTGTTTGTTTCACCAAAAAAGTGAAGCCTTTAATGATACTTGCGTTGACATTTAGAGCCACATTCCTACGTTAAAAAAATTCCACCATTGCAACTCGGAACCAAGAAACACCACAAAGCAACATTTTCACGAGGTTCAATGAGTGAGAGCTAAGGCGATACAAAGAAAAAAAAGTCTTAAATATATTTTATACAAAAAGATTTTCAATTGTGTGTGTGTGTACACTTTATACATGTTTACATAAAAAGTTACGAAGGTAACGTGTGTACATATTCAAATATCAACATAAAAAAATATCTGAGTGTTAAAAAGGGTATTTGTACAGTTGTATTTGCAAACTATTCACCCCCAACTCGGACACTTCCAGGCGAGCTTGCCAAACGGCAGGCGATGTACCGTTCGAATACAATCCCAAGAACGCTATGGCATTGTGGCAACCGCAATGTTTGCCAGTGACAAAGACAAAAGCGCTGTTGGCAACGGCTGCACGCAGCTGTGAAAGCTGGTGCCACTCGGTCGCGCTCGTCCCATTGGGAACTGACATGACAGCGACGCTGAACTTTTACATCAGCTTTTCGAAATACTAAAATGTTGGGCTAGTCGATACAATCGATCCACTGCAACTGTCCCATCAGGACCCTGCAAGCCAACGTGTACGGCAACCACTTGGGCCATGTTGCCCAGCGGTACTTGAGGTCACGAGTCAACGAGTCCCGATTCTGTCAGCGATTGGACGGGTGATGAAAATGCCGAGCTTCTCATTGAGCAGTGTCATCTGCTTGCGATATTGCAGATGTTCTTGCTTCGCAAAAATGTAATCAGCTCCGTTGCGAGTCCTTGGCGTGCGCCGTTCGTGCAACACCTTGCCCAGTAATGCAACAGGTTTCAGCCAGAGGTAGAAAAATCGTGTGAGTTTTGGCAAATTTGCACTCAAATTGCATTTGAAGTAAAAAAAAAGCAATTAAACGAGTCGACTTGATTGTTAAGGCCTGGCCGTGCACTTTGCCAAATCTCCTTGGCATTTGGCCACTCCAAAAACCCTACAATGACAACGAATTACAAAATCCATGGTAAACACCTCATGAGAAAGAAAATGACCTCCCGACGACAGCGCGTGGTGCCACTCGACAACTTAAGTGGTGAGAAAAACTCGATAAGACAAACGACGTAGCAATAATTATGAGCAACACGATGTATTTTAAGTTCAACACAGGGTCCAACTTCCAGTCAGAGCCTGGCTTTGAATTAATTTCAATATCCCCCATTGCCCACACCACTCTTCCTGCCCCATCCCTTCCTTGGGTTGTTACCACCTCACAGGTACGAAAAAACGTACATCATGGGAAGAATATCTCAACATCAGAAGTGGAGAAATACATGTGGTCGCATGATTGGTGTATTATACGACTTAAACTGGGACATCTTACATATTTCTCGGGACAACCACCTCAAAATGAAGATGATCCTGGGATAACCAGGACAGGTGGCACTATACCACCCTCCTGTCATCCACATACAATGCTTTAATTCACATTTCCCAGGTGTGGTTTGGAGAGGATTGAAAGCAACAGAAAACCACCTCCAGCAAACACCAGAAACTACAGGTTGCAGAGCCGGGGGGGGGGGGAGGAAGAGCCAAGTGGCGCAAGTGATAATCTGTTCGGTCCTAAAATGTTTGACTGCATCTACCACTTGAAGGTGGGTGTTAAAGGCTGCAAGAGCAGACGTACGACCGCAGCTGTCGAGCGGCATGGCAGCACAGATCCTTTGCGGCCGCAAGCAGCAAGAGCAGTGGTGTGGAGTCGCCGCTCGCCACCTCTAAAGTTGCCGACGGCGAGTCCCGTTGCCAGCTCAAGTGTAGGAGCCGAAAAAAATAGGAGTCGTTTTTTGCGCAGCAGCAGACTGGAAAAGAGGAGACATTCGCACTTCGACCGTGCGTCGCTGGCGGTGCCTTCGTGCTTCTCCGCAGACAAGCAAACTGCATCGCGAGCTGAACAGTGTGGAAAAACTAAATGCTTTACGGCAGTGTTCTTCATTGCAAGGCCTGCATATCACTAGCGGCCCCCGACAAAAAACACCCCTTTGCAGACGGTGTGGTGACCCTCACATTGGTGTCTTATTGGCAAAAGTGGCCCTCTGAAAATGTGAAGAACACTGCTTTACAGTGACAGACGAACAAGTCCACATGGCCGAGTAACGCACATTCTCCATTTATTTTTCTCAGATCATGGCCGTTCTTGAAGGAAGCCAGCCATTTCTTAGCACGTGCAAGGGGCTGCATCTAAGGGTAGAAAACATCTGCAGCAAACTGCAGCCACTGTTTTCCAAATGACAGATGCAAGAGGAGGTTGAAGAGGTGGATGAGGAGGAAGAATAGCAGGAAAAGGAAGTTGATAATGTGGAGGGGTGTATGGACTTGTTGATTCTGCACAGTAACAAACTGTTTCGTTGTTCTAACATTTAATATACAGTTTAAATATACGGATTCAATATACAGTGTATCATTTGTGTTATGGATGTATGGATCTTGCCGTTTTAGCAACTGCAAGTGTGTGTTCACTGTTGAGGTTTCTTGAAGCCACACTTGTGTGCGTGTCTGTCCGTGTGCGCCTGATAAAACGGTGACGTTAAATGGTGACATTAAGACGAGTTATTTTTAGTTTTATCTTCGTACGGAACCACTTGTTCTTCCCAAACGAAAAAAAAACAAAACTCAACATGAGCGATGGCAGAGAAGGGATGGTGGCGGGTGAGGAGAGCGGTCAAGTGCCCCTTCCCCCGCCTCCTTTCCCCGCAACTGTGCCCCACCATGCACCCCTCTCCCCCCACCACCCTCACTCGCTGGAACGGTAGGTCAGGTAGCGGTGCATCTTCCCCGGCAGGGTGTCCGCCATCGCGTCCACCTGCTGGGTGCTGCTGACACGGCGCAGGGACATGCGGCACAAGTGCTGCAGGGGGCCCACGTCGCGAGGGGCCGCCCACACCCCCACCCCCCCGTCTTGCAGTCTGTTGGAGCACACACACGACACGGGTAATCCCATTTAGAGCTTCACAGACGAGGCAGGACACACCGCTAGGATTGATCATGGGAGGACAACCAGAACCAATGAGGAGATTCACTTGGCTGGATCCACCTTCACAACGGGCAAAACTCGCAAAGCGCACACTCAATTATACAAGATCAACATTGAAGATATTCTAGTTCAGGCCATACAAATATAATTAATAAATGAAAAATATTCAGAATATTTTATGAGTAATTAAGTAACACCTGCTTTTGGTTGTGCTCAGAAGCAGCACTTTAATACTAATTTAAAGGGCACCTCTTGAAATCGTGTCCACATTGCAGATGTGTCAACTACTGGCAGCTCCACAAAATTATTTGTGGTACTCGCATTATTTCAGTCGATTCACTTCATGGTGGAATTCCTCTCGCATATGGCTGGATGAGTAGAAGCTTACAAGTCCATGTCCAGATTAATGCAACGGCTTCGAGTGAAGTGCGGTGGATAGTGGAATATAACTGCCGTCACCATGAGTGGGATGTATGTTGAACTTCTTTCGTAGCCAACTGTGCTAATCGGAGGTGCGGAATGATGCCGTGGAAGCGGACAACTGGAATTTCCATTCAGTGTCACCGGTTCAAATTTTATCTCCCAGCGGTGGCAAGTGAAACAATGGGGCAAGTTTCTCAAATCCCCCTCTCCACCACCACCACTGTCCACACCAGCACTGCAAATGGGTAAATGGCAGTCATTCGATTGGAAGGTGGTGGGACAAGGTTTTGGTTCTACCCACATCTTCAAAGACGTCTGGGTTAGCGTGGAAGAATAGACCACATTCTCTAGAGCTCCCTCTCGTGAGGCCCCTCCGCCAACAGCGACGCGAGCAAGACGTTGCGGGGCATGACTATGAAGTTCTATGAATAGACTGCCCAGGAGAGGTCTCAGTCCAGGGTAGAATGTAATTTACGAGCCTATCAGTTGAGGGAACCGACCGTACAGGAGGTGGAGATTTGGCAAGGCTTCCCCAGGTGAATAATGATAATCGAGTTACATTTGTAAGTCACACAATTCTTAAAGCATAAGGCTATCACGAAGGTGCTGCTGTGTTTCAGACAGTCTGCAGTAGTTTCATGCGAGGGGCCAGCATTGCTGTGTGGAATCCCATTTGATTAATTTGCGGGTCATTTTTTAATTTTGGCAATTTGGACCATGACGGTGACAAGAACTATGGCCTCTTTTCGGAAGATGTCGGGGGATTTTTAATGTCCACTGCGAAGTAAATGGAGACATTTTACAGTCGTTAATAACCAGGGTGGGCCCTGCCATGGTTCAAGCCACGAACCTCCGCAAGGAAGCGGCAAAACGTGCCAAGCGCCGGGCTATATCGCCGCGCTGGAGGGGGAGGGAGAATGACGCATGCTCACCCTGCAAGCAGCACGTGGCCGTTGGGAGAGAAGGCGCAGCACTGGCCATTGGGAACGTTGGCCACCGCCACAGGAGTGCTGTCATCCCCGACGCGCCAGAACCGCAGCAGCCTGTGCAGAAAGGAGAAACATAGAAAAATATATAAAAATATAAGGAAAAAAATACATGAAATGTGCTTGGATCCTCTTCACGCTTTACAGACGAGCGGTAACGGTGGCGCTTACACCGGGCATTGTAAACAGCAGCAAGCCCCATAGTCCACGATGGGGCTAGGAAAGTGGCTCTGCTGGGAAGGGTGCAGACAACCTTTGATCCGTCAGTGTAAATTGTCCCATTTGCAAATAGTTCCTTGCGCTCTGGTTTGTGCACAGGTTTTGGGAAACCCTTTGATCAATGTAGTTGCTTGCCACAAGCACAAGTCTCTAATAGCCACACAACTATACTAACGTTTTGTTCATCTTTATGGGAGTTATCATGCTTGCTTGTCTGACACAACCTAAAGCCTTAACACTTTCAACCCAAGTTGGAAGGCATTAACAGCAAGCCCATCATCGCAAGCACCACAACCACCGCAGCAGAAACATCATCATTATCGTCTGTCCTCCACCTCATTATCCAAATCCAAATGATCACAAGGACCTGTAATTTAGAGACGTTTTTGCTTCAATAGTAGAACATAAAACATAACACAATTCACCATCTGCGTGGGGTTACATTGGTTGAGACAGCTGTGCACTGCACAATGTCGCTGCATCAATATGCCCAGCTCGTATTTCGTAAAGCATCTAAGTATAGCCCGGCACGATGCTCAGCCTAGAAACACGTTGGGGACTGCACATTATTTTGAAGCAATGACTCATTATTACCATTGTATTTATTGTCACCTACCCACATTCAGGGTAGTGCAGTGTCAACACTTGTGCCTCAGCAATAAGGGCCATAGTTTGATTCCCAACTCAAGCAGTCTGTGTGGATTACGTTCTCCCCTTGTTCTGTATGGGGGGGTTCTCTGGTTTCCTAAGAGCTAAAAAAACCACCAACTGGTATTGGCCAAACATCCCAAAGCTAAAATATGTTCCTGCAAATTATGCAATTGGGATTACACGCAGCAACATTGTCCCCTACCGTGAAAACTTAGGAGCCTCCTGAAGACACCGAGGATTTCTCTGGTAAACGAGCATGGTAAAAATAATAAACAATAACCAGAGCACCAACTTAAGTGGTCAAAACCAGTGATAATAAATTATTAGCATTGTTTATAAACTGTTCAGCCACATTCAAGTGGTTGGTCTATGGTCCTATGGAGACTGGAATAAATGCATGTCGGCCAGTTGCTTGGGGCCCTCAGAGGTGGAAGTGTCACCGCACTGTTCGAGCAGGAGAGACAGACTGACCTTTTGACTTGATGTTGTTGTTCTGCTTGTTATCTCTCAACGATAACACAGCCATAACTGTTCTTTAGAGTAGCAAAAATGGGTCAGTGGCCGCAGCAACGCTATCCGACTGTTTACTGCATCTTAGTTTGCAGACATTGTTAATGACGTCGATGGAAATACGTGAAGTGCTCATCATTACGCTTGTTAAATGGCGCCCTTCACGGTGGGGCGTCTCAGAGCGATTTTACATCAATCACATTGGCAGCTGTCCCTAGGGGCAACAAAATGACAGCGCCTAGCCCAGGGGGTCGGCAACCAAAATAACAAGGGACTTCACTTTTTTTTCTGTAAAAAACCCACAATGCTTCATGAGCTGCAAAGGCATGTGCATAAGGTCACGAAGCAGTCCCTTTTTAAAGAGCCACACGCGGTTCCGGAGTCGCAGGTCGCCGACCCCGACCAAGCCTACACAAGTGCTTTCATCATCGACGACATAGAGTCTCAATTGACTCCTTTGTGGGGTAACTTTAAAATTTGGCAAATTTAGACCCCAACGCCAGAACACATTGGGCTCACTCTTGCCAATGGCATCAGGGGTTCTTCAACATCCACTGTCAAGCAGACGGCGTGTATCATCATGGTTATTACACCCACAGTAATAATCAGGACAGCCTGCCAGATTCGAACCGCAAACCTCTACAAACAAGCGACAAAAGCGCTATCCGCTGGTTAATGCCACTGCCGGCTTTTTGTATCCATAATCTAAATGTACCTACAGGGCAAAACCAATAGAATTCCTCCACACGATTCCATTCATGGGACTTTTGGCTTAGAAAACAGACCATGTGTTCCACCGCGGTGTCAGGAAGAACGCACTGTGCGTGGTTCACCCATGCACACTTCGTAGAACCGCCACTTCTAGTCCTCAACCCCCAGACTTCTGGTGCCGCCACAACTCACGGCGCAACCAGAGAACTCAGCGGAGCTTCCCGGCGTCGTGCGGTCTGAAAGCCGCCGCTCGGACGCCACGAGGAGGCGGCTTCAGCAGAGTTGGCGCCCAAAACTGATCAGTCAGCACAGCGCGCCTTGCCGTGGCTAATCCTGGACTGGATGCTTTCTCTCCCGATGCTACCTACCCCTCACATACGTCCAAGGATAGATGCGTTTTGAAACCCGATCAGTGTGTGGTTTGGAGGGGGGGTCTGGAAACGTGGCCACTGCTCAGAACGAATGGCTCAAGTTGCAAAGAATTATTACAAAAAGTCAGCACGGGACTTTCCAACCCACGTGTCCTTGTCACGGCACGCTCTGCCGGCATGGAACAGAGACTCGTGGACACGAACGAGGGCCAGACACATTTAGCTTGAAGCCGCTGTCCACATTTTATATCTGTGGTAAAACACCTGCAATCAAATAATCGATTGAAAGGCTCTGAATTTAACGATAAAAACAATATATGAGATTGCATTTGCAAGATAATATTTCAATGGCATTTACGTTGCCCTTATTAGCACAATCAACAATTTTGGAGATAAAACCATAACCTTGTATGTGTTGAAAACAATTATTCATAACGGCACTGGTACATATTTTTGTTAACAAAGTAGATAACGCACACAATGCATACACAAAGTGCCAAGTAGCAATTAGAATAAATAAACTAAAGCATCAAAACATTACAAGCAGAGAGCCCGCGTGAAACGAGCCATCATTCATCGAGCATTGCTGCAACAAAGTCGCTTGGTGAGACTGGGACTGAACTGTGAGTACAGCGAGTTGGGGTTATTCTCTACTGAGAACAACCAACATTTCACACATGTTACATCACAACCTTATTATTACTACGATGCTTGTTTACCCAAGAAGCCTCACTAACCGCCAAGACCCTGCCAAGTTCACATTCGAGAGAAATATTTCTGTGTATAATTCCAATTGCATAATATGCAGATACTCTTACAGCATTGGGTTGTTTGACCTATATCATTTTGACATGCATTTTTTTGTTAAGAAAACAAATGGGGAGAACCTGGAGGAAAACCATGCATAATACAGGGAGAGGACATCCTGGCAGCAGACCCCATCCCCCAATGTAACTTGTTCATTGTCATGGCATCATTGTTCACTGCTGTGGTAAATGTTAAGACAGACCACAGGGGGTAGTGCAGTGTTAATTTCTCCCCCCCCCCCCATCGCTTAGAGCCCAGAATCATGACCTCTCTCGCAGACAAAACGGCACCATCCACCCACTACCCTTGCCGTCCCTGCACCATTACCCACGTGAGTGCAGTGTCATGGCTTAAGAATGTCCCATGGCAGAGCCGACCCAACCTCACTTTGGCTCAAGGCAGCAGCAGCAACTTGGGAATTGCAAGGGTTCTCACAAATACACACTGGCTCATTCCAGCATGTGCCTCAAGTCCGCCACACACGCTGCAAGGCGCACACATACGCAGGCACGCGTACACTGGAATGTCCACTAGCATAGAGATAGTAAATGTGATAAACTGGTAATTGTACCACAACGGTTTCAATGATACAAATACATCAATATCCTCTAAACGTATTAAAATAAACATTCTGGTTTATCAGACGATTGGCCTTTTAGACTCGTAAGAACAGAGCTTTTGTCCAAGCAAGCAGCCTCTGGAACCGGTTTTGACCTTCTGGATCTCATCCGGAGCGCCAGACTTGCTAAACAATCACTGCTGGTTTAGCAAACATTTCTGGTAAGAGCACTCCTTCCCTCCAAACAAAGGGGGGGGCCTAGTAATTTTAAAACACACAATGGGTAAGCTCCTCATTATCCAGAATAATGTGGAGTATTCAGGGTAAAAAAGTATCGACTCACAAATCAAATCAAGAGCCATAATCATGAAAATGTATGACTTGGGAAAGGGTGGGGGAGGGTCAAATGATTGCGTTCCCTGTGGCGAGCCGTTCAGTTCCAACAGTCTTCCAGTCAACAAAGCTTCACTGCAACACCAAACTGGAAGGGAGCTGCAGAGTTTATTCACCTCCCCCAAAATGCGCATCAACCGGGCTCCAAGTGGCACTGCGCAACATCCTGAAACGGCGGTTAAGACTGCCGATTGTGCTTTGCTATCGCGCACGCTCGCTACGACCAAGCCGTTCAAAACGTGAAGTTTCAGCTGCAACCGCCTGGTAATTTACAGGGGAATTTCCATCCGGTTGTAAACTAAGCTCTAAAAAAACTCTGCAATGACACCGCTCGCGGCGCAATAGTGCTACGTAGATCCAAATTTGGTGATAACGATCAACGTAAACATTGCACAACAACAAACTATACGATTACTCCTCTTACATATCTGTGATTATAATCAAGTCATGTGGCAGTGTGGCAGCAAATTACTCATTAGGACGATACATTTCAAAAGGACACCGACATGACTCATCCCTCATGCATCTAATAATACAGAACCACTCTGTGGAATGTCAACAACAGTGCTGGCGCAACGGGCTCTGCCAGAGGAATGTACAAAATCCACTTCCTTTTAAAGACCACCAACAATGGAGATGACCACTCAGTGCACGTGGACATACTTTCACTTGGACAAACATAACTGCAACATCGTAAACATTCATTTTGGACAACTGTCCATCTCTACGCAAACAAATAAAACGGTCCAGCAGCTTATGAGCTGTGCAGACCAATGTATTACAACAGCATTTGTTTAGCAATTCAAACTAAGGATGTTTAGACTTTGTTTAACTTGGAATTTAAACAAAATACTGCTCTTAAACATCGGTATTAAATGTCCACAGGCTGTGGCCTGAAATTTTTTTATTTGTGTCTATATATTTAAATGTAACTAGTAAGGCAGCTCTCCCTTGACACAATGGCAAAACATCTCCATGGGCGCTTGCCTCTTAAATTAATAATCATTTACCGAACAGGCATTTGCTACCCCACCCCCACAACCTCAAGCCAATTCAAGAACTCTCCAGAAGCCAAGGGCAAAGGAACGCGAGGTGCATACCACATGTCTCCTGTTAGTCACTCCCACACGCCACCAGAACCAGCTGGTTCACAGTACTACACAAGCCAGCAATTTGGTGAGGGAGCTTAACAATTTATGGTTGTTTCAAAACGGGCTGAGTAAACAGTACAGGTAGTCCTCTACTTACGATGGAGATGCGTTACGACGACCCCATTATAAGTCAAAAATATCGTAAGTCAAGATGGCCTAGCCTACCCAGGAGTCTTAAAGAATGGTGATAATTTAGCAAAACAGAGCAATTTACAGTACCATACTGTATAAAATATCTACTGTATGTATTTCTTAATTACAATACTGTATTGCATAATAAAATGTAAAATAAAAAACAAGGTAAATTCTTAGCCTACCTATATGAACTGCAATTTAATTGAAAGTATTTTCAGGAAACAATCCTATCTGCTATAAAAACTTTTAACATGCATTGAACGTATCGTATCGTGGTAACCATAAAATGAAATCGCTAATGCTACGCATCGTAACGTATCATATTGTACTGTATTCACCAAGATTCGTACGGTGCTGCGTTTGCCTGCCGCGCGAAATTTAAAATATTTTACAATTTTGTCGTATCACTATCGCCATCGTAAGAATGAAATATCGTAAGTCGGACCATCGTAACTCAGGGACTATCTGTAGTTGATAATTTTTTAGAGCCTATCCTGGGTTCTCAAGTGTAGCGAGTGTGATGATCTCAACCACATCACCAACAACTGCACAAAATAACCATTGTTCAATGAACTCGTACATTGTCAATTCAGCTCGGGCCACTTATTCGGGCTACCAAATAGTAAGGTATCAGAGGACTGCCACGCGACAAACCACTCTTTACACCTTGGCTCGTGCCAATTTGCAATGGTGGGCAGCTACGGTAACGAGACTTTCTGCTGCGCGAGTTCCAGGTGGACTCCCTTCGCCTCACGATACAAGACTCTGACAGCGACACAGCGCAGCAAAAAATGGGGGTGATAACAAGCGAGAAGGGACAGGGTGCTCGAAATAAGAAATATTAAAAGCAAATTAAATATGCCTGGTGAAATGTCAAGAGATTGGGCTCGTGTTAGCATTAGTGTTAGGAGCATGGGCCAGTGCTTGGAGGTGGATTGGCTAATTTGATTAGGACTTGGGGTATAATTATGTAACTATTGTTATCGATTCTCATAGTTCACAATACATCATCGAATCACCTAAGATAAGGTTTTTTTTCATTCTAATATTTTACGCGTAAAGAGATTACGAGGATTTGGCAGTCGACAGAGGTGCAGGGAACAAGTGCTCGAATAGAATCACAGCCCCAAATCACAGCAATTCATATCATCACCGTGTATGGGGGATCATCGTTACACCCCTAGTAGGGCTAGGGTCCGGTAAGCCAAGTACCCTCTCTGTCCCTCAACAGTTAATCCCCTCCCTCCCTATCACCATTTATGGCCTTTTCAGGTTTTTGTTCACCGTTTAAGTCTGCTGTTTACAGTGCTAGTAGGAGCAGTGGTGAGGGGGAAGGGAGGTTGGGAAAGGGCGGAGGGAGCACGAGGGTGGAGGTGGGGGAGGGAGGGGCGGTACTGACCCGTCGTCGTCGAGGGAGGCGACGTGCAGACCGTCCCGCGAGAACGTCACGGCACGCACCCAGTGGTAGTTGGCGCCGCCAGCGAAGATCGGTGATGGCGCAGGGAACAAGTGCCTGCCAGATAGAACGGGGAGGGGGGAGGGGAGGAGAGGGGTCGGAGGAGAGGGTAAGGAAGTCAAGATGAGTGGACTGCAGCAAAGGTGGCAGGGCAGGGGAGTATGCGATCCAGCACTCCCGAATACCTCTGGCTACGGTACAACCAGAAATTAATGTGCGTATTCAAAACGACTGAATGTAAATAAAGCGCTATTACCAATTACACAAACGTTCTCCAGAGTAACAGACTACATGATAGTTAAATGACGTCATTAATTCCGCAGTTTGTTCGATCCATAAATGTTTTATTGTGCCACTAACACCATATGCGGTTTATACCGCTACGAATAGTAACACAACAATACTTAGAAGACTGGTGGCAAGCCGATGTTGTGTGACGTGCGGCTGAAGATTTATTCAGAAACCTTTATTTGTAATACAAGTACAGCATAGCACAACACAAGATGATAAAAATGTAAAAATATAATTACAAAGTTAAGGGAAAAACTTGCATCATGAAATTTGTTATCGCGCCAACTCCAGGGGGTACATACAAATAGCTTTGAGAACACCCTCTGGCACCGTGGCTCAGTTATTAATATTCACGGGACGAAATCTGAGACCGTCTTGACGGCGCGACTTTCGTGGCCACGAGCTCATTTCTTCAGGGTCACACGCTCGTTGGCCACAGTACGAAGCGGGCAGCTGAAGCACTGCGGAGGACCTTGTGACACCACCGTGCGACTTCATCATTAGCGCTGGACCTCACCATCGTCAGCTTCTAACATGTGCATTTCTTCATAATCCAATTATTAGTCAATTCGCCCATGACCGACAACTAATCTTGACTGGAATCCTTAAACCTGCACTTTTATATGTCAATGCAATTACTTGTCAGTTCACCCGTGACTAACACTCGTTCCTAAATATTTTCAAATGAGCTAATAAATTAGTGGCAATGGAAAATTTCAACCTGACCATTCTACATGACCATCACCCAATCATAAATGAGGAGTTAAGCCATGACTACCCTCCAAGTATAAGAATCACCAAACCACTAACAAAAATAAATTGCCAGTTTACCATCGACCAAGTCGAAACCATGATTCTAAACATGGTGTAAACCCTAGTCCTACCAATTTACCCTTTAAAATGAACATCTCATCATCCTATTCTCCATTTATCCTGCACCAATGGAGGGCTGCCAACAAAGATGAGAACAGTCCATTGCTCATTTGAGCACGAAGACTTTTAATCCAACACTTAGCTCAACTCTAACCCCGATACTAACCTCAAACCTTTCCCAAATCCCCACACTAACCAACTCAAATGCTAGCCTCCGCCCTTAACACTTTTAAACCCATCACTAACATCTTACACTAATCCCAACACTATCCTAAACTCATATACTAATCCCAGTGCCCTAACCTTTCAAATACAGATATTCCTTCATCATCAAATCCCTGGCCAGCTAATCCATGAATAGGATTCCTCCTAACCCCATGTCTCCTACAAGCATTGTATTCCAGCATCGGCAGGACCCCCCCCCCACCCTTGGGCCGGACGGACGTGCGAGGGAAGCCAGGGTAGCGCACGTCTCACCCGAAACTGGCGACGGCGGTGCCCGTGTACGGGTCCCACAGGATGCAGCGCGTGTCGTGAGAGGCGGTGGCGAGCAGCGCCCCGTCGGGAGAGAACTCGCACGCCACCACGTCGTTGAGGTGACCCTCGAGCCGTCGCAACAGCGTGAAGTGCTCCATCTCCCACAGCAGCGCCTGCGGCAACAACGTACACACACTCGCACTCAGCAACACCATCGCAACAACGCAGACACGTCACCGTGTTCTCCCTTCCCACCCCCGCACACACCCACCCCACCAGCCCACACGCCCGACCGCCCACTCGGCCCTTGTCTCTTAGCTCGCCGCATATGTACGCGAACTGGCACTCCTCAAAGCCTTGGGCTAAGCTACGACCCTATGTGCGTATGTGTGTATGTATGTGTATTATGAGGGATAGCACAAAGTTAAAATGTTCTCAGTCCATCTAGTTACGTACGATAAACTTTGAGCGCATGCTCTCTGCCATTTTGGCTTCTTGTCATGGAAGCAAATTGAAAATGAAATTTCTTCTTTGTTTCAATGCGACTGCTACACAACTTATGAGTTTTCTTTATTAAAAAGCAGGCGTTTGTTAGATGGGGTTATGTACACGTTCCAGAAAGCATACTTTCAAAGCAACATTATACCAATTAACCATTAGAAAATTCACGGTTAGTACATGCAAACATGATATTATTTAAATTTGAATCACGCAGATTTTTAGGCAAAAACACCATTCAAAGCAAAATTTTGACTACTGCTGACTAGAACATGGGGTGGAAATTCCCATTGGTTTATTAGTTGTTTGCTTAAAATAAACTTGTACCTGTTTTAAATGCCAAGTATGCCCCATTACATGGCCAAAAAGACATGTAAGATTATCACTGGGTAACCTGATTGTACACGTGTTACCTTGTATATGTCCTCTCGTGTAACAGACAACTTACTATTACACCTTTTTTATACGTATTGCTTTAACAGATATACATAAAATATTTATGTGAATCTTGGCCAGGGCAGAACAAAGTTTGCATTTATTGCATAACTTCTAATCCATCGGCTGGCCGCATTTTACTGATGAGTCTCAATTAAGTTAAAGCCCATCCAGAGCAGACTTGTTTCATCAACAAATGTTAATGCAACCCTTTAATCTTCGAAAAGATGCAGCGCACGACAGAGTAAAAGTTATTACTTTCCAGCGATTTATAGCCCTGTAATATTTTCAAGTATTCGTATTACAGTAACTCAATGGAGAGCCCAAACCTTTTAATTTGAATATATCTTACGAGAAAAGTTTTTAAAAATTTTGGTTGCCACTCATTTTACAATAAGGATATTATATAGTTATACAACATACAAGTGGATGAAAAAAAACTGTAACATGTCACACGTTTTTACGCCAAAGGAACTTCCTTTGGGCGAGAAAGTGCTGTCACAGCCAAGGCATCAACGGCCTAGAGCTGCAAGAGAAAAAGAAGAACACAAGGCGCAAAAGGCACTCATAGACATTTCCTGCCAAAACGGCCACGCTTCTGCCAGGCTCCACGCACGCACCTGCCCGCGAGTGCGTGCGTCACGGGGGAGTGCGCCCGGCTACATTTTATTTATCCTGCTCGAAGCCCCGTGATGTTTGATTTTTCCCACATCCACGCACTGCGTCAAAAGTCTAGTTCCTTGGCCAACAAATGTCTCGCGCCGATTTCGGTTTCTATTTTGATTTCGGTGACGTCGGTTACATCTAGTCTTCGGAAACGTGTGCAGCTCGAATGAATATTTCCATCGTTTGGATTTAATGTAATACAAGATATTTGGGGCTCTGTATAAAACAGCTGCTCTGGCAGAAGCATGGCCAACATCAAGCGACGGCGTCACAATTTCGGAACGGCCGTTGTGACAAGCTCCTTCATTTAGGGCTGGTGTGTCGCATAAGAATATCATCTTGACACCAATAAACCAAGTTAGAGCAATTATCAACTTTTATTTGCATCATACAGTTACAAGTGTCTGTAAAGTGCACAGTAGCAATTGCTGGCAAATGACCGATTCATTTCATAGTGCACACACTTTTTTTTCTACATACATTGATCACTACCAAACACTCCCAGCCCTAAAGTTCAACGAGGTTGGCAAGCTTTAATGGTAAGTTCCAAGCAGCGAAAAAAAATCAAAGCCTTATTTGTTTGGTCCCGAAACACTAATTTTCCACAATTATTTAACCAAAAAAACAAAGCAGTTGTCAAAACATTTTAGAAATCACGCAAACGGTACATCTGTTAGGTGAACAAATCCAGCGGTACCACATGACACAGTGCGAGGCCATCGAATTACGAGAGCACCTAAAAGGCCATACTTAATATTCATTATCATCAGGCTTGATTACACAGGAGAGCCTCACTAAGGCTCAACTTTTTCAGGTGGGACCTGCAAAGTTATCAGTAGGGGGGTGAGGTTGCTGCCATGTGAAATCTCAATGAGTATTTTGCAAATAGATGTTCAGCGTGGGGGTATTTTGGCCAATACCAGTTAACAATGTATATTTTATTTTAGCAATGGAAAGAACTGGAGAACCCAGACAAAACCCATACAGAACAGGGGGGGGAACCATACAAACTCCACACAGACAGGTACAGAGTCAAAATTGAACCCAGGTGCTTCGTGCTGTGAGGCACAAGAGTTACCACCGCACCACCCTGTTGCCCTATAAAGCATTCACCGTTTGGTTTCTAGGTTATTTTGTTTACCAGATCACATGGTCACGCACTGTGACAGAACGATTTGTTAACAAAGTCACGAGTTAGTGTGGCATGAATGGGAGTAATAACACGCGCCCTGCACTGGGGCCTTCTTGTCACGACGAGAAATCCCTCGTCTTCAACAACAACTGCGGAGCAACCGTATGAACTACTGCCCAATAGTAACAATTTAACAATAAAAACCCAAAAAAAAGTACCACTTTGCTTTCACTTGAGAACATACATTATATTGTTTAATTGTATAATTTGCATAACTCATCGGTCAACAGCTGGTCTAAATTTGGCGACTTTACTTATTAATTTTCTACATGCGAGCAAATCATGCTTGGGGGATATCGTCTGAATTTTATTTGTGGCACTTACAACGGGTTTCTATACGAGATGGCATTTAACGCAGCTGTAGTTTATGCATCTGCATTTGCAGGAACATGGCGTGAAATTCATCTCACTGCACTCCAAGGCATTAATTGCTACTGGAACGTCAGCACAAATTAAAAGTTCGTCCATTGAACTAAAAGTTTAATTTTCTTAAGTAATGACTTCATAAGGCAAAGCGGTATACAGATTTATAGCTTTAAGTAAAGATTTAGGAATTTATAACTTTAGGTTTTTTTAAATGCAAGTGTGAGCTGATGTTGTCAAACAAAATGTGATATATGGAGTTAATAATTTGTAAAAAAAAACACTGCTGAAGATGTATATCATAACTTGAATATTGGCATGGCATAATCTCCAATAAGCCCACTCATTCTTTATAACCAAAACACACCGTATTTTGCCAATACCCACACAACCTGTAATTCATTTACCAACAGGGCAACACTTTGTGACAGGGAATGGTAATCTTAACTCTGTTTTTATACTATGACTTTTCACCCAATTTTTTTTGTTCACTTTCATTTTTCTGTCTGATGACAACTCGGCTCACAAAATCATAAACTCTTGAATATTCCCATGACTTTGTTCCATAAAAAAAACACAAACAACTCCGCTCTGTGCATATTCCACAGTGAGGCCCTTGTAAATGCCACCCTTGTCAATTCTGAGTTCGCCAACAAATGGGCAACTCAACTCCAAACACAGCCTCTGCACTGTTAGAAACCACTCTGGGCCACCGACTTGCGTTCACAAGCGACCACTTCATACGACGGCCGTCTCACCACGAGAGTACACACTGAAGGGGGGGGGGGGGGCCTTCACTGCACACAAACCGAGCGACAAATAAATTGCCCCACGGGCGGGCATACACTGCTAGCAACAGGCTCTCGGTGAGGAGAACCCACATGTTGGGGGAAACCAAAGGTTAAACCGCGAGTGACCGACCATAACAGTGGTTCTTGGGTTGGGATGGGGGAGGGGGATGGTTGGGTGAGTGGGGGTGGTTGAGGGAGGAAGGAGGAGCAGTGGGGGGTAGGGAGGGGTAATCGGGGGGCACTCACAGATTTCCCCGCTCCAACAGAGCACAGCATGGAGGCGTCCGGGGAGAAGGCGCTGGCGTTTACCCATTTGTGGTGGCCTTTGAGCACCTTCACCATGTTACCTGCAGCAGCAGCACGCACCGCACACACACGCTCATGCATCAGTAAAGTACAAAAAGGATCCTCAACCCCCTTTTCCACTGACATATGTACTGAACCTTTGCAGCCCCCCTCAAGGTACAGGTGATATTCCACTGGCTATTTTCCCCATGCAGCGACAAACCATGACACGATGGCCTCAAGATATCTGAATCTGGCTCGAACCAAGCATGGGTGGGGCTAATGACTCATTCATTGTGTCCGACATTAGTCGGTACAATTCAAACAGTGTCAGTAGTCATCTGGAAGCGTCTTGAAGCATTCATTTCACGCGACGTCAGCAGCGTGGCTCTGCTTCTAAAGTGGAAAATAAAAATGGTGCATTCTGAGGAGGTGCGCCGGGCTGGCTTGGCTGAACAGTGGACAAACGGTATTGGTGTGACCTCAATGAAACTGGTGTTCACAGCTAAAGCAGCTCAACTCAACGAGTCAGTAAGTGGTGCTCATCTGTCGGTGGCCTTAAAGCAGTAGTGGAAATTCTGTGTTCATATGACAGAGACCAGTCTCACTCATTGTGGACTTCCCACCATGTGGGACTTCATCTTATCGACCTCACAAAGACAATGGGCCTCAGTTGGTGTTTGAACTCAGGACTTTTAAGCTGAATTGGGATCTTTACCACAGTGCTTTCCTAAATTGCCACAGTCAAAGTGCTGCGTCGCGTCGGTGAACCATGATAGACGATTCCAATTAATCACTGCAATAGGAGAAACTGCAATCGTGTTCAGAGGTTTTTTTGGGTTAGATCGTGTACATATATAAGTGTCGCTAAACCCGCCAGGTGGACTTCGACAAATCTGGCTGTCGCATGATGAAGCTAGTTATAATTACTGGCGAAACGTCGTACTCAAATTGTAAATGTTGTGGCTTGGCTCTCCAACACACCGGTGTGCTGTATTAGTTACGAATTGGCAACTTCTGTTTACGTAACAACCCTTACTAGTTGGCTGTGGGGTGGTGGCAGGTTTAATGACACATGTATATATTTATGCGATCCAACCCAAAAAAACCTCTATTATGGATATGGGTCGCAAAAGCATATGTGTTAAAATGTTCACACATTCTCTCACCACAACTAGCTAGGGACCTTCACACTGTATGGTCCACGTGTCATTCGTCCAATATTCAAAATCCATCAATTTCATCCCTCCAAGCAAGACCTGGCAAAACCTAATTTATACAATATGTTTGTCTTTGTGCAGTAATTAGCGATTGGGCACTTGGTTCAATCCCAATTTGGCGGCCGCTCGGATTGAGACGGCGAATCTCACTGGTGCCAATTCTCACCGATGCAGGCAATACGAGCCCCTTGCCACGTATTCCAATCACTGAAAACGGATGCCAACACCACCCCAGAGCCACCATCGATCACGCCAATGCACAATCAGCACGGTCAATGACCACGAAGGTCATTCAAGACAATGGCGGGAGAGCAATGAGGCTTTCACGTGAAGCACCCTTTTGTACACAGCACTATTTGCAGCACGATAACCGCATCGTCAGGTGATAAGACAAATATTAGCCAGCCAGGAGATTGTAGCCCTATGACTAGAGGGCAGGTCAACAGCTTTGTTTTGGGTTGGTTTTTTTCATCACTTGGAAAATCTATTTTTGTAAAGTGGTTGTTGCTTTGGTTAATTGGGAGTTGTTGTTCATAAGCGACGCTCGCCCATTCTCACCGTCATCCTTGAGGTCCCAGACACGCAGGGTTTTGTCGCGCGACGCGGACACGAGCATCAGGCTGCCATCGGGCGCAAAGGTGAGGTCCTGCACAATGGCCGTGTGGTCCATGAGGTACAGCAGGAACTTGCCTGCACACGCAGACACAAAAATCACAAACAATCCCACCTTCAGCGACCTATATTCTATTGCCAAGGTGAGAGCGAGCACCAAATATGGGTGTGATGAGCAAATTATTCCAGCAGCATTTTGCACCCAATTTTCTAAAGAAAAAAACCTCGGGGACCTCCGTGTGTTAGGTTCAAACATCGATTGCCACGAGTGCACCATCAGGACTTCCCAGTTTGGGTTTAACAGCACTTATCCGTATGTCCAGGCGATATGAAGCAATCATCCCAGGACAAATGAATGAAAACGAATGCACACGTCTCATTTTTGACAGGCAATTAATCTAGGTACATGACAACAAGTAAAAATCTTTGGTTAAATTATATGGATATATACGTGGCAACCCAACAAAATAGGGTTGAGGATGTTCTGTAGAGGTGGCTACCACGTGGCAAGTTCCGCACAAGGTAGCCATTTCAAAAAAATAAAAAATAAATCAAGTGGTTTCCTGCTCAAGCTAACAAGGGATGGTGTTAATTTCCATTCGAGTCTTGACCGAGTGTTGTAAACCCCACATTCCAAAAGCGGGGACAAGTTGTTAAAAAGTCTCTTGCAGAAATGGTCATTTGGATGCAGTGCATATATTATCTGGGGAAAAAATCAGACTCAATTGTTTACAAAAAAGTTCCACATCCTCATCAGTTAATTTTATGTGCACACCTTTACCCAGAGCAACTGTCACTTGTCTTGTCAACAGCTTTGTCAACAAAACAAGCCTTGGGACCATTACCACATTCTCCTGATAAGACGATACAGAACCCACTCAAACGTGTGCCCATTTTCAACAGTTTTACCAATATGGTCACACACACCCCTAGCAGTTGATAAGATGCAGCCCCTAATTTTGCTTAAAAATATAGTGGAAGGTGGGGGTGGGAATTGCATCTTATAATCTGAAGAATGCAGTTAAAGCTGAACACTTTAAAAAATGTGCTCAACAATTCATTTTTGAGTAACAGATAATTTTTTTTTAAATGCACACATGTATTGTATAAATAAGCAATAGCAGGTTTTACACACTACACCCATCACCAAATGTGTCATTGGCCTTTCTTGTTTTCTTTCCCTTATCACAACCTGGAGTGACCTTGCAGAATTCTGCGATTATCTGACTGTTCACGGATGTTTTGCAGACAGGCAGAATACAGCTGTGGGCAGTGGGGCGTTGGCCAAACGTCAGCAGCTGTGGCTCTAAGAGCCAATCTCTTACAGCAGGAAGGGAGGAGGGTGGGGGGAGCGTCCACGTAGATCCACCTATCGGCTGGTGCCATCCGTTGACGCCTCCTTTTTTGCAGTGGTCGCCCTACGGCCAAATCTGTAGCGCCAGGCCCCTGCCCTCCCCCACCCTCCGGGGCTTCACACTGCCCACGCAAGAGCCCCGGCCAACTTAATCTCATAAACTGCACCATCAATCAATAGTCAACTGGCAGTCATACAACAAAAATACGCCTATAATAGCATGCTCACAACTTACGTTTCTGTGCAGCAGCTGCTTACAACCATATTGCGAGTCAATGCTTGCATGTAAAACTGAATATAACAAACCTTAAAAGCACTTCGTGGCCAGAGAGTGAATACAAGAGTCTCTTTTCGCATATATTGTTAGGGCACCGAATTGCACGGTTAAACTAAAAATGTCCAAACACTGACCAGCGTGGTCAAGTATGGTGTATAACCCCCACGAGCAACACAGAATTTTGAAGCCCTCATCCAGCAGCAGACTGACAAAAGGGCTTACATAGACATGTACAGTAAAGGCATTTAATATGGTTTCATGGCTCCACTTTCTTGGCTCGTGGTCTACTTTTGGCCGCTTGGACCACAGATGTGTTTCAAATAAAACTCCAGCCTCTTTCCTAAGTCACGTATGCATAATACCCTACCCAGGGTTTAGCCACTCTTGTAAATCCTCATTCACCATGTTTATGTTGATTCAATGAGGATAACAATTAAATATATCTTTTTAAGGATTTTTTTCACTCGCTGCCAAACACTACTCAATCTTTGGGCCAACTTTCAGGAAAACCGTTGTGTGTGCAGTGGTTTGCAAGATGGGAGACGCATGTTTCACTCTCATTGGGGCTCATCAGCAAGCCATAGCCAGCTACAGAATGCCAACAACGGTCCAGAATATTAATACGGAGGAGACCACAGCCAAGCCTAATTTTTTTTCAAAACAAAAGGGAAATCAACTATATTCACTGGTTGGAGATTTGAGCATCTGGTTGAGAGATTCGGCAGTACATTAAAACATACGAGATTCGTGTTTTATCTTGCGTTATATCTGGAACTTATTATATGGCTGGGCCTTCTTCACCTCGAGCTACGTTCGTCGCGCAAATGTTACGACGAGTTTTTGTCAAGCTGTGAGGGAAAAAAGTTCGCCACGCATAGTCGTTTCTACATCCTGGAAAATTTTACGATTTTATTTTTATTTCTCCCTCGAGTCAACAAACGACTTTTTACAAAAACCTTAGTACAAGCTGACCCGTGTCAAGCTGGCCAGATCCGGCACAGAGTGACCCACTCCGCTTGAAAATCCATCCAACTTTTACAACAACAAAAACCCCAAAAACTCCTTTGCAGGGAGGGGAAAAAAATGATGCGGTCATCTATGCAGAACACCTTGAGTAAATGATCTCGCCGTTTAGAAATTCATATTTAAAACCAAAAGGGAAGCAACCAATGAGTCATGCTACTGCATACGTTTTCACAGTCGTGCCGTGTCACTCTCGGATGTGGTTTCTTTAAGAACTAATATGAAGCTCCATGCTTACGGGATGAAACGTCAGACATGCCAAACCACAAGCGGCACAACCCGAAAACAAATCAATGTGTCACTCGAGTTATATAACGCTACCTAACACTGCAACTCGTCTTATTTCAGAATGCTGCATGGCACCCCGAGATTCACATTTTACTGACTGTAGGGTGTACCACTCTGTACACGTCCAAAAAATAACAACGTAGACCAAGAAATCTCGTTGAGACTAGTGTGAAACAACAACACTCCAAACATCCGCCCTGTTACTGATTGACCACAAAAGTCCTGCCATGACCTTCAGCAGTGCTTTTAATTGGTCAATAAAGAATCAACCAAACAGGAAAATGTATTATGACCTTTTTCCCCTCGCCAATGAGTTACCTCAATCCATACATCTAAACGTAGCACACCGAGCCAAAAGAAAGTTAATGCACATAAACATCGATAAAACATCAGCCAATAGAAACACTGTATGTGGTTGGCAGAGGGGGACATGTGGCAAAAACACGTTAACCATAATTGCTTTGGCAGCCGCACAGAAGCCAATTGGAGTGCTGGCTGTTGACACTCTCGCAATCTCATTATAAAGTTGTGCAAGCGGCGTAGAGGCATTTGGTCATGGTAATCAGTCACCTGGCAGTTCCAATGCTTGGCAGAGAAAAGCCACTAGTGAGAATTATATTATTATATTATTTTATTATGTTTTATTTTTATTATTTTATTACTTCCCTTCTATGTGACTTTACCGAAAGAACCAAGAAGATTAATCCCTGCAGTCACGAAAGCTTTAAATCGAAATTGATCAAGTTTTGTTTGCTACCCTGTGCCTGCGACTTAAAACTGTCCATCACTTGCATGCGAAATGCTTGGTGTCAAAACGTTTCTCCCTGCTCAATTGAAAATTGGGCAGGGCAGAGCTGGGTCAGTGATAGATTTCTACATTCCTATGGAGGGATCCGTATCACCTACAGGACAAGCATCGTTGATTTCTCACAGCATAGTACTGATTATATTCAGCCAGGAAAGATAATGCACCGAGTTGATGTTCTGACCAAAACATTTATTCAGCCCCTTACAATTGCAAGTTGCTCTACCAGTGTCATCCAGCTGGAAATATAAACGACAATTACCGTGAATTTCTCACAGCATGGTACAAACTATTAATAATCCCTCACAATTTCAAGATTTCCCATTGCAAAATGTACTCTCGATTTGTAGGTTAAATTGTTCGGAAACATTTGGTTGCCCTTCATAGATCTACTTTGAAAAAAGATCATAGTCCAAAATATAAGCCAGCCATACATTTTATATATTGTGTTATAATGCAGAATGTGTTATTGTTTTATGCTCGTTTAAGCAGGTAAGCATTCGTGAGTACCAATACTCTTTCAGAAGGGTCCTATCAAGTTTCTAAGTGTATCCAAATACAGTCGTACATCAGTATACGACCGCTTTGGAATACGTCGAATTTGGTATACGTCGTGTTTTGACGAGGAAAAAAATGTCTTGGGATACGACGTCTTACTTGGGATACGATGCGCTTGCTAGAACTTGTATGGGTCGGGATGAGCCACTGCGTACTCGCGTATACCCCGTTCACGACTGAAACAAAGCGCCGCTCCTCAGTCTGCCTGTACAGTAGATCTCGTTCAGTGCCCAACCCTTGCTATAATTTATGTATGCATTTTAGTAATAAGTAGTGTCTAAATTATTTTATACAACCCCATTAATGTATAATATGCCATATAAAATATCATTTATTATACTCTGGAACGGATTACTTTCTTTCCCTTTATTTCTTATGGGAAAAATTCGTTTGGTACACATCATTTTCGGTATAAGTCCGACCTTTTGGAACAAATTAACGACGTATACTGAGGTACCACTGTAGAATCATTTTAAGGTAATCCTTCAGCACTCGAATGTTTGGCCAAAATCAGTTACATTGTCTTTTTTTCTAGATACGAGAGGAAAAATGGAGAACCCTGACGAAATCTATGCCCAAAAGAGGGAGAACAAACAAACCTATGCAGAAAGGCACCCAAGTCAGGAAAGGAAACCGAAGCCCCACGTGCTGTGTGGAAAATGTTCCCACTGCTTCACCCTGCCACCCATAATGAAGGTTACAAGATACTCCTCAGCGTGTGCTAAATTAAGAATTGTTCCTCTGCGCAGCAGCTGTGCAAAGGTTTTCGCACTGCGTTGTGAACCCGGTAACCAATGTTCATTGGAACATTAAAACATTACATTGGTTAAAAACCTCAGCTGTTACTCTGAAAGCTTATATTAGTGGTGGCGCAATCTGGTCAGATGGCTGTGGTGTGGAATGTATGTAAAGCACGCACTGCCAATCTAATAACAGACTAAAAATGTACCAGCATGTTACTGTTCCCTCCGCTGTGCAAAGTATTTTTTGTTGAACAGCACCACATACCACCCAACCCTTTTGTTGTGCATTAAATACGAACAGCCACAAGAGTGGCCTGGATAAACAACACAAAGCTGCTTTCAAAACAACCTTGACGCTTCTGAAGGACCTTGAAAAATGAGTGATCAATTTCAAGTACCATTGCAAAGAGCAACTCCTATAAACCAAACTAAAATAAATGTTTTGGTGGATGCAGTGGTTCGTGGATTTCACTGGTGAACCTGGAAATCCAAGTTCAATTGTTGACCAATGCTAATATCAGTGGTAAGCGATCTCTGAACAGATCCCTCACCGACAATCTTCATAAACCTGCACTGACCTGCGTGGTGAAGTACAGCTACAGTTGTAGAAAAACAGTAGAGTGCACACTCCACTACACAAAGGACTGGCACCTTACTTTCATTTACAGCCCGGCTAACATCAATGGCGAGTCATATTTGAACAACTCCCGTTGTCTCCCTTCGCCAACCCACACCGATCCAGCATGGTGAAACATGTTCAAACAATCCCCATGACCGGCACAGCATGGGAGGCCTTCATCCACCAACAGAGAAAGGACTGTAAATTATACCATTAAATTACATTATTATTATAATAACTAGCCTTTTGTCTGTCCAAGGACGGGTGTATTGCAGTAAATCTGAAACTCGCAAGTGAAAAGCAGACCGCAACATGATATTCATTGCATCCATTCGTGAGCAATTTGTAAGGCCACGGTGACACAGACCTATAAAATTTTAAGGTTATAATCCCTTGTTCATCATGACGTCCTTTTTACTTCTATGTCTCAATAGCGTTTCGCGTGACGTGAGGGTTCTGCCTTTGTAGTGAGGGTTGTAAGTTGACACCGAGAAGGGGGAGGAAGCGCCTCCGCCCCCGCATACGGAGCGACGTCACCCGCTAATTATTATTAATGGCGGGGGGGGGGGTCCATTTGGAGGTCGTCACCTGCTCATGATTATTAATGAGGGGGGGCTGGTCGACGTGGAGTGACGTCATACACATTACACGCTGACATTCTTGGATAAATATAGTAGTAAATAATCGGAATTTTAGCTGCAAATTTTTTTCCATGATCCCTCACTCCCGCGCCACCCACCGGTATACACGTCCCAGATCTTGATGCGGCCGCTGGCGAGGCCGGTGGCGAGCACCAGGGCGTCGTCGTCAAAGCGAAAGCGGTGGAACTCGATGTTGATGCAGCGGCTCGTCTTCCCAGGCAGCGGCGAGCCCAGCGCGAGGCTCCACACCGTCTCGCCGCACTCGATGGTACGGCCGCCCACGTCGTTCCCCACGTCGTTCCCATCACCCTCCTCAACAACGGCGCCATCGCCGTCAGCTATCACCTCGCCGCTGCTGCTCGGTCTGGGCCAGTGACAACCACGCATGCACGAGGGGGACGATCATTATTATAATTCCACTAGTTTGCCCAGGAAAGCCTCACAGAGTCTCAAGGCTATTTTTCATGAGGGTCAGCCCAAGTTCTTGCAGCAGAGGGGTGAGATGCTGCTGCGTGTAATCTCAATTGAGTGATTGGCAGGTAATATCAGCATTGGAGCTGTTTGGCCAATAACAATTACAATGTATGGTTTTTTTTTTAAATGGGAGAAAACTGGAGAACCTGGGGGAAATCCATGCAGAACAGGTGGAAAATATACAAACTCCATGCAGAAAGGCACCCGAGTCAGGAATCGAACCCAGGTCCTACTTGCTGTGAAGCCGAAGTGTTACGATTGATCCACCCTACTGCCCAAATCAAATCTTGTCTCTAACAAGTCGCTACATTGGTTAAACTCACTATCAGAGCTGGGGTAAATTGTCATTACAATTACAGGAGCAATGTTATCTGAAATTACAATTACATTGTAATTATAATTAATTACGACTGGTACAAAAAGTATTGATCCAAATAAATGTCGATTATCTACATATACTTCAGGGTAGTGTTGCGGTCAGAGTACTCCGGTCATTTTCTAAAGCTGCAATTAAACTTCACCGCGCTGGTTAGTACGAATTGGTGAAGCCGAGGGGATGTCCAGCACCGTTCATATATCACTCACCACCGATGTCAGCTGTGGCAAAAATCAAACTCAGGTGGCTAACGACTGCACCACCACTCCCCACCCCATAAGCATTATTAGGAGGAATTAAATTATAACGGCAAAGTTGCCTAATTTGTGTGATGTCCTTGGGTAGACAGGAGGAGTGAAGAGTGATCTGTTTTTAACGGTGTTGTTGTTGCCACTCACAAGTTGTTGAGCCTGGGAGACCAGGGCAGGAGCCGCACGGTGCCGCGAGGTCCCTGCGCCCAGGCGACGAAGGTCCCGTCGGGGGACCAAGCCACCGCCCTCACCTCACAGCCAGACTTGAGGCCGCGGGGGGGCCCGCTCGGAGGTCTCAGCTCGCTCACCAGGTAGGATGGGGCTGCATTTGTGCACAAAAACAGTTCCCAAAACATGACCTTAATAGACTGTTGGTGCTCGTGATGATACGAGCACCTTCTAAGGCCATCAGGAAATACGGGAGGTGGTGTGGACGGCGCCATTACATTAATTTATAAATTAACGGATGCACATCAACACGAACGTTCACGCACACACATATGCACATAATCACTAAGCAACCCACATTTATAACGTAATAAAACATTATACTGTGGATGCTGCTATTGGCCAACAGTAGTCATCTTTTAGACGGATCCCTGCCATTGGAATGTGTCAATTTAACGACTGGTACGGGAGACATTTAAAAGTTTCAATAAAATGTTTACTTCTTTTAACGGAACTGCAATACCAGAACTGCTTGTGTTTATATTGTTGTCCTTCCACCACGCCTCCGATTAGTACGGTTGGCTGCAGTTTAACATACATACAAGGTTACGCTGTCCTTTGGATGCGATAAGATGCAAACACAGCATTGATGGATACATTTTTATTCTTAATCACTACAATTGTATCTTCCTTCGTTACTATGCTCAGAGTTATGCACGTCTATAAAGCTTACAACATCACGAGTAGCAATGCAGGAATCCATTTAATTACGCAAAGCTCCAAAATGATAGAGTTTAAGAGCTGAATATTTAACTTACGATACCCAAAAAGTCACAAAAAATACCATGGGACATGTTATTGTTCTACACCATTACCGTATTGTGTCCATAAATACAATAGACAATTTACGTTTTTTCACCAATCCACTTATGGATGAAAGGATTTCCCCACACTACACTGGTTATGGGGGCTGTGCGGGTGCAGTCTTGTGAAGGGGCCCATGACCTGTTCAGATATCACTTGCCACTCATGTTCGACGTGGCTGGGAATCAAAATGGGGTTGCTGAATTCAGAACGCAATTTGGCCACTGCACCTCCTCAAAAATAAGCGTATACAATAGTTCAATGTAAATTAATTTGTTTAAATCAAATTATTTTAAGTAAATTTTTTAACAATTTTTTTTTTACAGAACTCTCATGCCTTTGTCAAATATAACATTAAAGGACCGTCAACAACGGTAATCAAGTCCCCTTTTGAGTCAGGGTTGATCATTTCTGCAAGTTTTTCAGTAAATGATCGTACCATTTCTCAAATATATAATTAATAAAAAATTCAGAAATATTTCGCATCAATATCCCAGAAAACATTTTCTGAAAAATATTACCAAAGAAATATTCCAGTGAAATATCTTAAACATCGCAGATTCCTGCAAAACCTCCCACAAAAAAATATTCCATCTAAATATTTCAGAGAAATACCTCAGATTGAATTCAATCCACATAAATATTGACCAACATCACCCCTGGAAATAATGCCCGCAGCTCAATGCTCATGTGACTTGCGGACCCACTCCTACTGAACATCTGTGAAAAAGAGCTTCATAGCTCATCGGATTCCTCCAGTCTAAATAAAGATTCTGATTTTCACAGCGATGCGCACAATCTCCTTCATGAATGAAAATATGAAGACAAGCCACAGTAGTGCCATTGTGACCATACAACCCAAACTATGGACCAAATAGTAAACCCAGAGATAAAGATAAACATTGACTCAGAGATACATATAGACACGGAGAGATAAAGACAGACTCAAAAAGACTCAAATCCATAAAGAGTGTTACACTCAAAGACACGCACGGAGCCAGATCAAATTTAAAGAAAAGCCACAATAGTGCGGCTACGGGCATACAATCCAAACTTCGTAAACCCATTCAGAAACACATATACTGTACACACTCCGAGACAGATACCTGATGAGACTCGTATATATAGACCGACAGATTCAAATACACGAGACTCATAGATACATATACGTATACCCCGAGATATATATATATATAAAGAACCGCACATGTTAAACAAAGACACGCCAGAGTCGTGCGGTTGTGGCCGTGTAACCCAAACAATACAGTACTGTCGTCTGCGCTGCTTCAATGGAAGGATGAAAAGCAAAACGAGAGCGTCCTCCCGATGCCCTCTCGTCGTGGCCAGCTGATCTCAACATCGACACATCCCTAGCCCCTTTGATTGCTGCCATCATACGCGAGAATATAAATATTGAGATGGAATAGTTAGATAGGAGGCATTTATTATATTCGAGTGAAATCATCAACTTTCACCAACAGCAAGGCGCGGTTTAATTATACCCAAAAACAGCTCAATGCTTGCGGTCCATAATAAACAATTAAAAAAATATTTTACCAGATAAGGCCCACTGAGCTATGTAGCTCTTTTGTTAAAAGTGGCCTGGCCACAAATGATAGCTCAAAGTCGCTTATCATGTGGAAATGTATAGCAGCCAAATACTGTAACCTAAAAACATGTTTAAAATGTGAAGGGAAAAACCGGAGGACCCGGAGAAAAAATCCACGCAAACACGTGGCGAACACACAAACTCCAAATATACAGCAGCAGCAGCAGGCGTCAGGGGTCCGGATCGAACCCACGACCTCCTGCACACCAGGCGAGTAAGTTAACATCTCCTTGCCACCGTGATGTTGATGATGATGAGAGACACGCAAACTCCAAATATACAGCAGCAGCAGCAGCAGGCGTCAGGGGTCCGGATCGAACCCACGACCTCCTGCACACCAGGCGAGTAAGTTAACATCTCCTTGCCACCGTGATGTTGATGATGATGAGAGACACGCAAACTCCAAATATACAGCAGCAGCAGCAGGCGTCAGGGGTCCGGATCGAACCCACGACCTCCTGCACACCAGGCGAGGTAGTTAACGTCTCCTTGCCACCGTGCTACTCGCACATCAATAAAACCCACGTGGCGATCCCACGGTAACATCGTCCCCTCGCGCCTATGGTGGCGAGGCGAGGCTGGTTCGGCGATAGTGGTGGCGCTAATCTGCTCCAGACCACGAGGAGCAGGAGAGAGACGACTACGGGGTGTAACGATCGCCCCCGTGGCCACACACACGCAGAGAGAGAGAGCGGCCATAGCAAGCTCCCCTCCCCCGCCTCCACGACTCCACACTCACCGATAGCATCTTCGTTGACAGCGTGAGGGAAGCTGGCCATCTAACGAGTCGATTGTGTAGGTGAAAAATATATACGGTTAACAGGAAAGCAATACTTAAACAAAGATAAACGCGAAATACGTTTCTCCGTTGTACTCTGGAATCGCTGCCAAGAGCTTCGTGGCCGATGCCGAGGCGATCCCGCTTTGTGAGGTAAACCTCTCTCACTCCGTCGCCGCACTAATAACACCACGCGCCGTCTTTATCGAGGCGAGAGCACGATCCCAACGATTCGCCAGAGATCGATTGGAGGGGAATTGCGACGTTGAGCGACGTGAATTTGCACGAATCGCTGCAACAACAACGACGACGACGGCGGCGGCGGAGCGAGCGGAGCGCCTCGGATCTGCGGGGGCCGCCGCGAGTCGCGCGGCTCTTTGAGGCCGCGCGCCCCACCCACGCGGTGACGTCACCTACACCACGCCCCCTTCTCATGAATATTCATGAGCGCGTTACCACGCCCCCTTCTCATGAATATTCATGAGCGCGTTACCACGCCCCCTTCTCATGAATATTCATGAGCGCGTTACCACGCCCCCTTCTCGTGAATATTCATGAGCGCGTTACCACGAGATAATTAGAGTTTTGCCAGCCGATAGCCAGTCCAAGTCCGGGTGTATTGTAGTAAATCTGAAATATGCAATCGAAAATAATATTCCGCTCATGATTATTAAGATGTGGAGTGACGTCAATAGCTCATGGTAAATATTAATGATGGCGTTACGGAGTTGGTGTGACATCAGGGTTCCGACTTTTAACTTACGAAGATAATTCTACGACAATTTGTTTTCGGAAGCTTTGCAAATAAAAAGATGCCAGAGGCGCGATCTGCCATTCGCGACGAGAGGGCATCAGCGGCAGCAGAGAGAGAGAGAGAGAGTTGTGGTTTTGCTGTCGCTCATCCCCCGCTTGGCGGAGCGAGGCCACAGCGTGTGGCCTGTGAGGCCCGCGCGGTCTTTCGCTGATTGCGAGCGAGGTTGTTCAAGCCGTGATATTCGTTCGATCCCGAGTCAGCGCAGGGAAAAAATGCGAATGATCGATTTATGAAGGTAAAAAAAACCCGCATGGCCCTATCGGCTAAACTTAACAACGCCCCACGTTTAATTCATGTATTAATATTCCTGAGCACGAGCTTATTGGTTCAGACCATTGACGTCAAACGGTCCTAGTTTAATATTAATTAGCTTTCCCCCGAATCTGTGTGACGCCACGCGCCTAGTTAATATTAATGATCGATACGTGCCGCCACGATTAGTTAATTAATTAGTCACATGCCGTGACGTCAGCGACCACTACGGCGTGCCCACGTGGGTGGCGGGACAGCAGCGCGAGAGGGCCTCGTGGTCCATAAAGCAACAATAACTCGGGGGGCCTTCAGCGATCCACCGCTGGATGAAGGCTTCCCTCACGAAGCCTCGGCGGTCCTGTTGGGGTTGTCTGACCGCACTCCGGCGCGGATTTGGTGAACATGGATGAGGTTGGCGGCCCCGGTTCGGATATTGGCCGTTGAATTGGAATCTTTATTTTATATATCATGGAGAAATCCAATGAGCTATGAAGATATTTTTTTTATTAACAAACAATACAAAAACCATAGAAGTGAAAAGTTATGGGAAGGGTAAACAAATCACTACAAATAAATAATTATACTTAAACTAAAATACAGTATTTCGATTTAAAGCTTTCGTGACTGCAGGGATTCATCTTCTGAATGACGCTGTCGCCTCGACAGACCTGGTTTTCACCTGAGGACGGCTGCTTGCGTTGTGGCCGAAACGTCGTGATAATTGTTTTATTATGTTTTATTATTTTATTACTTCCCTTCTACGTGACTTTACCGAAAGAACCAAGAAGATAAACTACAGTATTTTTATTTTACCATATCGATCCCACTGAGCGATTCTTTTTCAGAAGTCACCTGGCCTCACAAATGATAGCTCGACGAAGTGCCTGATTATGTGGACATTTGTAGCAGCCAAATGTTGGCTGTGGCCGGGAATCGAACGTAGGAGGCCGGATTGATAGCGCGGTGCGCTATGCCAATCGCTCCACGTCTTATATGTGGCAGGGTGGCGCAGATCGCGAGTTCGATTCCCGACTCGGACGGCGCTCTGTGTGGAGTGTGTATAAGAGAATGGAATGTGTATGTTCGCGCTCAGTTCTGGATGGGGTTTCTCCGGTTTCATCCCTTTTCTAAACACACAGTGGGACTGCCATTGGCCAAACATCCCCAATGCTTAACAAGCCCGCTTGAAAATTACTCAATTGTGATTACGCATGTTAGCAACATTGCCCCCTACTGCGGGAGTTGGCGGGACCCTCCTGAAATATTCACGAGACTCAGGCTTTCCTGGGTAAACAAACGTCATAATAGCAATAAAATTTAAGTGCGTAAGCCACAGCGCCACAATCTTATCATCCGTGAGAGCAAACTGGCTGAATGCTCCATAAGGCAGGTTTTCTCAAGTTATTTTGGCCCGCAGACCACTCGGCCGATGCAAGCATTTACACGGACCACCCAGCCGCCCACCCCTGGTGACAACACTCGTTCACTTCTCTACATACTGTACCACGAATACAACATGATTCATAAAAACTACTTTTTTTTATTCAGTAATAAGGTTTTTTTGTTTTAGGCGGCGCATTTGGTTATGTCTTAGGGTTAGGGTAGTTTAATCAAGGTAGTTTACCCAACTTCATTTTGAAATTAAATATAAGTAAAATATGTATCGTTCGAAACAACATTTCCATTATTCAGCACGCGGACCACGTGGAGGACCGTCGCGTAAACACTGGCGGCTCAGGGACCGCAGTCTGAGAACCACTGCCCTGAGCCAATCCGTCCTCCCCTGTGTGTGTGTGTGGAGTGTGTGTTTGTGTGTGTGTGTAGAGTGAGTGTGTGTGGAGTTTGTGTGTGTGGAGTGTGTTTGTGTGTGTGGAGTGTGTGTGTGTAGAGTGAGTGTTTGTGTGTGGAGTGTGTGTGGAGTTTGTGTGTGGAGTGTGTTTGTGTGTGTGGAGTGAGTGTTTGTGTGTGTGGAGTGTGTGTGTGTGGAGTGAGTGTTTGTGTGTGTGGAGTGTGTGTGTGTGGAGTGTGTGTTTGTGTGTGTGTGTAGAGTGAGTGTGTGTGGAGTTTGTGTGTGTGGAGTGTGTGTGTGTGGAGTGTGTGTGTGTAGAGTGAGTGTTTGTGTGTGGAGTGTGTGTGGAGTTTGTGTGTGGAGTGTGTTTGTGTGTGTGGAGTGAGTGTGTGTGTGGAGTGTGTGTGTGTGGAGTGAGTGTTTGTGTGTGTGTGGAGTGTGTGTGGAGTGTGTGTGTGTGGAGTGAGTGTTTGTGTGTGTGGAGTGTGTGTTTGTGGAGTGTGTGTGTTTGTGTGTGTTTGCCCCCCTTTTGGCTTTCCGGGAATTCAACTGAGGTGATTGTTGGTGATTGTAAAACTCAAAATGATCGTTTGCGCCGCTGTGGAGGATATAAATGACGTTGATAATGAGCACGCGATGTTTCCTTCGTGCTTCAATTCTGGACCATGGCGCTGGAAGGCATGGCCTCATTCTTGATCAGAACGTCATAGGATCTTTCACGTCCGCCGTGAAGCAGACAGCGCACAACTCAAATACATTTTATTATTGTTAATATATCCGCAGTATTAACCAGGGAGGCCATTGGGATTGAACCACGAACCTCTGCAGAACGTGGCAAACGCGCCACCGCTGGGCCGCGTCACCGCCCCGTAGTGTCTGATGAAGGTTATCCTGCCGACGACAACCTACCCCCATCAACCAAGACCTCACCATCTCCCTCGCCACCACCCACTCAAGTCCGAATCGCCTTCATGGAACCGTGGCTGTCACCATCCTAGAATCTCGCCCAGATCCAGAAGAACGCTGGCGAACAGAGTGGAACAATGTGGACGTCCAGAATAACCCCCTCATTCGAGACCCAAACATGGCTTAGACATCCCTCATCAAAGACACTGCAGTGACTGTCAACGACATTAGAACATCAACAGGTCGATGCTGCGGTTGTGGCCACGCAACCAAAGCTATGGATCACATAGTAAACCACTGCAAATGTGATCACCTTCAACGAAGGGGAAATCGTAAAACTACACGAACTCTATCTCACGAAGCCCTCTCGTCGCGGGCAGCAGATCTCGCCATTGGCATTAAGCTCCCGAACCACACTGCTACTGCCATCACGCGCGAGAACAGACCGAGTGCGGCTTATGCTTCGCTCGACGTAATCGTAACGGCTGTCGGATTCCACCACGACCAAACCTCCCCCAGCGAGGTCATAACTCATAACATTGAATACACACTCGCAAAACAATGTCAGTGCGTAGCAAGTGCAGAGAAAACTGGTATCGAGAGCCGGGCCTTGCCCTCTTGTCGCCCCAGGTGGGTGCGGGGGGCGGCTTTCCAGAATGTTCTCTTGCGCGACCCGAACTGCACCCCGAAAATAGACAAATCGGTCATCACAACATAGCCGGGATAGCTGACATCCTTGAGGTCCGTAGATTTATATCCAGGTCTCAGCTAACTGTAATCAACCGGGTTCTCAAGTGTTGTGAGTTGATGATCTCACCCAGGTTACCAAAGACTGACATAGAGACCCATATACTCTATTATAGAGACCCAAAGGCTTACATAGAGACCCATAGACTGACACTGACTGAGTTTCTCTCTAAACTCAGCTCCTGACCGACCGAATAACTCATGACCAACATGGGCTGCAGATTACAAAGAGACAAAAGAAAATCACTCCACAAACAAATCAATCACGTGACCAGTCCATTGTGCCTACGATAATCTTACAAATGTCTACGTGACACGGTGGAGTATCACAATTATTTCTGGCATACATCATCCGCACCTTCTAGAATGTTGCTGAACTGGCCCCCTAGCTTTACGTGGAGGGCTTCTTTCCAACAACATCTGGCAACACAGCCCCCTGATTTGTTAAACAGGCCGCACTCTGTTGCGTGATGTCACTCGCAAAATGTATCCCCATCCTGCGTTGTGCTGCTGCTGTTTAAAAAAGACAATCTTGGTGGGAAACACTGGACGGCAGGGTGGCAGCAGAGTGGTAACACGGCAACAATGGTCGGGGTTCCATGTCCAGCTTGGGCACCTTTTCTGTGTCGAGTTTGTATGTTCTCTTCCTGTTCTGCATGGGGTTTCCCTTCGGGTTCTCTGGGTGTCTTCCCAGAGCGTAGAGAAACAATGTAACCGGCATTGGCCAAACATAGCAACGGGTGAAAAATTGCCTGCACATGACGCAATTGGGATTACACATACAGCGGCAACACGGCCTCCCGACTGCGAAAACCTGGCAGGACGCTCCTGGAAATATTCTTGAGGCATGGTGGAGCATAAATACGGGCAATCAATGCAAGATATTGTTTTTGCGAGTATCAAAGTATGAAAAAATAAGAATAGATATTACCCTTCCGAGCAATAAAACGGGTGTTAAGATGTTCAAACACCAAAACGAAACTTTTGCAATGAATCATGTCTACATTAACCACAAGAAGGATGTCTTTGGTATAGGCTAATTAGTTTCAAATACAATGCATGTAATTATCAGAGCATGTTTGTTTGCATGTTCACCACAAGTACGTGTGGTTAATGCGAACTTGATTCCTTGCAAAGGTTTATATTTGGCGTTTGAACATCCTAATATCAGTTTTATTGCCAAAAAGGGTGAAACCTATTCTTATTTTTTCAAAGGTTGATGAATTTTAGAATTCTTTTCTGTTCCGTGGAGCAACTGAGTTTTTCTACTTGATTAATAATTCCGAATAAACGGGAACTTCCGAGCCGTAACGGTCATCAGCTTGTGTCACGGGGGCACACGTGGCACATATAGATTCGCGTACTGCCCAAACATCTGAAAACGCATTGCTTTGACAATTTGCCCGATGTTTGGCAAGAGACCTTGACATGTTTTTGCCAAACACCAGACGAAAATGGATGAAAACAACGCATCAGTGATGGTACCCATGACGCCATAATGACGGGGGCAGAGTTCATGGTCCACTTGAAGAAGAGTTGTCCACGGCAGGGAATCCAGGCCTGATGCCGGTAAACAGCGATGATGATGTCATGCGACACTGCAGTTGTCCTCACATTCACCCTTAATCGCAGTCCCAAATAAAATCATTAGCTGGGTTTATCAGTCACGTAAAAGACCCAACGCAGAAGATCCCTGGGTTTCATCTTCCACGAAGCTCATGGACCATCCTAAACCGGCATCCACTGCACAAATCATGGCAGTCGATGCGGATACCTGATGCACAAATGGAAAATCAAAAACTTTCAAGTATGCGACTGTGGTCATCCAGAGCAGACCGTACAACATGTAACGACGCAATGCCCGATCCACAACTATGAAGGAGACATCACATCGGTGATACACTCCGCTCCTCCTGACGCTGTTATCTGGCTTGATAACCACCCGAATGTGAAAATGTAATTGTTCCTATGCATCAAACATCAGCTATACGAAAGAAGAATAAGTGGTAGAATACCTTTGGGCCACTAATCTCAAATCATAGAACCACAGAGAGGTGGACGAGCCCCTGTGCTGGTGTGGAGAGTGGCGGGTGACAGTAACGGGATGGAAGGTCACAGGGTCACGCGAGTCGTGGGGGTGTCCACACGGCCCGGGTGGTGTTCCGTTGTAAAATTTGCGGAGCTGAGTGAGCCAGAACAGAACGGTGAAACTCTGCGTTTCACAAGAAGACGTCTGAGTTCGGCTCAGGGCCAAGCAGAGCTTGGGGCGGGGTCAATAATTTTCGTCGTCGCGTTGCAACTTCACTCATTGTGACATGACGCAAAGCTGTCAACCTACACGGTTTACCCCGTATTCGTGTACAGGGAAATTGAGTTTTCAGGTCCAAACGGCGTACGGCCGTTTCAATAGGAGCAAAATGCTTTTATGTCTGTTTGTGTTTCTCTCGTGATGGGACTTTGTAGGACGAACGTTGAGATTTATAAGGGCACGGTGTGACCAATAAGGTCTGAATTGGTCTGTAATAATGTAGACACTGATAAGGGGTTGACAGGCATGCATGACGCCTCTTCACCAAGAGGCGTCCTCCTCTTCACGGCGACTGGGATATCAGCAATGTTGTGGTGGAGCAGCTCACCGCAGTAAATGGCTTATATTGTTTGCAAATATTTGTGTTTATTTAGGCTTCAATTCGTGACAATCAGAATCTCGATTTATACTGGAGGAATCCAATTAGCTATAAAGCTCTTTTTCACATATGTCCAGTAGGGCAGGTCAGAACGTTATAACAACAAACAATACAAGCTTGGATGACTTAATACATTCCCATTGACGCAACGCATGTTCATAGGTTACAAAGGCTGGGAATAATGGAACGCTATGAATTCGTGAATAAAAGATGCACACAACAGATGCCGCGTGCGAGAAAGTGGCTCAAATCCTCGGCTCTGGCGCCCCCGACTGGCCGCAGTGAGACCACCTCACACCCAGTCCCACGTGGGATTTGATGCGATCAGGCCGTGGCGCGCCATGGATATTATTTTATTAATTAGGCTGGTTTACCCAGGAAAGCCTTCCCGAGTCTCAACTTTTTTTTCATGAGGGTCCTGCAAAGTTTTTGCAGTCAGGGGCGATGTTGTATGGTGAATTTATTTCGCACCGTACATAGCCAATCGTGCTAATCAGAGGTACGGGGGAAGGACAATACAAAAATCAGTTCTCAAGAAATGTTTTCAATCTAGATTTAAAAGTGCATAGCTCCAGTAGCTTCCTAATATTGGAAGAGCGTTCCAGACGGCCGCAGAAGCGCATCTGAAAGCAGGCGATGCGGTGACCCTCTTTGTTCGATGGCAAACCGAAAGCCGCTGTGAGGATGACCTGACTTTGCGTGATGGTTTATGCTCCTTGATGAGATCAGCACGGTATTGTGGTTCATTTGTGGCAAGCACTTCGTGTGTAATAATGTATTCGTTCAGTAACCGGAAGCCAATGCAGCTCAGCGAGCGCCTGACGGACGTGGTATTACTGTGCATACTAAATGCTACTCTATTGTGAATGGTCGGCACACTTGACTTACAATCCAAAGGTCGCCTCTTCGATCTCCAGCCACGGCAGTTTATGACAATTAAGTAATTTTCAGGAATTGTTAGAATTGAAATGTTTGGCCAACTCTACCAGTCACATTGAATCTACGGTTTGTATTACTAATGGAAGGACAGTGGAGAACCCGAAGAAATCCCATGCAGGACAGGGGGGGGGGGGACATACAAACTCGACACGGAAAGGCGCCCGAATCGGGAATCAAACCCAGGCCCTTGTGCTGTGGTGCACAAGTGTCACCACTGCCCCCACCCAGAGTTTATTGAGAAACGTGCCTCACATCCGTGTTGCTGACTGCATCACAGCTGGGTGACACACCTTATATTTCGCATTTCTGTCATACCATTGTACAATATTTGCAAAGCGCACTTGCGAACTTACACAGTTATTCCATGGTGTTCTTGGTTAACCAACATTGCTAAATGTCCAATTACAATGCAAATGACGACTGCATGTGTGCATGATCAAGATAAAATACACTACTGTATTGAAATTTTCTGCACAGGTCTTGAGTATCATGAAACTAAACAATAAAACCAAAAAATATATTTTACCAGGTAAAGCCTACGGAGCTATTTAGCTCTTTTTCAGAAGCAACCTGACCACAAATGTTAGCTCAAGAGGCTTGTCAAGTGGGACCCAAATACTCTAAACACGTTTCTCAATGGAGGGAAACACCGAAGGACCCGCAAAAAAATCCACAAGACCCCGGGGAAAACACATGCAAACTTCAAATATTCAGCAGCAGGCGTCATGGTTGGGATCGAACCCAAGACCTCCTGTATACCAGGCGAGGTGGTTGGATCGGTGTTGCACCCACTTGGACGGTCCTGACACTTGCGGGTAGTATAGACAAAGATTGAGACCACCCCACAATTTAAATCTGTAACAAATTTAAGAAAGGTATGTGCAGCATTTAATATCAAATACTGTCAGCCCTATGCGCGCAATACTGCACGCCTGCGTTTTAAATCTATTAGTTTCCAGCCTGCACTGCGATGGGGCTTCTTGTCATAAACAGATGTGGATCATTGGCTTTGGGCAAATGCCAATGGGGTGGCCAGTGTAAAGGTCACCGTACTCTCAGTATATGGAGGAGCTCCAAGGAGGCATTTGACAGCAGCCAACAAAATGATTGTACAGTACTGATGAGCCCCATGAGGACGAAACCGGCCGACAATTTCTCAACTCGTTGATTGGTGGTTGAATGACAAATTGTCCACACGTTCAGTAATTTTGAGCTGGTGGTCTGGATAAGGTCGAGAGCTTTTGTGCAAGCAATTCACATCATCTACTTGTAAACAATATTTGCACATAATAGACACACATCACATGGTATGGAAAAACATTTTTTTATTGAAATCTTGGATGAATGAGGCATGGCCTCCCAATGAAAGGGGATTGGATGCAGGGAGCCTAATATCATCCCTAACCCAGCCTTAGCTCTTACCCAGCCTTAGCTCCACCCCTAACTCAGCCTTAGCTCCACCCCTAACCCAGCCTTAGCTCCACCCCTAACCCAGCCTTAGCTCCACCCCTAACCCAGCCTTAGCTCCACCCCTAACCCAGCCTTAGCTCCACCCCTAACCCAGCCGTAGCTCCACCCCTAACCCAGCCGTAGCTCCACCCCTAACCCAGCCTTAGCTCCACCCCTAACCCAGCCTTAGCTCCACCCCTAACCCAGCCGTAGCTCCACCCCTAACCCAGCCGTAGCTCCACCCCTAACCCAGCCTTAGCTCCACCCCTAACCCAGCCTTAGCTCCACCCCTAACCCAGCCTTAGCTCCACCCCTAACCCAGCCTTAGCTCCACCCCTAACCCAGCCTTAGCTCCACCCCTAACCCAGCCTTAGCGCCACCCCTAACCCAGCCTTAGCTCCACCCCTAACCCAGCCTTAGCTCCACCCCTAACCCAGCCTTAGCTCCACCCCTAACCCAGCCTTAGCTCCACCCCTAACCCAGCCTTAGCTCCACCCCTAACCCAGCCTTAGCTCCACCCCTAACCCAGCCTTAGCTCCACCCCTAACCCAGCCTTAGCTCTATCCCTAACCCAGCCTTAGTTTATACAAAACCCAACGTTAACTCAAACTCTTGACGCGAACCTAAACCATCTGACTGCTCAGTGGGATGGATGGCTGCTGGCAGTGATAGCCCTAACCCTCGACCCTAACAAATCCTGCCGCTTGTCCTAACCTTCCCAAGCTTGGGCAAGCTGACACGCGCGGAGTTGCAGTGAGGATGCAACGTTGGATGGGGGGATGCGGGGCCGTGTGTCGGGCGGTCCGTCACTCAGCGGTGCGTGAAGAAGCCTTGCCGAGGGTTGTACTTGAAGGGCTTGAGGCGGTTGGGCCCTCTGCGGGGTGGGGGGGGGGGATAACCCATGGTGAAGACGGAAGTCTCGCCCACACAGTTGGATGTTTAAAGTCAAACTCTGTACGGTCCACAGAACGGCAGGGTTGTGCGAAAGCTTTGAAGGGGTGCTGGGTGCATACCGACCTGCGTTACGTCTATCTGCGTAGAGAAGCGGCGCGCAGTGGTGAGTGCACTGCACTACTAAACTGGCAACATGAGTTTGATTCCAGGCCACGGATAACATCAACCTGCACTGGTCACCACGGTGAAGTATGGTCAAACAATCCCTGTGACTGACATGGCATGGAGAGGCCTTCATCCTGCAGTGGCTTGATCAAGGGCTGTAAATTCTTAATATATTTATCTGTGTACTGATCTCGGTATTCTACCTGCGTATTCATCCTTCATAAATCAATCCACATCCCCAGAGGCTAAACAGGTGTGGTACCGTATTGGCAGCGGTGCACAGCACAAATATTTAAAAAATCAAACACTCATCAATAACAACTGCTGACATTATTTGGCCCCTGGCCTTTCTTCTTTTGCATGCTGTGAAGGGTGCCTCTATGAGCGAGTCTGTAAGATGGCCTGCCTCCACCCACATTCTTGTGTCCGTGTGTCTGATCCCCCGGGGTACCGGCTGAGACGCAGGCACATCTTGTCCCTGGGGAACTCGCGAGGGCCCTCCACGCTGACGTCAGGGCTCCACGTCTCTAGGTACACGTCCAGGCAGGCGCAGATGCGCGCCAGCTGGTTCGTCAGCAGCTCGTAGCCAGGTTTCGGGCCCATCAGCTCGCCCGCATGCACACACACCTCGCTCTCGATCGCCTGCGGAATAAGCCAAGCCACCGGCGCCAGTGAAAAATGCAACTGCAATTTTACTCCGTAGCGGCTGACGCTGCGGCAGCAAAGATTCATCACTGGCTCTGAGAATGTTCAGAACTCATAACACTGTCACATTGACCACATGGATTATTAATGTATTTTGTCAATTGTCTAAAGAGAGGTGCCACCAGTCAAGATTAAACCACATTGCCACCAGTGAAGATTAATCCACGCTGCCACCAGTGAAGATTAAACCAGGACCTAGTCCCGCAGATCCTGATGCTGGTGCAGTGGGGAGAGCCACACACGGTTGGAGTTCTCAAAAGTCACGCATGCAAGTGGATTGACAACTTGGATTATTTACGTGTTCAATTAAAATATTAAGCACAAATTAACACAACCACTTTTGTCAGTAACACCGCCTTGCATCGTACAACGATGGAGTAGGCTGCCGTTTCACGCAATGGCCCTTCAGAGCAGAGAGGCGGGCGGCTGGCACGTACACGGATGTTGTCGTCCGTCTGGCTGCTCCTCTCCCCATTCCAGCTGAGGCAGAGGCTGAGGATGGGCGCCGGGCTCGGGAAGCTCGGGCTGAGCAGCACCGCAACACGCAGCTTGGCTGCACGAACAAAACAAACATCCTCCGTGGAGTCTTAACAAACGATTGGCGAGCGCCTATGAAGGCCGGCACGGCACACGAGGGGGTGGGTGGCCAGCACGACGCTCGACCGCCTTCGTCTCCCTAGTGGCGACGTTTACACGCTGCACCAGGCACTCATTTCAGGCTGAGTGGACCTAGGGGAGGCCCAGAACCAGTTCAGATATTCGTCACTGGTGTTAGCCCTCAGCAGGAATCGAACCCGGGTCGCTGGGTTCGTAGTGCAGCGCGCTAATCGCTAAACTCCGTACACAAACACACACATACACAAACGTCCATGCACATGCAAATCACACATATAAGAATAGCACAATGTCAGGACAGCAAAAAGTGGCATAATTATTATTTATCATTCCTGCTTGGGTCTCAAGACTTTTGAAGGAGGGTCCTGCTGCGTGTGATCCCACTTGAATAATTTGCAGGTAATTTATTTTAGGATTGGGATGTTTGGCCAAAACAGTTACATTGTATATGGGAAGAATCTAATTCGGAATGTTTATTAGACTGGAGGAATCCAATTAACTATAAAGCTATTTTTCACAGATGTTCAGTAGGGGCGGTCAGAACGATACAACAACAAACAATACAAAAACGTGATAGGTGTGCAAAGTATAGGAAAGGTAAACAAATCACTTAGAAAAAGAAACACAAACAAAACTTAGTTCATCTTACCAGGTAAAATCCACTTGAAGAATGAACTTATTTTTCAGAAGCGAACTGGCCACAAATGATAGCTCAACGAAGCCGAAAAAATCCACGCGACCACAGGGATAATATGCAAACTCCAAATATACAGGCGTCAGAAAACCAGAGAACCCATTGAAAACCCATGCATTAAGGACGAGAACACACAAACTCCACACGGGCACCCAAGTTGGGAATTGATCCCAGGCCCTCCTTGCAGTTCCTGTCCGCATCATTATGAGAAGTCATCTGAAATAAAGGGACCCTGGTCTAGGGCTTTTAATCGGTGTGTATTACCTGCTGTGACATGAAGCGGCATCATGGACAATGGCTGAAAATGGAACGAAAGCTGAAAGTCCAGCGTGGAGAGGTGAACGTTGCTAGAAGAGACGATGGGCCGGTGGTTCGTGACGGACGAATGACAGAGTGGCGGCAGCCACTGAAAATCAGCTCGTGTGCAAGAGCCAAGATGGATTGCTACGTCACAGGACTGCGAGGGATGGACACGGCTTGTGGATTAGTCACGACAGGATTGCGATGGGGTTGGGCCACGGCACACCGGTAACGGAGGAACTGCCACGCGTACCGGTGCCGCGCTCGATGAGAGCGCTGAAGTAGAGGTCACTCTCCTGGGCCAGGCCGGCCTCCACAACGTGGCGGGTGTACGGCAGCACCTGCAGGCCACGGCGGGAGGGCGGGGGCAGAGGGGGGATGGGAGACACGGGCCCGCTGTGCCGGTGAGCCGGCCGCGCGAATCCAAGTTGCACACACCCTGGAGCGTGGCACTGTGCAGAAGCCGAGGGTTGGTGCATTACACAAACATTTGACACTGCCAATCCCGCTGGGCTGCGAGGTCGCCATCTCCTTGCTTGCCAGGTCGGTTGATTTTTAACTCTAGTCAATATTAAGTGTTGCTCGTCTAACACATGTGGGTCCTCCAGGCACTCTGGTTTCCAGAACACTAATTAACATAATCCATAATAAAGAGATCAATCGCGTAAATATAAATGTGTCGTTAAACCTGCCAGCACCTGACAGCCAGTTAGTAAGGTTTGTCATGTAAATCAAATGTGCCAATGAGTTACTGGTTCAGTGTTGGAGAGTAAACCCACAACGTTTACAATTCGAGTACGACATTTCGGTGGCGATTATAACCAGCTTCAACCCAAAAAACCTTTATTATGAAAATTAGTCGCGAAAGTCTACATGTTAAACGAATTAACGGAGTTGGCCAAACACCTCAATATAGGATCGTTGGGCTTGGGTGATTGTTGGTGCGGGCTCTGACTGCCTTCCCCCGCTTGTCTGTGGTTTACCACACTTCTGAATTTAAGGAAACTGTGCAAATAGGAGTCACAAATTTGTGTCGTTCATTTTCAGCCCCGAGTGGGTGATGCAGATTGCGACCAAGGTCAAGGGGTGTTCATAGTCGCAATGCCACCGATGCCATCGCTTAAGCAGTTGCTCCAGAATCAACACCTAAACTCCACGGTCTACCCTTTCAAACATCGTTTTCACCATTAGGCTATAAGGTCAGCGGTTCTTAACCTTTACTGCAGCCTGCACCCCTTTAGTTCTCAATGGTAAATAAATGTATGTTAATAAATACATCGGGGTTTGATGAAACAAAGTAGTTGTACTTATGTGCCTGTGCTTGATTTGTGTTTTCGATGATTTACCTTCTAAAAAAATCTGGCCATGTCTCGCACCCACAGAAAGGGCATCTCGCACCCCCAGGGGGTGCGTGCACCCCAGGTTAAGAACCACTGCAGGTAATCCTTATCCATAACGTAGGAGCATATCGTTACTAAACTATAAACTAAACTAAATATTTATTTTTGACCAGGTAAGGCCCATTGAGTTATATACCTCTTTTTCAGAAGCTAGTTCAATGAAGTGGCGTATGTGGAAATGTATAGCAGCCTAATACTCTAAAACGCACGTTTATTCTAAATGTGGAAGGAAACACCAGAGAACATGGAGAAAAATCCACGCAACTGCATGCAAACTCCAAATATACAGGTGTCAGGGTCGACCCCACAACCTCCTGCACAACAGGCGATGAAGATAACATCTTCAGTGGACTGACAAAGCGCTGTCCATCAATATTAATTCGAGCAGCCAGTAACACCAAATTGAACTTCTAATCATGAACAGCGCTTGTCCTTTGCAAGTGTAGAGGTGGTGCTCGGAATTCTATGGCACCAGTGCTGGAGGCCGCACCTTGTACTCGTCATAGGTGGAGGCGGTCCACTGTATGAGGCGTGACACCATCTTGGCAGGGAAGAGTGGCTGGCTCTCGGCCGACACTGGCAAGATGCAGTGTTCTGTTGGACAAAACAAACACAACGGCAAAGTTCCCAATCCGTGTAGCCTACACATGGCTCTTCAGGCAGGTGCTGTTAGCGAGCCCCTACGAAGGCCTGCACATGGCACGGTGGCGGTGGTGCGGCCTGCGCCTCGCCTGGCCGCATTTTCCTCCTCAGTGATGATGTTTACACACCGCACGCAGTATTCATGTATGGCCAAGTAGACACAGGGGAGGCCCAGGAAAGGTTCAGATATCGCTTACAACTGATGTTAACTATTTTTATTTTACCTGGTAAGGCCCAGTGAGCTATAAAGCTCTTTTTCAGAAGCGACCTGGCCAAAAATGATAGCTCAACGAAGTGGCGGCTTATTATGTGGAAATATATACCAGCCAAATACTCCAAAACGAATGTTTCTAAATGTGGAGGGAAAAACCGGATGACCCGGAAGAAAAATGTACGCCACCACTGGGAGGAACACGCAAACTCCAAATATACAGGTGTCAGGATTAAGATGAAACCCACGACCTCTTGTATACCAAGCAAGGTAGTTAACATCTGACCACCGTGGCACCTTGGCCGCGTGGCTGGGTTCGAAGCTCAGTGCTTTCATTTCTACACCATATCTCCATCCCGTGTGTGGGGCCACACACATATAAAGCCCTATGGGGGATCTATCTGTGTGTGTCTTTGTATGTCTTTGTGTATGTGTGTATGCATGTTGGGGCAAGTGCTGTAAGAGAGCATCTCAATCTGTTAAGGGTATACAGGGGATCTTTGTCTTTGTTTTTTTGTGTATGTGTGTGTATGTGTGTGTGGGGAATGGTAGTGTAGAGGTTAGCGCGTTGTGCTACAAACCCAGCGACCCAATGATGGATTATCTGAACCAGTCGTGGGTCGACTCAGCCTCAAATGAGTACCTGGTGCGGTGTGTAAACATCGCCACTGGAAAGACAAAAAGCAGCCGGGCATGGTGCTGGCATCCCACCCCCTCGTGTACCGTTCCAGCCTTCATAGGTGCTCGCTAACAGCACTTGCCCCTCCAGTCTGTTAATGCTATACGGGGATCTTTGTGTATGTGTGTGTGTATGTGTATGTATGTGTGTGTGTATGTGTGTGTGTATATGTGTCCCGCAAAACAACCCCCTACCTCCTCGCGGTGCCGGACGGGCAACTCTGTCGTGGACAATGCTGTGGGGGTAGGGCCAATGCCGATTGGCCTTTCCCCTCATGGCGTCTGTGACCACCACAGTGGCTAAACGGGGGCTCAGGACGGGTGCGAGGGGCTAGTAACCCCTCCACCTTCAATTCATTACCACTAAACCACGACTTAAATATGTAACTAATATGCTTGTGCCGGAGGCCCCGGGGGGACAGGCGTCTATGACGTCTCCTGGCCAAAGCCCAATTGGCGGAGCCAGGAGATTGAATCTCTACCCTCGGGGCTCCTCCAGAAACAACAAAAAGTCACTTCGTGTGGCCACGTGGAAAGTTCGAACGCTTACTGCGGAGGACAGGCTGCCACTCCTCTGTCGGGAGCTGGACCGGTACCGACTGGATCTCTCTGGAATTCAGGAGGTCCGGCCGGTTCTGGCACCTACCACCACGAGGGGTGGACAGTCTTCTACTCGGGGCAGGAGACTGCCAAACAACAGGGTGTGGCTCTTCTTTTGAACAAAAGAATGAAGGGGGCGTGGGAGCGTGGCGGTGAGGTGTGGGAAGCTGTAAGCCCCAGGCTACTTTGGGCTCGCCTTCCCATCAACCCGAGGCGAGGAGTGGTGGTCGTGGTTACTTATGCCCCCACCGAAGACGAACATCCGTGGAGGGATGCAGGCAAAGCCGATGAGTCAGATGCCTTCTATGGCCTCCTGTCACAGGTGCTGGCTAAAGTGGCCACTCGGGATAGAGTCATCTTGTTGGGTGACTTCAATGCCCGAGTTGGTCATGATGCTGGCACCTGATCTGGAGTGATTGGAGGGCATGGGCCAGATCAGCTCAATAACAACGGTAGGAGGCTGCTAGATTTTTGTGCAGCCCATGGGCATGTAATTACCAACACGCTCTTCCGGCATCGGCGCATCCACACAACATCATGGATGCATGCCGGGTCCAAGCAAGAACATCTGCTGGACTACATAGTGACGGACCAGCGGATGCGAGCCCATGTCCTTGACACCAGGACCTACCGTGGAGCTGATCTGCCCTCTGACCATCGACTAGTCATCTGTAAGATGCACCTGCCATTCTTCCACTCCGGTGGTAGATGTACACCCAGGACCCCATTCCAACCTAAAGTGGCCTGGTCTCAGTTAGCTGATGAAAGTTGCAAGTGAGAATTTCATCATCGCTTGCGGCTGGGGTTGGTATCGTCCCTCACTCCTCCTGATGTCAAGGGTAAATGGGCGAGGTTTAGGACTGCGACTCATGCAGCTGCAATGGTTGCTTTGGGTACGTGGTCCAGACCTCCCCAGAGACCCTGCTTGACAGAGGAGGTGTTCAGGATAGTTGAGAAAAAGCGACAGGCCCACTCTCATCGGCTACAGCATCCCACGTCAGAGAATGAGGAGGCTTACCACAGCATTCGCTCGGAGGTTCGGAGAGCCGTAAGGCGCTGCAAGGATGGGTGGTGGTCGCGGGTTGCTGAGGAGATGGAGTCTGCCTCAGTGGCCCGCGATCACAAATCACTATTTAACTCCATCAAAAAAGTAACCTGCAGCGCCATACCAATCTCCGACCCCCAGGAACAGGTTTGCAGATTTGCTGAGCATTTCTGTGAAGTCCTGGGGGAGGGGAAATCCCTCAGCCAGTAAAACATCATGGACAAAGTGGGGATGACCCTGCTCAGGCTGCGGTGCCTCAAATATTGGAAGAAGTCACCCCCTGTGAGTGGCTGGCTGAGGTGCCATCTGTTGAGGAAGTACTGAAGGCGATCCGGAGTCTGAGACCAGGAAAGGCACCGGGCAGAGATGATCTCCCAAGCGAAATGCTGAGCGAGGGTGGCGTTTGTGCACAGGCTGCCTTATATGACATCATAACAACAGTCTGGACCACTGGACGGGTTCCGCAGGATTGGAAGGATGCCCTGTAACAACTACAGGGGCATCTCACTCCTCAGTGTGCCGGGAAAGGTCCTGGCAAGGATTATTCAACATCGCCTTGCTAGGCACGCTGAGAGGCTTGCGGAGCCCCAATGCAGTTTCAGGAAAGGGCGGTCCTGCACAGATGCCATATTTTCTGTCCGTCTCCTACAGCAGAGGTGTAGGGAATTCCAAAGAGACCTACATCTCTGCTTTATTGACCTGGTCAAGGCCTATGATACCATCAGTAAGCCTGGGCTCTGGGTTGTTCTTCGTGCTTTCAGAGTCCCTGACCCTCTGCTCACGATCATTAAAGACCTTCATGATGGTAAGCGGGCCCGGGTAAAACTATGTGGCCGGGAGTCAGAGCCATTCCCTGTACACCTTGAGGTGTGACAGGGATGTCCTCTGGCTCCCACATTATTTAACATCTATTTTGACCACGTAGTTCGTGAAGCCTTCAATGGCTGTACCGGGGGAATTTCCATTTAGTACAGATATAATGGGAGGCTGATCGATGCCCGGGTGCGATCAAGGGATGGCTCCCTATTGGTCAACCACGTTATGTATGCCGATGATTTGGTAATAGCTGCTCATTCAGAGGAGGAGTTGGAGACGCTGCTGCTGAGACTGGAGCGTGCCACTAAAAAGTGGGGCCTTACCATCAGCCCCACCAAAACTAAGCACCTGCCTGGGTATTTTGTACCATCGGACACTCCACAACTCCCAATCGGTGATGGGGCAGTTGTGAAGAGAGTGGAGAGTTTCCCATACCTGGGCAGTGCGCTTATGACTGGCTCCAGTTTAACAGCAGAGGTCTCACTCTGAATCAGTCGAGCGGCAATATCTTTCCATCGGTTGCGTAACGCTGTGTGGAAGCTACCTGGTCTGTCGCTCCGCACGAAGCTTCAGGTCTTCTCGGCCACAGTCATTCCCTCCCTTCTCTACGCTTGCAAAACGTGGACCCTCCTAATGGAGCATCTTCGCCGGTGAGAAATATTTAGGCTGGCCTGCCTACGATCCATCCTGGGTTTAACCAGGCTGGATTGTGAGGAGCTCACAAATCCTTGAAAGATCTGGGCAAAGTCCCATCGGTGAGCTCCTCCGGCAGGCCAGGCTGCGTTGGCTGGGTCATGTAGCCCGCATGCCCAGCCACCGCATGCCTAAACAGCTTTTGTTCGGGCCGGATCGAGGGGGCTAAACGGGCGCGGCACGGGCTAGAGAAGAGATGGAGTGATGTGGTACAGGAGGACGTGGAACCAAGTGGACTTGCCGATGACTGGTACCAGTGGTGTCAAGATTGGCCTCTGTGGAGGAGGCTCGTGAAGGACGATACTGGGTAGTTGGAGGCAGTCGTCCTCCAACAACAACGAAGGGCGGAGGAGCGACACTCACAAAAACGAGCGGAGCGCCGGGTGGCTAAAGTACAGCAAGTTGGCACAGTAGGGGGCACAGGTGGTGCATCAGCCAGTCATCTCAGTCATCTCAGTCAGTCGACCCGTGGCACCTGGGTCTGCCCCATGACCTCCTTGCCAACGGGCGTTCGACACTTCACGTGGCCTCAAGGTGCACATGGCCTGGCACAAGCGTCGTGGTGACGTCACCACCACTTAGTGGCGAATGGCGGTTGTTGTTGTATATATGTGTGTGTGTATGTGCGAGGGGCTCTTACCCAGGGCAGCGAACTGCCGCTGCAGGGCGAGGCGGCCCAGCAGGCGCATGCGCAGAAGCCTCACCGTCGTCTCCATGTGGCTGGCGCTCAGCACGCTCTGCGCCGACACGCTCTGCTGTAGAGGATGGAGGAGGAGGAGCAAGCAGGAGTGACTGGTGGAGATGGACATCTGGACGGATGCATCAACTATATTGGGAATTGTTTTTGCTGTTGTAATTTTTGGAGAGCCAGGTCCCCTCATGCAAATGACACCTAATCTTGGTCTCGAGATATCATCCGGTTAAACAAAATAAAGCTGAACGTGGTGCATCAGCCAGTCTCTCCCCACCTCTGGCTGTTAATTCTCAACACGGTGGTCTGAGGCCCAGTGACTAGTGAGCTTTGTGGCTGTATGATGCTGCCCATCGTATCATGTGACTTGAGAAGATGATGATGTTGATACAACAGAGACCATGGTGGGAATTCAGACTCACCCCTTTCCAAGTGGGGCCCTTAGTAATCATATCACAGCAGCACAAGTTTAAAGGCTGTTATTGCTCATTTAATAGAATGTATCAATAGTATGCATATATGTTGAACTCATTTCGCACCGTACGTAGCCAACCATGCTAATTAGAGGTGCAGGGGACGGACAGCAAACTAAACACAAATAGCAGATTGAATTGTTTGATGGTTTGTGGGTTGATTAAAGTCAATGGGCTGATATACAAAGAAAGTGCTGAGCATAATGAAACAGCGTTTTTCACGTTCCTCTTGAAGGGGAAAGCCAACAACACGGCTAACTTCAGTGGCGAGTAATTCCTGCACCAGTTCTGGGCCAACTCGCACTCACCAATACGGTGAAGTATGGCACCATAACCTTGACCGACACGACTGACATTAATCCAGCAGTGGATTCACAGATGGCTTCAAATTTTAGTTTTTATTTCTATGAAGCTCGTTCACCCACAAAAGCCTCACCGAGTCCAACAACTCTTTTTGCAGGAGGGTCCTGCCATGTTATCACAGAAGGCGACGATTGCTATGCACGCACCAGCTGGGCTACTTAGCGGTGTAATTTTAAAAATTTAGACAGCGACGCTGGCACATCATGGCCTACTCATGAGAATGATGTCATGAGATGCTTTACACCCACTGTGAAGCGACCTAACCACAAATGATAGCTCAACTCAGTGGCTTATCACGTGGGCATTGATGGCAGCCAAATACTCTAAAATGTGACGTTGATTCTAAATATGGAGGAAAGAACTGACCACGAGAAGAGAAAAGATGCAGACTCCAAATAGACAGCAGGCATCAGGGTCGGGATTGAACCCACGAACATGTGCATACCAGGCGAGGGAGATAACATATGCTAGCCACCACGGGGCCCCAACCAATGAGCGGTGAAAGTGGTACCACTGGGCCATGGTGTCAGCGCCCGCGTAGCGCGATGTCAACGTGGTGCAGGCGAGCGCCGGCGGGCCGCGCGGGCGAACGCAGCCACAGCACCCGCCGCCGTACCTCGGTGGGCTGAGCAGGGAAGTGGAGTCCTGCCAGCCACTGCACCCACACGTACGGGCGCCCCACCTCCTGCACGTAGCTGCCCAGGGACTCCATCCTGCAGCAACAGGGCGAGGAGAGTGAGGGGGCGAGTAGAGCGTAGAGGCAAGGAGAGAAACAGTCCTGGGCCTCCCCTAGGTCGACTCAGCCTCAAATAAGTACCTTGTGCAGTGTGAATACATCACCACTGGGGAGTCAAAGGAAGCTGGGAGTGGTGCTGGCCACCCACCCCCTCGTGTGCCGTGCCGGCCTTCATAGGTCCTCGCTAACAGCCCTTGCCCCAACAGTCTGTTAAGGCTATATGGGGTGCCCTGGTTATTACTGTGGGTATCCTTAGGTTTTTTCGGTAAAGTCACGTAGGTAAAAACATTAAAAAGTAAAATAAAATAAAAATCACGACGTTTCGGAGGCAACACAAGCTTCCGTCTTCAGGTGGTACCGTCACAGCCACGACAGCTGTATCAAGTAAATGAGAGATTTCAGGAGTTACCACTGCGTTTATATAATGGTTGGAGAAGGTGGTAGGGCATGGGCCGCATCTTTATTATTAATATGGTAAGGTGAGGCTTGAGACTAAGAATAGACTGCATAACAAAGGCTGAGCCTTTGTTATGCAGTCTAGCCTTTGTTATGCAGTTATGCAGTCTTTGTTATGCAGTCTATTCTTAGTCTCAAGCCTCACCTTACCATATTAATAATAAAGATGCGGCCCATGCCCCACCACCTTCTCCAACCATTATATAAACGCAGTGGTAACTCCTGAAATCTCTCATTTACTTGATACAGCTGTCGTGGCTGTGACGGTACCACCTGAAGACGGAAGCTTGTGTTGCCTCCGAAACGTCGTGATTTTTATTTTATTTTACTTTTTAATGTTTTTACCTACGTGACTTTACCGAAAAAACCTAAGGATATGAATCATTGCAGTCACGAAAGCTTCAAATCTAGTATTACTGTGGGTGTTTTAACTGTAACATAAACAGCAGCGCATTTGTGATAGCTTTGAGCTGTAAGAATGGCGCAAATATCAAATACACAATTATTACTGTTGTTATTGAATGACTTGCCCCTCGGGGTCTGTGTATGTGCGTGTGTGCGCGTGTGTGCGCGTGCGTGAGGATTCACACCCCAGTCGCTGCAGGTGGAAGCGGTTGGCAGGGTTGGGGCTGTCGTTGCCGTGGTCGCCCGGGTACAGGCACGTCAGCAGGCTGTCCGGAGTCAAGAGGTCCCTGCGCGCACACCCGGCGAGCGCCGTTGCTCACGTCAGCACGCTGCACGAGCACGGCTCGTGTGACGCCGGCAACGAGTGCTGGGATGCTGGTCCGACCATCATACTCCTCACGCGAACACACCGCTTCAGTTTGGTCAATCAGATTCGAAACAACAAGGTAGAGTTGCAGCCTTACAATTGCCACTGCTGGCAGTAAGGCTCTACAAGAGAGGGTGTTATTGGCCAATTCTTCCACGCTGGTCAAGATGACTTGGAATAGGGTGCATCCACACTTTACCCCACCTCAATCTCCCAATTGACTAACTGTGGTGTGCCCATTTACACTGCAGGGGGGGTGGGGGGGGGGAGAACCAACCGGCGAACTCTGCATCGCAAGTCCCTGCGAATGTTTTTAATAACGAAGGCCAATTTTTTGTTGCAGGTGTTGGTGAATGTGCCGCTCCCCTGCAGTGTGCAGGTCACCCGTTGCTCTGCTTGGGCTGTGTGTGCTTTGCGTCTCTGCTCCGCTGGGGCGCCGTGTTTGCGCCTCGGTGAGTTTGCTCCCCTGACGTACCGCAAGGGACATCGTTTCTGCACCAAAATACAGATGGCATCTGTCCCAATTCTGCGAGATTAACATCGCTTCAACTCTGTGCTCGACGAGAAAACCCATCAAAAGAGACATGTAAATGCTGCCTGTAGGGAGGGCCACATGACCACAACTCTGCGAGTCGGTGAATGCTTATAATTTTTTTGTTGAGCTGGTGGTCTGCAGGAGGCTGAGAGCTTGTGTACAGGCCATGCCGCGTGTCCGGGAGGCGTGGTTAAATCTACGGAGACTACACGTACATATAACCGCAGTCGGTGCATGAAATATCGATGTGTAAATTGCACTTATTGTACGGGGCTGTAGAGAGAAATATAACACGCAGGGTACCCCCGGTGCTGCACACAACTTTACTGCGCCGTATGCAAACGTTGCCTCAAGGCTCGCGTGCAAGGCCGCAACCTTGAGCTTCCCGTGTTGCCAAACTGCGTGTGCTAACGAGGCATTACAACGATACTCTGCTTCTCTCTGCCATTGCACGTTCCTCCAGCGGACGCTCGACCTGTCTGCCCTCTTCCTGCATCTCCTCTTGAAATCCCTCCTCACTCCATCCATCACTTGCAGCACTCCCATTCTCGCTCCTTCCTCACCCCCATGTATTTCTCCAGCACCGATCCTCTAGCTATCTTCAAAAGTGCCTCTCTGTGCTTGCTCGCTCACCCTCCGCTGATGGACGAGGGCTGCTCGCTCGCCCCGACGCGCGCCTTCACCGTCACCACGTGCAGCGCCGGGAGGTAGCGGAACTGCAGGTGCAGCGTACTCTTGTTGGCTGCACAACCGCAGGGTACAGAGGCCACGAACGTGGATCGGACGCGCGCATCAATATACTCGATGGTTAGTGCGAGTGTTCAGGATCGATATGTCGTTCCACAAGTCCTGGTTCATAACGTATGCCATGTGCAATTGTGTGTGAATTTCAAAACACAACCAAGATGATGATGATAGCAGACAGAGGAGAATGTAGTAAATGTATTGAGCAGATACTACCCTCTGGACATGTCACCCACCCAGCTGTAGCCCGGTTACAGCCTGAAGTTAAGATGGTGCCACACGAGCCTCAAATCCAATGAAGGTGTATGTATTGAAATCAATTATAATTACATTGATGTTGGCAAAAACCTGTAGAAAACCCATGCAGAGCAGGAGAACAGACAAACATTCCACACTACTCACTCTCTCTGCAGAACAGGGGAAGAAGATCATATCAAACTCAAACACAAAAAGGCGTTCCGAGTTGGGAATGGAACCCAGGCTGTTCTGTTGCCTCGTCTTTGCTCGGTTGGCGTTAGCCACCAAGGCCGTGCCGTGTTTCTATTTTCATTCCTGCTGCTCTATGCCCCCTGTACCCGTTCTCGTTCTGCTGTAATGTGCACCGATGCCCATTTTATTAAGGGCGATATTGGCACGTAAAATAAAGATCGATTGATAGTCACTATACCCTTGCTGGGGAGCGTGATGGGGGCCAGCGAGTGCTCACCCTTGCAGGAGATGTCCAGAGCCACGCAGAGCGGGTGCCTCCGCAGCAGCTGCTTGCGCTTGTCCTCAAGCTTCACGCCCAGCGTCGCACGGCGCCGCTTCTGGAACGCACGCACGGCAGCCAGGGACAAAGCATCCCCCTCTGCTCGGTGCACGCTTAGTACGGCGGCAACATCGCACATCCGACTACGTCAGGGACCGAGGTGTGGGCCCATACGTGCAAATGTCGGGTGTGTGAACATCGCTATGAAATGCGTTGCACCACCATGCACAGAAAGAGTTACACCATCATACATCCTCCGTGTCTTCCTCCTCCTGTGTCCTCCTCCATCTCCAACCTGTCTGCACCTCATGTCTCCACTTCCTCTCTTTTCAACCACCTCGTATCTTCTCTTTCCTGTTCATTCTGCTCCTCTGCTGCCCCCACCGTCTGGATCTCCCCTCATCCACCCCCTGTTCCATGCTCACGCCTAGGTTCAAGGCCTTCCTCGTCCCCTCTGGCTATGACGGACGACCTCGCTCTTCAAAACAAATACACACGGCGCTTGGTATGCGGTCCCATTTAGACATTTATATGATAAATACAAATAGTAATGAATATTTTAATAACAATATAGAAGTCGTAGTATGAATATTAAAAAAACATATTATAAGCCCATTGTTTTCCATAGCTCAAAATATTCATGGGTGACTTTGTGGATAATATAAATAATATATTTAAGCAGACAATGTCTACTTATATTCTTGGGTCTTTCGGTAAAGTCACGTAGATAGGTTCCAAGAAAATAACAAAAACTACAACGTTTCGATCGCAACGCAAGCAATCGTCTCCTTAAGCAGACAATGACCTGCTTGGCATGGTGGACCCCAGTTCAAGCGCTATCCATGCTCAACCTTGCTTCGATTCCACGATCCGACGACAGACCAGGCACATTCTGGGTGATTTGGTCATCATCAGCAAGCGTAGTGTGCGCAAGGCCCCGATTGAAATTGCAATGAATTATAAACAGTTCCTATATCTGCATAATACAGGTTTTATGGTTAAGATCGTGTAAATATAAATGTGTCGTCAACCCATCACCACCCAACACAGCCAATTAGTACACCGGTGTGTTGGAGAGTAAACCCACAAAATGTACAATTTGAGTACGACGTTTCGCTGGTGATTACAACCAGCTCCATCAGGCGATTTGCCAGAACTGCTGAAGTATATACTAATTGTCACTTTTTGTTTACGTGACAAACCAAACTAATTGGTTGCATCTGGTGGTGGTGGGTTAATGACACATTTATATTTACGCGATCTAACCCATAAAACCTTTACTGTGAATAATAGTGGTCGCAAAAGCCTACGACGTGTTCAAACTCCCACATCTGCGCTGGTACCAGCGGCCACAATGACTCGGCTGTCCACGGCCTGCCCTGGGAGGGAGGCGCGATGCCATCGTGAGCAGGGGTACAGAACTGCCGGATCGACAGCCACCCGCACGGCGAGCGACAGCACCCGTAACCTCATACTTGGTTTTCCACTGCACAATCGAGCCGCGCTGGGGCCGTGCCGAGCCAGCCCGGTGTGGCGCGGTACAGGAGAGCGCCAGGTTATCACCGCGGAAGCCGAGTTGTGCTCCTGACGCTGAGGTCAACACGCACTGAACGCGTCCTCAGTCCCCCTCCTGGCCCTGCTAAGCCACGAACCTCATTCGGATTTCTTTTTTTGGTCAGCGTATCTATCGTGGTTAGGTTGTATGTATGTTGAACTTCTTTAGCATCTTACGTAGCCAACCGTGCTAATCGGAGGTTCCTGCTCGGCATGGTAAATAGCCCGTGGAAAAGGGGAATCATTTTTTTACCGTCTGTGGCGCTTCCTCTTCTTGGTCGGAGTCGCTTTCATCGTCTGTGCGACAAAGACAAAACTTAGCCGATTAATGTTTATCGTGTTAAATCAAATGTCCTCACCGAGCACAATGCTACTCAACAACCACAAATGGAAAACAATCACAAGTAACTTTAAAACCGTTTATTTGTAAACGTTAAATGGCAGTGAAAGGTGCAATCTCCAGGTACAAATCAGCCACTTGCTCTGCAAAAAGTCAACCTACAATGCGTTTCCTTTGTAAGGAAGCACTAATTAGCAGTGCTTCTAGTAATTAGTACTGCCCTATGGTCCGTCTTATCACGATTACCAATCTCTTATATTCACACACAACGACGGCTGGTGATCACGGAGAGCAGGGCTCGGCAACCTGCGGCTCCGGAGCCGCACGTGGCTTTTTATGGACTGCTTCGTGACGTTGTGTATGTTTGTATGCATGTATTCACATGCATTGCGGCTCTTGAAATATTGAGTTTTGTACCAAATAAAAAAATGGCTCTTCTTGTTATTTTAGTTGCTGACTCCTGACGGAGAGCTATGCTGCACTGGGCGCGTACTTAGGACCGAGTTGAGAAACACTTCCATGGTCTATGTACGCACGGTGACACGGCCCAGTGGGAGCACATTTGCCGCAAAAATTCACGGTTTGATTCCGACAGGCCGCCCTAGTTATTACTGCAGACATTAAAGATCCCCTGACGTCGCTCGAAATGAGCTGACCGTGGTCCAAACTTGTAAATTACACAAATGGAAATACAAACAGCAGCAACGTGGCCCTCTACTGAGAAACTACTGCAGACTGTGTCCATGAAAGTGCCTTCGTGATAACCTTGCACTACAAGGTTGGTGCAAGCACCAAATGTACTCAGTTATTAAAACTATTATTACTCTCGTGAATTTAATTGCAGCGTAACCATTCACCCCCTTGCGATTCATTGCCTTGTCGCGATTCAGTGTCTCGATTCAAGAATGCGATGGATGGTAGTCGTTGAAAGCTCGACGATGGCAGTCCGCGAGGACCCCAGACGAATGTAGGGAGCTTGCAGGTAAATTTCCCCTTGTGCGCCGCCCCACCACCCGCAACCTTTACCTGGGGACTCCTCCGTCTGCTTGGCAAGAGCTTTGGCCTCGTCAACATCTCCCTCCACGCTCACACAGAGGCGCTTGTCTGTGAGGAACGACAAAGATCCCTCATGAGAACCTGGAGAGCCTGCTGGGGCAAGAACTGTTGGCGAGCACCTTTATATACCCACACATACACATGCTTACACAAAGGTCCCCCCACACAGCCTTGAACAGACTGTTGGGTCAAGTGCTGTTAGTGAGCAGATATGAAGGACGGCACAGCACACAAAGGGGTGGTTGGCCAACACCAAGCCCGTCCGCCTTTGTCTCTCCAGTGTTGAGGTTTACACACTGCATCAGATACTAATTCAAGGCCGAGTCGACCTGGGGTGATCAGGGACCGGTTAAAAAATTAAATCGGCACTGTTGGCTGCGAGTGGGAATCGAAATCGGGTAACCGGGTCCGTAAGAAAGTGCACGAACCACTGCACGACCACTGCCCACACATACTTACACACACACAGAGGCACATACATGGACATGTGCAACAAGCAAATGTGCGCACCAACATCGGCAAGTTCGCACGTCACCTGACATGCCAAGGGGCTTGGGGGGGGGGTCGGTGCATTTATGTTTTTTATATTTCAACTGGACCATCCCAAGAGATGGAATGTCTCGTTTGCAAGGGTTTCCACGGTGTCAACCGACACGCACACAGAAAATTCGTGATGTCGCATGTACATTTAAAATCTGTAACGTATACCGTACGAATTTACACAATGAATATCACGCCCAGTCAAATACATGAACAATTTCTTGGTGCATGCTGCCGGTTTTTGTACAATTCACTCGCGCTGTAACAGCTTGCAGATTTCGTGCGAGTGAAATTTCATTGGAGATGTAAATGAGTTGCGATGGGCGCCATGCTTTAGTGCGCCTGGGGGATCATTCCATGTTGAAGGGGTTTTGTGTCTGCATTGTTATTATTTTAGGACCAAACGATTGAGTTATTGTTTGTGTAAAACGTTCACTATTGAGTTAAGAGGGGGTATTTAAGCATATACTGGTGTGCATGTGACTGAGGCAGTCAGTGAAAGCTGTGTGAAATTATTCTCCACAATGGTTTTTCTCCCTCTCGTCTCCATCTCATCCCTCATCTCATCACAGCTGTCTTGTGTACATCACTCATCTGGCATCCAACCACATCAATGTCACGTGTGTGCATTTCTCCCCACTGCATCCTATCTCATCTAAGTCTGTTCTCTAGTTTACCAACATCGCCACCGCTTAGCTGCACTTCTCTTATCTCATTTCTCGACATGCGTCTCCTCTACATCACTCTTATCTCACTACGTCCCTGTCTTTTGTCTTCATGTACTGTATCGATAAATCTTGGGGTTGTAAAACTTGTAACCAGTAAACGTTTTCAGAATCCGTTACCGGTACTGGACTTTCAGAACTGGGAATCGATTCTAGCGATATTTAAGTTGTGAAGGCAGATTAAAGAAACTTGCCCCATTGTTTCAGCTGCAGTGCAGGGAGATGGAATCGAACCAGCGACCTGTGAACTGCAAGTCCAGTGCACTGCTAACCGCTTTACTACTGTGGCAGCTCCATTAATTTCTCAATTAAGAAGCTAAACCTGTTGTGTTTTTTGCTACAGACATTTCACTAAGTGCAGCATCGGTAGCCTGTTTTTCACGTGGTTACCGGTAACACAAAATAAAGTATTTTTAACAACCCTATCACAATTGTAGATGATGTTTGCAACTTTCTTGTGGCTCCGTGCCTCGCCCACCGCATATTGTCTTCCTGCATCTCAGTTCTTACTGATATAAGTGTCTCTTGAGATCTGGCTCACCTCTGATCCTTCTCACGTTGCTTATGTGTATTCGTGTTTAGAAGTAACAGGAGCATGGGATGCCAGGCATGAAGACAAAAGTAATGATCACAGGTGTCTACAGATCACATCGGATATTTTTGAGATGACACAAATAAATTGCGTGGCAAGGGCCCAATGTGCACTCATGCACGCGCATGCACAACTCCACAGGAGAAAGAGACGGCATGTTCACATAAGCACAGCGTACAGTACAAAGAAAGCTCACACAAGCACAGCGCACAGACAGCTTACACAAGCACAGCGCACAGACAGCTCACACAAGCACAGCGCACAGACAGCTCACACAAGCACAGCGCACAGACAGCTCACATAAGCACAGCGCACAGACAGCTCACACAAGCACAGCGCACAGACAGCTCACACAAGCACAGCGCACAGACAGCTCACACAAGCACAGCACACAGACAGCTCACACAAGCACAGCACACAGACAGCTCACACAGGCACAGACAGCTCACACAAGCACAGATAGCTCACACAAGCACAGCACACAGATAGCTCACACAAGCACAGCGCACAGACAGCTCACACAAGCACAGCGCACAGACAGCTCACACAAGCACAGCGCACAGACAGCTCACACAAGCACAGCGCACAGACAGCTCACACAAGCACAGCGCACAGACAGCTCACACAAGCACAGCGCACAGACAGCTCACACAAGCACAGCGCACAGACAGCTCACACAAGCACAGCGCACAGACAGCTCACACAAGCACAGCGCACAGACAGCTCACACAAGCACAGCGCACAGACAGCTCACACAAGCACAACGCACAGACAGCTCACACAAGCACAGCGCACAGACAGCTCACACAAGCACAGCACACAGACAGCTCACACAAGCACAGCACACAGACAGCTCACACAAGCACAGCACACAGACAGCTCACACAAGCACAGCACACAGACAGCTCACACAAGCACAGCGCACAGACAGCTCACACAAGCACAGCGCACAGACAGCTCACACAAGCACAGCACACAGACAGCTCACACAAGCACAGCACACAGATAGCTCACACAAGCACAGCACACAGACAGCTCACACAAGCACAACACACAGACAGCTCACACAAGCACAGCGCACAGACAGCTCACACAAGCACAGACAGCTCACACAAGCACAGACAGCTCACACAAGCACAGCGCACAGACAGCTCACACAAGCACAGCGCACAGACAGCTCACACAAGCACAGACAGCTCACACAAGCACAGCACACAGACAGCTCACACAAGCACAGCGCACAGACAGCTCACACAAGCACAGGCAGCTCACACAAGCACAGCGCACAGACAGCTCACACAAGCACAGCACACAGACAGCTCACACAAGCACAGCACACAGACAGCTCACACAAGCACAGCGCACAGACAGCTCACACAAGCACAGCACACAGACAGCTCACACAAGCACAGCGCACAGACAGCTCACACAAGCACAGCGCACAGACAGCTCACACAAGCACAGCGCACAGACAGCTCACATAGGCACAGCGCACAAACAGCTCACACAGGCACAGCGCACAGACAGCTCACACAAGCACAGCACACAGACAGCTCACACAAGCACAGACAGCTCACACAAGCACAGCGCACAGACAGCTCACACAAGCACAGCCCACAGACAACTCACACAAGCACAGACAGCTCACACAAGCACAGCGCACAGACAGCTCACACAAGCACAGCACACAGACAGCTCACACAAGCACAGGGCGTAGAGACGCACGTGTGAACCGCCAGCACGCCGTGACCGTGTAAGCGTGGCGCTGGCAGTGTTATTTAGGTTACCCAAAAAGGCTCAAACGAACACAAACGTGGAGCGATGCTCAAAGTGCCTTCCTTCATCCACTGAAATGCGTCTGTGCTTCTGCCAAGCGCTCGCACTTTGAAGTCGGCTGCACATTTGGATGCAAGCGCTCCTACTGGATTGTTCATCAATCTTTCTCTCAAACCCATGGCATTTAACCAACTCCGGTAAACGCCACATCACTTGACCAGCCAGAGGTCAAGTTTTAAGTTCAGGTTTTTTTTAGAACCGAGGAGACCAGGGTGGAGTCTTATTTGCCAGAGTCACATGCGTCACCAAAATGAAAAAAATGTCATGGGGGGGGAGGGGGGGGTTAACAATCTCTGACAAAAATCTTCGTCCAGTTTTCACCTACTCCACTCACTGATGTCGCCAACCTAAAACCGCATGTCTTCCCTCTTTCACCACGGACTGCCCAGTCTGGAACTCCCTTCCCCTTCCCACAGCCATCCGTGCTGTGGACTCCCCGCCTCCGCTCAAGTCCAGGCTCGAGACCTTCCTCTTTTCCCTGACTATGACATACCGACTGTCTCTCTCTACAAAGTAAATATGCCCACTGCTTCTGCACAGCTTCTTGAGATGCAGTCGCATTGAAATGCTAGCCAACAGGGCGGCAGTGGTAACGCTCGTGCCTCACAGCAAGAAGTGGTCAGGTTCAACTCCCGACTCGGGCGCCTTTTTCTGTGTGGAGTTTGTGTGTTCTCCCCCCTGTTCTGCATGGGTTTCCTCCATGTTCTGGGGTTTCTTCTCATTGCTAAAAAAAACATGCAATGCAACTGCCACTGGGCCAAACATGCCAATGCAATAATAAATACCTGCAAATTACCCGATTGGGATTACACACAACAACACCACACCCTACTATCAAATACTGTGCAGAATTCCTAGAGACTTGAGACCAATTGAGGCTTTGCTGGGTAAACCAGCAGAATCATAATACTAATATGATGCTACATCAATCGAAATTCCAATGGCATTGTATTTTGTACTGCTGTTTGCAGGATTGTTAGCCAATACGGACGGCTTGTCAACAAACCTGAATAAATAATGTTATTCACTGTGGCGAGTTAGGCTTTCCCAGATTGCGATCGCTACTCTGTGTAACTAATGGTTGAACAAGTCATAACACATGCTGATGAATATCTTTCACGTACCCACCACTGTAGGCAACTACCCAGTCATTGACTACTACTGATTTTCAACGGGGCTCTAGTTCAACACAGCTCAAATACCCACCAGCACCCAGAGAAAACTGTAAAATCTGCCAAACTGTAGGGGAACTCAAATAACACTGGGGGCCGTATTCTCAGTGGCGGCTCGGCTCTGGTTAGGCCTCTGATATGGCTCGGCTCAGACTCGAGCAGCTCGGCTGCTTCCAAAGACGCACGAGTGGCTCAGCCATAGCTCGGCTCAGCCTCGGCTCGTGGGAATCCCGAGGGTGGCTGGAACAATGCTCCGAGTCGGGTCAAGTTGAGCGTGGCTTTGAGCCACGCCTCACCAGAGCTCACGAGAGCCATGGTGCCAAGCCGTGACTAAGAATACGGCAGTGAGTGAACACGGCACGGCGTTGCTCACACTCGCGCCCCGCGCGAGCGAGGGGGGAGGGGCGGACACTCACCCTTCCCCGGGGGCTCTGAGCCCGTTGGGAGCCGTGTTGCTAGCAGCATGAGGAGCACAGGACAGAGACACGTGACAACGCAACACGGGCAGCGTGCACATAGCACACGCGGTGTGTTCATGCAGTGCTGTGTAGTGTGTGTACGTGTGCATGTTCGTGCAGTGCGTGTGATATGTGTTTGCATGTGTGATGTGTATGCGGTATGTGTGTGTGTGAGCTTCTTGTTCTTCTTGCAGTACATGTAATGGGTATGTTTGGTGTGTGTGTGTGCAGGTTCAGGCAGTGTGTACGGTGTGTGTGGTGTGGTGTCTATGTTTAGGATTCATGCACGGTGTGAGTGTGTGTGCACGCATAGTGTGTGGGACATGATGTGTATTGGGTGTGTATGCATGTGTGGTGCATGTGATAGGGATGTGTGTCTATGTGTGTGCTCAATGTGTTAACACATAAAAGTGAAACCTGTTCAACTGCTGAGCAAGACCCATCTTTACAGTAAAGAATGCTTGTAAATTTACATTCAATTAGCGCACTAACGTTTGCAGTTGCCAGCTTTTGAAAATGCATCAATATTCAAGTGAGCATACATATTGTGTAACGTTTGGTAACCGTGTAGGTGGAGCTCATCAGTACAGGCTCAGTGTTCTGACCAAGGAAGTATGACCCCTCGAGTCAAGTCACACGTGGTAACACACGCTGAGACAGCGCATGCAGCAACCACCCTCCAGCGCCAACCCCCAGTATCCCTCTCCTGGCAAAGCCCCGAAGGAAGCCCCCTTCCTTGGCATCCCTCGGCAAGCCCCCAAGTTAGCCCCCTTCTAGGGGTCCCTCCTGGCAAAGCGACCCCCCCCCCCTTCCGATCCCCAAGTTGTGATGGTAACGGGGGCTCCATTGCACCTTGAGGCTGTGGTTTGACTGCTCGGCTTCCTCCACACACTGAACCCCTCAGCTCTGGCTGAGGGGTTCAGTACCCAGACATAGGCATCTGCCTTAACGTGCGACTCCAGCCTATGGGGCTTCTCCCAGGACCTCAGCATATCTGGCTTTGTGCTTTGACAAGAGGCGTTATGAAACCTCCACAGACATCAAGAACCCAGAAAACTAACACAGTTTGTTCGGTGTCTTGACAGCACCCAAACTGTCTATGCAACCACACACTGCAAGACCTCTGGTAGTTTGAGACACCTGCAGGAGACTGCACTGAACTCCACATGCTGCACACTATTGTGTTGGCATGTGAATGGGTGAGCAAGTTGGCGAGTAAGGGGAGTGAGCGAGTGGGGGGGCCCTCACCGCACGCCTGAGCATAGGCGCTGGCCTGCACAAAGAGCACGTAGAGAGGCGCGGGAAGGTGTCGCGCCACGTCTGCCTGCTTGTGCGTCTGGTCGAAGGGCATGGCCAGGCACTCCTGCAAGGGCACTGTGGCCTGCACACACACACACAATGCACACATACATACAAACGTACACATATCTCCAAACGTGTTCCAATAACACATTCTTTTTAAAGCCGAACATTCGGATGTCCTGGTTCTTGTCCTGATTGCAGTTGATGTAGTTTTAAATGAAGCAACATATCTAATTGTTAAACTTGGTGCACAGGATTCTTCTTCCGCTTACCAATGAGCTGAAAAAATAATTGGCATGTTAAACGCCTGCACACGTGACAATCAGTTTATTTAGCTGCATCGGGTGGTGGAGGGTCTTAATGACGCAGCTTTGGTCAGATCATTACGAGGCCTAATTCGAAAATCTATTTTGACTTGAAGAAGGACCAATCGGAGGCACTGCAGATGGGAGCATTGTGCATGTGCGCGGGTGCGTGAATGTGTTAATGATGGCTGTGTACGTGCGGCTGGATGGAGGAGTGTGCCCTCTTACCTGCAGGACAGCATTGAGCTGTGGGTAGAGGTTGTTCAGATGCTCCCTCTTCACCTCGATATCCTTGGCTATCTTGTCTTTGCTGCCAATCGATTCCGAGTACTGTTCCGTCAACCTGAAGTACAGTCATGACAACAATGTCCGTGATTTTTTTCGATTTTATCTTTGTTTGTTTACCCAGGAAAGCCTCTAAGCCTCTTCTTCATGAGGGTCCTGCAGTCGGGGGTGATATTGCTACGTGTTATTATCTAAATTGGTAATGTTTCAGCATTGGGAGTATTTGGCCAATACTAGTTACCAATTACATTGTGCGAAACCGAAAAATCCAGAGGAAACCCATACAGGGGCAGAACGTACAACATCCACACAGAAATCCTCCAGTGGTGCGAATTGTACCCAGGTGTTTCTTGCACATGTGTTAATAATTTTTACCAAGGGTTAAGTATTTGATTATACAAGTTATCCACATTTTCTGGAACAAGGATTCCTTCTCAGGTGAGACAAAGGGTACAGGACATCCATCCTCCTCCGATGAACGAATGTAATGTAAATCAGTTAATTAACTGATGAATAAATTGATTGATTTATTCTGGGGCATCCCTCGAGATGGAACTTCTCATTTACAATGGCACGCAGAACAAACACGTAAATGGTACAACCACTAGAATCCCCACCAAATCGTGCTACACAGGCATTGGCCACACGTTTCAATGGCAAAAACAACGGAGCCACCAGGCCCAATGAACCCTCCCGTGTTGCAATCCGATCGCCCGACACACCACACCGCGCAAACCTCTTCCGCTGCTCCAGCTCCCAGTCGAGCCGTGCCAGCGTCTGCAGGTGCGGCTCCTTGCTTGTGATCTCCTCCTTGGAGATTTCGGGGGGCGCGTCCCGGTAGAATTCCTCCACCGACACAAGCTCGATCTCTTCGTGCTTGGACCTGGGGGGGAGGGGGGGGTGGCGCTGCAAAGTTCACAAAGTCCATCCGCCAATAGAGTCTATTGGGGCCTTAAGCCAAGTTCCGCCTTGGCGCATGGAACGTCAGAACCATGGACGAGACCTCCAAGATAGCACAAGTCCTCGGCGAGATGAAGAGGTACAATCTCGACATCCTGGGGATAAATGAATGTTGCTGGATTGGCTCTGGATAGATGAATCTTTATGGGGAGAGGCACAGCATGCAGCCAAGAACAGGAATAGATGCCGAGAGCTCATTGTGGCCTTACGTCCCATAGGGGATGAATGAGTAGTAACTAAACAATCTGCCAAGTCAGTCTGTTTGCTTGGCCAGGGAATTACACACGGCGGTGACGCTCAGTCAACCAATAAGCCAACCAGTCAGCCCGTGCATCTGTAGATCAAGCTTAAAGTTGATTTTGTTTAACCAGGTGAGAACTCAAAGAGGCCAGGAGGATTCTCATTTGAAAGAGTGACCTGTGTCACCAACATGGCAAAAGGGGAAACTAATAAAATAAAGTAAAGCAATGAAGCAAATGAAAATAAGAGCAAAAACAACTGTCATGTGAGAAACCCAAAATATTGCACAAATATAAACCAGTGTGAAATAATACATTCACTCGAGGAAGTGAGCAAGCCAGTATAGTCAGCTGGTGAATCAGCACGATTAAACTTGTAATTTACAACACTTCGTCTAACCACTACTGGAAGACAGCCTTCCCACACGATGTCAGTCATGGGGAGTTGCTTAACCATACTCCACCACACTGGGCAGTGCAGGTTGGCGATGGAGGGTGGGGGGTGGCCCAGGACCCGTTCATATACCACTCGCCACTGGTGTTAGCCATGGGCAGGAATCAAACTCAGATCTCAGGATTCATAGCTCAGTGCGTAACTACTGCACACAGTGCTCTTTTTACTTGTATTTATTTACGCTTGTTTACCCGTGAAAGCCTCGCTCAGTCTCGAGACTTTTTAGGAGGGTCCTGACAAGTTTTTGCAGTAGGGGGCGACGTTGCAACGTGCCATGTCAATCTTGATTTGAAGCTTGTGTCATGTCAATTGAGTAATCTGCAAATAATATTCAGCATTATGATGATTGGCCAATTCTAGTTTAATTGTAGATTTATTTTGAGTTATTTTAGTCGTGATCATTGTGCAATCAGATAAAGGAATTGCGGATAAGAACAGCCTGACTGCATTAAACAAATTATTTGGTTATGCTGCTTTGGCAGTGATACAGTCTTAAAAAATTACATTAGCTCATTTTACTTTAACAAATGTTCACACGACTACCATTAACATTAATGGATGCGTGAATTATCTTACAAAACTCCATTTTTAAATGTCACCTGAAAATATATATTGTTTTCGATATTATAATAGATAACATATTTAATACATTCATCAATAACACGCTCTGGCCTTATAAGGAAAAAATATCAAACAGGTGACATTTCCGACAATGGCCCTTCTTCATAGCACACAGAGAGGTCTGAGAGACAGTGAATAGTAGTAGTTGGGGACTGCGCTTTACACCCGATAAGAATGTTGTTTTAAATCACGTTTCCTGATTAAAAGTTTTTAAATTGGCATGTGGATAGTTGGTTACACTATCCGCAGCTGCTGAGTAACAGACCTCGGTGCGCTGTGCGTTTTTTGCCGGGGGCGTACGGGCTGCGAACGCACGCGACTCACTTGAACTCGAGGCACTTGGTGATCTCCTTCTGCAGATGCATGACCTCGTAGCGCAGGTTCTGCAGCTGCAGGTGCAGCGCGTCCACCTTCTGCTTGTTCTGCAGTGGCCAAGGGGTGGGCGGGTGGTTGGGGAGGGGGGCGGGAAACAAATGGAGAAACACAAGGAGCTGATGGTACAGCAGAAACGGAGAATACCCACCAGGGCTATGATTTGCTTCTAGAGTAAAATATAATAGCGCACCTTACAGTGAGGGAAAAAAGTATTTGATCCCCTGCTGATTTTGTACGTTGTCCCATCGACAAAGAAATGATCAGTCTATAATTTAATGGTAGGTTTATTTGAACAGTGAGATACAGAATAACAACAAAAAAATCCAGAAAAACGCATGTCAAAAATGTTATAAATTGATTTGCATTTTAATGAGGGAAATAAGTATTTGACCCCCTCTCAATCAGAAAGATTTCTGGCTCCCATGTGTCTTTTATACAGGTAACGAGCTGAGATTAGGAGCACACTCTTAAAGGGAGTGCTCCTAATCTCAGCTTGTTACCTGTATAAAAGACACCTGTTCACAGAAGCAATCAATCAGATTCCAAACTCTCCACCATGGCCAAGACCAAAGAGCTCTCCAAGGATGTCAGGGACAAGATTGTAGACCTCCACAAGGCTGGAATGGGCTACAAGACCATCGCCAAGCAGCTTGGTGAGAAGGTGGCAACAGTTGGTGCGATTATTCGCAAATGGAAGAAATACAAAAGAACTGTCAATCTCCTTCGGCCTGGGGCTCCATGCAAGATCTCACCTCGTGGAGTTGCAATGATCATGAGAACGGTGAGAAATCAGCCCAGAACTACACTGGAGGATCTTGTCAATGATCTCAAGGCAGCTGGGACCATAGTCACAAAGAAAATAGTTGGTAACACACTACGCCGTGAAGGACTGAAATCCTGCAGCGCCCGCAAGGTCCCCCTACTCAAGAAAGCACATATACATGCCCGTCTGAAGTTTGCCAATGAACATCTGAATGATTCAGAGGACAACTGGGTGAAAGTGTTGTGGTCAGATGAGACCAAAATGGAGCTCTTTGGCATCAACTCAACTCGCCGTGTTTGGAGGAGGAGGAATGCTGCCTATGACCCCAAGAACACCATCCCCACCGTCAAACATGGAGGTGGAAACATTATGCTTTGGAGGTGTTTTTCTGCTAAGGGGACAGGACAACTTCACCGCATCAAAGGGATGATGGACGGGGCCATGTACCGTCAAATCTTGGGTGAGAACCTCCTTCCCTCAGCCAGGGCATTGAAAATGGGTCATGGATGGGTATTCCAGCATGACAATGACCCAAAACACATGGCCAAGGCAACAAAGGAGTGGCTCAAGAAGAAGCACATTAAGGTCCTGGAGTGGCCTAGACAGTCTCCAGACCTTAATCCCATAGAAAATCTGTGGAGGGAGCTGAAGGTTCGAGTTGCCAAACGTCAGCCTCGAAACCTTAATGACTTGGAGAAGATTTGCAAAGAGGAGTGGGACAAAATCCCTCCTGAGGTGTGTGCAAACCTGGTGGCCAACTACAAGAAACGTCTGACCTATGTGATTGCCAACAAGGGTTTTGCCACCAAGTACTAAGTTATGTTTTGCAGAGGGGTCAAATACTTATTTCCCTCATTAAAATGCAAATCAATTTATAACATTTTTGACATGCGTTTTTCTGGATTTTGTTGTTGTTATTCTGTCTCTGACTGTTCCAATAAACCTACCATTAAAATTATAGACTGATCATTTCTTTGTCAGTGGGCAAACATACAAAATCAGCAGGGGATCAAATACTTTTTTCCCTCACTGTATATTAGGCAATTTGGCAATACTGCCTTGGCAGTGGTGCTCGAACACAAACAACAAAAACTCAACACATTTGTCAACAACACTGTAGCCTTAATAGGAAAAATATATAAACACATGACGTTTCTGGCAACGTCCCTTGTTCAGAGCACAGATGGCCCTTGTTGGCCCTTGTTGAAGCACAGGTCTGGTATAAGCAACACATGCTTACATTGCACTGATGGGGCAAAGACAAAGGGCATCATCTGATACAAGCACACTACTTCTGATATAAACACAGCTGGCCGTGCTTCCAAGGGGTGTGTCTATATCCAGCTCCTGCTGTATTACAAATGTCACGTATCCAGGAAAGCTTCACCACCGAGTGTCTCGGCACTCTTTTTGCAGGAGGGTTCTGCATCGGTATGTTTGGCTAGCTTCCCTTAACAAGTGACTGACATTGAGGGGTAAATGGATTGCCCGGGAGAAAACCCACAAACGTGAGTGGATGCCACAGAGCTCCTCACAGATGACTTCAAGAATCAATGAATGAAAGAAGTAATTTTCTGGCCACCCTGCAGCCCAAGCAGAGAGCGCATGCTGTGTTGCCAGGATCCCTCGATCCGAGGACCAGCGAGGCTCAACTCTGCTCAGCTCTCGAGACGCAGAGAGATGGGCGCGCATTCGTTCGGAGAGATTTGGTGGTAAGGATAAATATAATTAATTAGCCAGATGGTCAGAGCAAATGGGAAATACGCACATCTGACATTACATTAAGGAGATATTAATGTTTTTTGTTATCAATGAAAAGCGCAATGAGCATTAAAGGCTTGTAATGTATATTAGCGAATGACATTGGTATAGCTCCCAATCAACTTTGCAGAGTGAAGAGTTTTTTTTCCAGGACAAATGTTTCTATTCATGCAAAGCAGCAATAATTTGTATTATTATGCAGGAAAATCGTACCGAGTCTCAATAATCTTTATCGGGAAGATACTGCTAAGTTTTTGTAGTAGGGGGCAATGTTGTTGCTGTGTGATCCCAATTGAGCAATTAGGAGATACTTAGTTAAATGTCATTGGGATGTTTGGCCAATATTAGTTACGTTGTATGTGTTTTTTTGGCTAAAGGAGGAAAACGGAGAACCCAGGGGGAAACTCATGCAGAACAGAGAGATAACAGACTGTTGGGGCAATTGCTGTTAGCGAATCACCTATGAAGGCTGGGATGGAACACGAGGGGATGGATGGCTAGCACTTCAACCAGCCGCCTCTGTCTCCTGAGTGCTGATGTTTACACACTGCACCAGCTACTCTGAGGCCGAGTCAACCTAGGGGAGGCCCAGGACCGGATCAGATAATCGTCACTGGTTTTGGCTGTGAGTGGCAATGGAACTCTTGGGTCGTCGGATTTGTAGCGCAGCACACTATCCACTACACTACCGCTCCCCACACACACTCACACTGCAGAAAAAGTGGGAAAACAAATCAACTGCGCACAGAAAGGCATGCGAGCTCTTGTTGTTGTGAAGCACAAGTGTCACACCTGCTCCCCCCCGACGCCCAAATGCAGTAATAACCAACCTCGTAAGTAGCATCCCGGCCTTTCTTGCACCGAATGTGCGCCAGTCGGTTCAGCTTCTTCAGCGTCATGAAGTGGATGCAAACCTGCGTTTTACGCTCCTCTATCTCGGGGGCCTGCAGAGGGAGAAATTCGTTATCGCCACCATGAGCAGCACCAGCATCACCATCATCAGAAGTGTCAAGATCATCATTAGCCATCCACTGCTGGGTGAAGGAAGTACCCGTAATAAGAATCTTCATCATCTATAAGTAAATAACCAAAACGGAGATTATGATTTATCATTGATTTTATGTTTGTGCAATATTTTCATTTCTCACAAGACAGCTAGCTTAATAGCTGTACCACTTTATTTTGTCATACGAGTGACCTCGGTCACTTTTGCAAATCAAGACGATATCCTGGTCTTTCGAGGTCTTGCCCAGTCAAAATAAAATAAACTTGAAACTCCATTACCAGCTATATACACATTACATAAGAGATGGCAATGGCATGGGGTGGAATAAATTCAGCAGTGGATTTACCCTGGCTGATAATGACGATTCCTCCGATATATCTGCACGCCCATCACCACCGCGACTACCACCGGCACCACCGCCCCCACTGCCAACACCACCACCCCCACCACTCACACCGCCGACACCACCACCGGCACGACCGCTGGCCTGTACGTACATTATGCCGCATGCCCTGGGACTTGAGCTCGTCCACCTCACCCATGAGGCGCTGCAGCTCGCGACACGTGTCCGCGTAGAGGAGCTCGTCGGCCTCGGGCTCCCGCGTCTCCACGTCCGCTTCATCGCTGTACACACGGGTCACCTCCTGCGCACCGCACAGACCGAAACATATTTTAGAATAAAAATGTTAATTTTTATACTGGAGGAATTCCATGAGCTATAAAGCTATTTTTCGCAGATGGCCAGTAAGGGCGGGTAGGAAAGTTACAACAATATCAAAAACACGATAGGAGTGCAATATATTAGAAAGGAAAGAAAATCAAAGTTATTTTAAAGAATATTGCACAGGGAATTTCAGTCTAATTACCATCATTACTTTTTTTTATAACTTCCAAGCCACACAAATGTTAATGTATGTTTTATTTAACTAGGAGATTAAATAACACGTGAACCATTGAGATGTATAGAAGGGATAACTGATACATTAGATAAAAACACTATTAAACCGAGCGCAACGTTTCTGTTCCACTATGGTTGGTAACCCTACCGAGATGTCACGCTCGTCACATGTCAGAAAAGAACGTTGATACTTGAGCACAAGGTGAGAGTTGTGGAGCAGTTGTTGGTGGGGGGGGGGGGGAATCTATAATCGTCGTGCAACATCACGTTCACAGCGAATTCAAGTATTCTCATGCGCTGATCTGAAAGTCAATTAGTGAAATGCATTGGATTCAAACCATTCATTTGCCCCATTGTATTTCGTATTAACCTGTGAAACAAGCTCTATCAGTGAATGCCGCTTAAGAATTCGGTACAGCAGGGTGGTGTTAGACGATTTTCTGGTGCAGGACAAGCCACATCTTGGGCACCAGCACTACGATTAGCTCCATCACCACATGCACCACTACCACTATCCCCATTATTACATCACCAACCCCACCACCATCACCACAGCCAGCAGCAAAGACAAAGATGCCCCGTGTAGCCTTAGCAGACTATTGGGACAAGTGCTCTTAGCGAGGAGCACCTATGAAGGCCGGCACGGCACACGAGGGGTGGGTGGCCAGCACCACGCCCGGCCACCTTCGTCTCCCCAGTGGCGATGTTTACACACCGCTACACCAGGTTCTCATTTGAGGCTGAGTCAACCGAGAGGAGGCCCATGACTGGATCAGATAAACGTCACTGCACCGTCATCCTGACCACCTCAACCATCACCACCTCGCTCCCCACGACTGCCACCACAACTTTCATCATACACCACACCCCCACATACCGGGGGGGGGGGGTGCCACTCATTATGCCCCATCAGGAGCCTTGCCAGGGTCATCCAATGAAGATCAATCACTATCACAATCTCCACCACCATTCATTCTCAACCAATCACCTACGACTATTGCCTACACCATTCATACTCACTACCATCATTCACAACGTACCACCTACATCACCAAACTCTGAAACCACCACAATCCTCACCACCACCACAACCATCATCCTCACCAGAATCACCCTCAACCACCACCATCCTCGCCGGACCTAAACACACGCGCGCGGCCTCCACCACCACCACCACCACTAACCACCACCACCACCACCACCACCACCACTAACCACCACCACCACTAACCACCACCACTAACCACCACCACTAACCACCACCACCACCACTAACCACCACCACCACTAACCACCACCACAACCACTAACCACCACCACCACTAACCACCACCACCACTAACCACCACCACCACCACTAACCACCACCACCACTAACCACCACCACTAACCACCACCTCAACCGCTAACCACCACCACCACTAACCACCACCACCACTAACCACCACACCACCACTAACCACCACCACCACCACTACTAACCACCACCACCACTAACCACCACCACCACCACTAACCACCACCACCACTAACCACCACCACCACTAACCACCACCACCACTAACCACCACCACCACTAACCACCACCACCACTATCCACCACCACCACTAACCACCACCACCACTACACCACGCCGTGCGAGTCGCCATCGCGCATCCCACCACCAGCACCACGCGTGTGTCCGAGCGGAGCGAGCTGGAGGGAGGGACCTGCTCGGCCTCGACCCGCGGCTTCTTCAGGTCTCGGTCGGCGCCGACAGCGACGCCGCCGCTCGCCGCGGAGTCGCCGACGCCGCCGCCGCCGCCTCCCCGAGGAGCCTTTCCCTTGCGCTTCTTGTCCGACATCGCGCGATCCGATTCCTTTCGTAATCGGCTCATCGAATCCTCCACCCCCGATTCTCGCCCACGTTGCCCGGCGCGTTTCAATTTAAAGTCGATTCTAGATTTCGATTTGATGCGGGGCTGTAAAAACCGCGGCCTAACCGTCTACAGAATCGATTGCTGGTAGTGAAAAGTGAGGAATCGGTAATCGATTCGAGTGGAAATGTCGTCTGGGGTGCACCGATTGGCGCGCGCGGGTCAAATAAACAAACGGCCAGAAAAAATCGAATTAATGTAATTACGGGTTCACTTGCACGTGAATAGCGGGAATCGATTCAACAGTCATCGATTCGCGATTTCGATCCCGCCTCCCCCTTTAATAACCTGGCGACTCCTTCGATTCACTATCGAGTCCTCGTCGGAGCTCGGAATGGGAATCTTTACTTCGACTGCGGGAGGAGGAATCCGAAGAGCTTTGAAGCGCTTTGTTTGGGCAGATGTCCAGTACGGGTGGGTCGGCAACCTTACAAACAGCAAACAATGCGCATAAAACGGTACTAAAGTGCAAAATAGAGAAAAAGCGAAGTCACTAAATAAAAGTCATTAATCTGTGTCTCAAAAACCTCTACGGCACTTCCTGTGTCGGGTGGTGGCGGGTAGTAACGACACATTTAGACATTTACGCGATCTAACCCAAACAAACTATTATGGAGAAAGCTGGTACATAAGTAGCTTTTAGGACACAAAAAGGAACAATCTGAAAATCCACGATTTTTCATTTTAAGACCCCAAATGTTATGGGCCCCATCCACATGTTTGTGCCTGGTGTCATTCAGAAATCGTTCAAAATATGATAGAGCTTTAAACAGAAAATAAAATTAAAGCGAGAACCATGGTTCTATCATTTATTGTTTTTGAGATATGTCGGATTCAAGAGGTTTTGAACAAAAAATCCGCATTTTGTGATGTTAAAATCTGAATAATTTAAAAACGGTAAAAGATAGCTGAGCTTCCCCTCACAGAGTATTACATTAATTCATTGTTGTTCTTTCTAATAAAAATATTAACGGGATTTTTTAATTGAGTGGTTTCCGATGTGTATGTCTTTAAATATAAGTTGAATCAAGTTGTCAACAACTTTCGGAAATATACCAACTTTTTGGAGTACTTGTTCGTGTCTGATTGTAGACAAAATTGTAAAAAAAAATCCTATCAGGTTAATGATGGTTTCCTCATAACTTTTGCCTGGCGAGGACAGGCTTTATAAACTAGTAGTTTAAACTCGTAGTTTATATCAATCTTGGGCAAGGCAGCAACAACAGGTCCCAGACGACAGCAAGATAGCACGCAGTCCCTCAATAAAATGACTCGTCAACGTTGAACAATCACAAGACGCAAGCAGAACATAAACAAACGCCTCCTTCTCATATCAGAATGAGAATCTTTATTTTTCCCGGAGGAATCCGATGAGCTATGAAGCTCTTCTTCACAGATGTCCAGTAGGGGCGGGTCAGAACGTAACAACAGTAAACAATACACACGATAGAAGTGCAAAGCAAAGGTAAACAAACTACTTAAAATATATCTACAAATACAACTAAACTATCTTTTATCTTTCTAGATAAAGCCCACTGAGGCATTAACTTATTTTTCAGAAGCGACCTGGCTGCCACACATCACCGCTCAACAAGGTGTCTCTAATGTAGAAATTCATATCGGCAAAACAATCTCAGTGTGTATTCTTTCACATACAAATAATACTATTAGTTTTGACACATCCCATCAGCCGCGATTAGCGAATCGATTCGACCGCGAGACGCCCACGATGGCTCATGAGGCCTCCTTATCAGAGTGTTGGTTTTTGTTGCATTTTGACTGCGAGTATTGTGGTTAATGTAAACATGACTCCTTGCAAAAGGTGTCAGTTTTGTTGCCAGAAAAAGGGGGGAACCCCTATTAGTTGATTGTTGTGGAATCGATGTTGAATTTTCTCTCCTCCTCTGGCACGGAGTTCCACTTCAGTGGCCTCTGGCGCGCGTCGCTTTGCGACAGTAACGGCGGCGACTCTATGATCGACATTCTAGATTTGAAGTGTTGTGACTGCAAAGATCCATACTCTTTGGTTCTTTCGGTAAAGTCACGTAGGTGAACAAAAAATAGAAATAACTTTATTAAATCACGACGTTTCGGAAGCAACACAAGTTTCCGTCATCAGGTAGGAGACAGCCACAGCAACAAAAAACTTTGTTGCTTCCGAAACGTGATTTAATTTAGTTATTTCCATTTTATTCTTTATTTTTATTTTCACCTACGTGACTTTACCGAAAGAACCAAAGAGTAATAATAGCCATTTACTACACTTTTGAGGCATAAGAAATCGTGTTACACAGTGTCCTTAAACTCACCCTTGCGGGTATTCGTCAGGTACCGATTCTATTTCTGTTGGTACACAGAGCCCTTGACTTAAAGCTTTCGTAGATAGGTTCAAGTAAAAATAACAAAAAAAACTACGACGTTTCGATCGCAATACGATTTAGTTTCGATCGCAACACGATCGAAACGTAGTTTTTTGTTGTAATTTTTCTTTGGGGGGCGTCCATAAATGACGTCACGCGATTTTGGCCGATTTTTGACCCCCCCTTCATCATACGGCGTCACAAAAAGTCAGACCCCCTTAAATATGACGTCACAAAGCTCTGCCCCCCCACAAATAAAACATGCTTCAAATCGCCTTAACCTATTGTCATTGTAGTGCGTATTTAATGTGGCGCTACACTGATGTTGTAGGAGAAAACATGTATTAAAAAGGAGGCGTTGGAAAGCTGAAATTTAGCAAAAAATGTACTTGAAAATATTCAACGTCTAACTAAAACTGCAGATGTTCAGAATATTGAAATTCTCTTATAATTATAAAATATTAAAAGTAATTATAATTATTTAAAAAAATACTTGAAACTTTGTAGTAGAACAAAGAAAAATGGAGAGTGCAATTATAACAATCACATTCATTCCACAAAATAAAAAGCCCTGGTAGAATCATTAGAATCAAAATGTTTAATAACAATCATTCAAAAAATTTACAACATTTATGCTTCTCCATTCCCCCATGGAGAAGCAAAATGCTCCTTCATGGAATAAATAAAAGGTGACCTTAGTAAATTTAATAATAAAATAGTTAATAATGAAAATGTATCAAAATTAGTGTTGTTATAACAATTCTATTTATTTAAGTTTATTTAAAGTTGCGCATTTTGATGTGATGTCACATTTCTCAAACCCCATCCCTCGTCACACATCGTCACAAATGTCTGACCCCCTCCCCCCCCTAGGTGCGTGACGTCATTTATGGACTGCCCCTTGAACCTATCTACGTGACTTTACCGAGGCCGCTACGCGTCACACGTGATGACGATTATAGTAATCGATACCGTGAATCGAGTCGCGTAATCGCCTCGTGGGTGTAAACATTGACTGCGGAGACAGTGTGAAGGGTCACGTTCGGAGCAAGTGAGCGAGCAGGCGAGCGGGTGAGTGTTCAAGTTCAAGTGAGCGGATGTGTGCGTGTGTGTGAGTGTGTGAGGGAGTGTGTGAGTGGGTGTGTGAGTGTGTGTGTGAGTGTGTGGGTGTGTGAGTGGGTGTGTGAGTATGTGAGTGAGTGGGTGTGTGAGTGGGTGTGTGAGTGGGTGTGTGAGTATGTGAGTGAGTGTGTGTGAGTGGGTGTGTGAGTATGTGAGTGAGTGTGTGAGTGGGTGTGTGAGTGTGTGTGTGAGTGGGTGTGTGAGTGTGTGAGTGTGGGTGTGTGAGTATGTGGGTGTGTGAGTATGTGAGTGAGTGTGTGAGTGGGTGTGTGAGTGTGTGTGTGAGTGGGTGTGTGGGTGTGTGAGTGTGTGAGTGAGTGTGTGAGTGGGTGTGTGAGTGTGTGTGTGAGTGGGTGTGTGAGTGTGTGAGTGTGAGTGAGTGTGTGAGTGGGTGTGTGAGTATGTGGGTGTGTGAGTATGTGAGTGAGTGTGTGAGTGGGTGTGTGAGTGTGTGGGTGAGTGGGTGTGTGAGTGGGTGTGTGAGTGAGTGAGTGTGTGAGTGTGTGTGTGAGTGGGTGTGTGAGTGGGTGTGTGAGTGTGTGTGTGAGTGGGTGTGTGAGTGTGTGAGTGTGTGTGTGGGTGTGTGGGTGTGTGGGTGTGTGCGTATGTGAGTGAGTGTGTGAGTGGGTGTGTGAGTGTGTGTGTGAGTGGGTGTGTGAGTGGGTGTGTGGGTGTGTGTGAGTGGGTGTGTGAGTGTGTGAGTGTGTGTGTGGGTGTGTGAGTATGTGGGTGTGTGAGTATGTGAGTGAGTGTGTGAGTGGGTGTGTGAGTGTGTGTGTGAGTGGGTGTGTGAGTGTGTGAGTGAGTGTGTGAGTGGGTGTGTGAGTGTGTGTGTGAGTGGGTGTGTGAGTGTGAGTGAGTGTGTGAGTGGGTGTGTGAGTATGTGGGTGTGTGAGTATGTGAGTGAGTGTGTGAGTGGGTGTGTGAGTGTGTGTGTGAGTGGGTGTGTGAGTGGGTGTGTGAGTGTGTGAGTGAGTGAGTGTGTGAGCGGGTGAGTGCGCGGGCGCGTGAGTGGGCGAGTGTGTGGGTGGGCGAGTGTGTGGGTGGGCGAGCGGGTGAGTGAGTGAGTGCGCGGGTGAGCGAGCAGGCGAGCGGGTGAGTGGGTGGGTGAATGAGTGAGTGAGCGCGTGAGTGAGTGGGTGGGCAGGTGTGTGAGTGGGTGAGTGTGTGGGTGAGTGAGGAAGTTAGTGGGTGAGTGAGTGCGTGAGTGCGTGGGTGGGCGCGTGGGTGGGTGAGTGAGTGTGAGTGGGTGGGTGAGTGGGGAAGTTAGTGGGTGAGTGAGTGCGTGGGTGGGCGCGTGGGTGGGTGAGTGTGAGTGGGTGAGTGAGTGGGTGAGCGGGTGGGTGAGTGCGAGTGGGTGAGCGGGTGGGTGAGTGAGTGGTTGAGTGGAGAAGTCAGTGGGTGAGTGAGTGTGAGTGGTTGAGCGGGTGGGTGAGTGGGTGGGTAAGTGGAGAAGTTAGTGGGTGAGTGAGTGCGCGACTGGGTGAGCATCCTCGTCACACCACCCAGCCCTTCCTCTACCATGAGGGTCCTCACACTGGACGTGCAATCACATAGGCCGATTCGATCCCCGGGCGCGGCATTGACACTCCGCCTGGCGACTTTCTTAGCTCCCCCCTCGCTTGCCGCCCACGCAGCAACAGCAGCAGCAACAGCAACAACACCGCGGTTCGTGACCGCGCACGAGGATCAACTTTACGCACTGCGAGAACGCAGCCGGGGTCCGCGGGCACCTGCGAGAAAGAGCTTCTTAGCTCATCGGATTCCTCCAGGATAAATGCTGATTCTGGAATAGGTGCGCTTGGGGCCTTCCGGTGTCTCGGTCGGTGTGGAGTGAGTGAGTGGATGCTGTTTGCTGCTGCTGCTGTTGTCAATGTGCAGCAGCTGGATGGTGATGATGATGGCCTCGTTACAGACGGAGGTGGCTGTGTAAGTACAGTACTGTACGTTGAACTTATTTCGCACCGTACGTAGCCAGCTGTGCTGATCGGAGGTGCCGGGGGCAGTGGGGGGGGGGGCAACGACCCAAACACAAAAACACTTCTCAAGAAACAAGTTTTCAATCTGTGGTGCCGTCTTGGGGCTCGGTATACAGGAGGTCGTGGGTTCGATCCCGACCCCTGACGCCTGCTGCTGTGTATTTGGAGTTTGCGTGTCTCTCTCATCATCACGGTGGCTCGGAGATGTTAACTACCTCGCCTGGTATGCAGGAGGTCGTGGATTCGATCTCAACCTTGACGACTACTGCTGTATATTTGGAGTTTGCGTGTCTCTCTCTCCGTGGTCCCTTGGATTTTTCTCCGGGTCTTCCAGTTGTTTCCCCTCCGTATTTAGAATAAACATCACGCGTTTGTCTGCTGTTATTTAATATCAACACGAGCCACTTCGTTGAAGCTATAATTTGTGATGACAATGTCGCTTCTGCAAAAATAGTTGCGTAGCTGAGTGGGCCCTACCTGGTAAAATGACAAAATAGTTCAGTTTTAGATGTTAAAGTGGAGGAGGCGCTGCTGTAGTGGAGAGTTCCGCCGTGAGCGTTAGCGCAGGCGGACATTGAGCAAAGAGAGATGCCAACAACGAAACGCAACAATACGAATTGGCTCACCGCCGTCGATGGGCAGGTGGCGTCTGTGGTGGGGTAAAGTGTGGGTCCTCTCACACTTCTTTCCACACGCTTGGCCAGCGTGGAAGAGTAGACCAAATTACACTTCAGAGGGGCTCCGTGGAGCGCCGAATCAACCAGAACTGGCTTAAGCTAAGTCGGTTGTTGCGGGCTCCACCTTTTACCTCTCCCTGGGTGTTCTCTCCCCTAGGTCTACTGAGCCTTAGATTAATGGAGTACCCGGTAGTGTACGTACAGCATAAACATCGGCGCTAAGAGAGACAAAGGCGGCCAGGGTTGGTGTTGGCTATGAATTGCACTTGCCCCGACAGCCTTGTGTCTCATCTTGGATGTGAAGCTTTCGTGACTGCAGGGATCCATACTCTTTGGTTCTTTCCGTAAAGTAAACGTAGGTATAAAATAAAATAGATCAAGACGTTTCGGGCGCAACACAAGCGTCCATCAGCAGGTGGGAAAGCATGGTCTGCTGCTGACGCAGACTGTTTTAAAGGTTTGAAATGGGTGTAGCTCAAGGGCTATGAAGCCTTGTGTCTTGCTTGTCGGAGGGCCTTCTTTGCATTTGTAATTCCCTCGCAGCGACTCGTCGTGGGGTGAGGGTGACATTGATGACGACGACGACGGCGTGCTGAAGATGAGCGGGTGTCTGATGAGAGGCGGCTCCGTTGTGGACGAGGGGAGCACGTGCGGCGGCTGCTGCTGGGACACGTGCGGGGGTTGTGCGGCGTTGCATGGGGAGCGGTGGCGCAGTGGTTTAGTGCACTGCCCGACGAGGCCCAAAACCCAGGTTCGAATCCCGTTCACGATCAATAACGGCACGGCCAATAACGGTGGCAGCGAATCTTTGAGCCGGCCTTGGGCCTCGTCCATGTCTGGTGCATACACGTCATTACTGGGGAGACAAAGACGGTATCCCCAGTAATTACGGCTTTAATAGGCGCTCGCTAACAACACTTGCCTCAACAGCCCTGCGTAAGCTGTACAGGGGGACTTTGGGAAACTCCTCTTGAAACAAATCTCACACATTCCACCTTGTCATGGCAGTGAGAGCTGTGGAGAGACGAAGAGAAAGCGAGGGAGTTAGTGGTGGAAAGAGAGACTGGGAGTGGGGCTTGCAGGGAGGGGGCGAGGCAATGAGAGTGGTGGGGAGAGAGGGCGGATGGGAGAGAGCTGCTGTTGTACTTTGACCCGCACGTGTGACGCTGCGTGCGATTGGTGGTTGTGGAGGGCGCGGTGACCCATCCCTCGGGTAGTAGTAATAATAGTAATAAGTCGCGGGGCACTGCACAGTATACGGGGATTGCTTTTTAAGTATTAGCTAAAATAAGTTTTTTTTTATGTTGAACCTGGTGTAAGAAGATAACTAAAAGTTATTTTGGGTTAGGTCGCGTTCATATGAATGGCGTTAACCCACCACAACCCGACTCCACCAATCAGTATAAATGCTTGTCAAGTGAACAACACGTGCTGATTAGTTACTACCCAGCTAACTACCCTACATGGAGGAGTTACAGCTACGAAGAGTCTGACCCTCACTCGGGTCCCCCGACCACGTGTTGATGCCTGTAGAGCTTCCAGCTTGTAGGATGTAGAGCTTCAGCTTGTAGAATGAAGCGACCCCGGTCCCTCTCGGGGACCCACCTTATATCCCCCTGGGTTGGGGCTGCTCCGCCCTCGGCCCCGCCCACTTTCTAGAGCGTTCCAGCTCTCTCTCGATCCCTCTCGAGAGCTCTCCCCGGACACGTGATCGCCCCCTAGCCCCCCCACCTAGGGGCCTCTCTGTGGACACTCCGGATCACGTGTCTACGGGGTCAACCAGAGTGCCATGGCCCGGGGCAACCCTGCCCCTGGGCTGACGCTCTCCCACTCCCCCTTGTGGGAGCCCGCACTACACACTATGCGTGGTGCCCGCACTATCCCAGCGCACACCAAGCCCCGCTTGGGCTGGTACTACACCCACCTATGGAGTGTACGCGATGACAGTGCATCGCGCGCCACGGCCCTCTCGGGCCAGCACCATACAGTGATATCCCCGATGTCACTACAGGTTGACTGACCAAGATGATTGGTCGATGCACCACCTGTGCCCCCTACTGTACCAACTTTCTGTGTTTAATCCACCCAGCGCTCCGCTCGTTATTGTGAGTGTCGCGCCTCTGCCCTCCGTTAATGCTAGCCTGTGCTGCGCCCATTTAGCCCCGTCTATCCGGCCGAACAAAAGCTGGTCAGGCATGCGGTGGCTGGGCATGCGGGCTACATGATCCAGCCAACGCAGCCTTGCTTGCTGGAGTAGCTCACCAAATCTTTTCAAGGACTTGTGAAATCCTCACACAATCCAGCCTGGTTAAACCCAGGATGGCTCGTACGCAGGCCATCCTAAATGTTTATAACCGGCGAAGATGTTCCATTATGGGGGTCCACGTTTCACAAGCATAGAGAAGGAAGGGCATGACCGTGGTCGAGAAGACCTGATGCTTGGTGTGGAGCGACAGACTAGGTAGCTTTTGCACAGCATCACGCAGCCGATGAAAAGATAATGCCGCTCGACTGATTCGGAATGAGACCTCTGCTGCCCCATCACCAATTGGAAGTTGTGAGGGTGCAGTGTGTTGTACAAAATACCCAGGCAGGTGTTTAGTTTTGGTGAGGCTCATGGTTAGACCCCACGTCTTAGTGACATGCTCCAGGTTCAGCAGCAGCGCCTCCAGCTCCTCTTGAGTGAGCAGCAATCACCAGATCATCAGCATACATAATATGGTAGACCAATAGGGAGCCAACCTTTGATCGCACCGGGCATCGATCAGCCTCCCATTGTATCTGTACCAGATGTAAATTCCTCTGGAACAGCCATCGAAGGTTTCACGAAGTACGTGATCGAAATGGATGTTTAATAATCTGGGAGCCAGAGGACAACCCTGTTCCACCCCAAGGTGAACAGGGGATTGCTCTGACTCCTGGCCGCATAATTTTACCCGGACCTGCTGACCATCATGAAGGTCCTTAATGATTGTGAGCGGAGAGTCAGGGACTCCGAAAGCATTAATAAAAACCAAGAGCCCAGGCCTACTGATGGTATCATAGGCCTTGACCAGGTCAACAAAGCAGAGAAGTAGGTCCTGTTGGAATTCCCCACACCTCTGCTGTACCAGGGGGGTGCCTGTGGTGCCCCTCACAACCATTTACGGCCTTCGGTCAGGAAAGTCACGAAAATTTTGCACACGAACAACGCATTCACGCAAGCACCCGATGCTCCGTTTTGAAGTTTTAAAATGAAACATCTTTGAATTGTATTATGTTTTGAATTAGATAATTGTATTTGTTCATTAATAGCTTATGTCATTTTACATCTGGAAGACTTAATTGAAAAGGACATTTAGTGTGAATTTTCTCTCGTCGCTAAGTAGATAGCCTTGCTGGGGGTTCGGTTCGATGCGGACTTGTTTGGGATTGCGGGATCGAGATAAGGCGACATAGAGCTGCTGGCCGTGCGAGAAGACCGCCGTCTGCAGATCGATTCCAACCGTAATTGAACGTCTGTCTCTGCGCCTCCGTCGTTCATGCAGGGGGCGCGTAGGTTTGTAGCGCCCCCTGCATGAAAACGATGGAAAGTGCAGCTTCATCACAGATAAAGTTGTGCTCTTATATAAGAGTATGGTCGCGAAAGCCGACGTTAAGATGTACATTGTCTGAAAGCATGGGTGGATGGACATAACTCGACACGTGTTCATACGCATGCAGTGTGTACAATCCTATAAACATCCCAGTTGAAATGCCGAACACCCTGTCCACCCCGTTCCCCATTCTGCAGCCTCCTCTCCGACACAGCCTCCGAGCGCCGGCGGGGATGCAGCAGTGCTTGAGCGTGAGCTTTCCCCTCCTGCGTCGCCTTGGGACGGCGACTCACGCCCGCGCCGTACCGTGCATGGGCCTGCACGGCCGCGAGGCTACTAGGCCTGCCGCTGTTGCGGATGAGGCTCTAGCCAGCGCTGAGCGGAACCTCTCCCAGCCGGAGATGGCACCATCGCCGCCTCCTCCACCCTTCTCCCGCGCCGCCATCGGCACGTTCTTTCAAGAGCGGCCGCAGCTGCACAACCCTTACAGGGACGACGCGCTCCTCCGCGCCTACCTCAAGCGGAACCTGCCCCCATCGGTGAGGCGTCCGCGTGATCCCGCTCGGTTTGACCTCGCTCGCCGACCAGCATTGCCTGGCTCTCTGATGTGCCTTCGGGTCGCACCGTGTGTCGTTTGGTACGATGTGCCGACGTTTTGCTCCCCGTGCCGAGAGCTTCTGCGGGAACTGGATTTTTGTGACCGCCTGATTTTTGTGGCACGAACAAATCGCGGGGAGCCCTGAGATGAAAATATTTCGGCAGTCCCTTGTACACCACGTTTAGTGTACTACTAGACATGTGCCACACTCAACCCAGTCCAGTCGACCAGCAACATAGAAAATGTGCAGTTTGAATCTGATTGGTTGTTCCTAAGATTCAATGAGCTGGAATAGAGTTGTCCTGATGATGTTTTAAGGAATTTGAAATGAAACGCCGTGTGTCCAATTGCTAAATTCGGGTCTGGTGGATTGCTCATCAAATTCCCTGTGAGCTGAACAATAACAATTGTCATGCTGTTAGACGCTTGCACACGTGACGGTGTGATTGTATTTGGGTGGTGGAGGGTCTTAACAACACAGATTTGGTTAGATAATTCCGTGGCCTCACCCGATCATCAATTATGAATCAGAAAATACTCGGTGAGAAACTAAGCCACGTGATTCTTGGTCTCCGTTGCTCTCTCCGTTATCTCTCCGCCGTTTCTCCACTGCCGGCGTCGTCGCCGCAGGTCCTGCACGATGTCGGCACCGACCTGGACGCTTTCGGCAGCCGCGTCGTGTCCGAGCTGGAGGCACTGGGGCGCGAGTGCGAGCGGTCGCCGCCCACGCTGCGCACGTTCGACGCGTGGGGGCGACGCGTCGACGACATCGTCACGTGCCCCGCATGGCGCCGGCTTCACGACATCGCGGCCTGCGAGGGCATCGTGGCGCACGCCTACAAGCGCAAGCACGGCGCCTGGAGGTAGCCACCCAGCAGCCGACGCTGGTGGGGTGGTGGGGGGGGGTGTCAGGCTCGATGCTCCCCATACACGACTTGAGACCAGAATTGTTTTATTTATTGATATTTACCGGGGAAAATTATTTTAATTCCTTTGTATTATTGTTAATGTGGGCTCGAAATCATGGGACTGACCACCCCTAGCCCTCACCACCCCACAATGGGAAGTTTCTACATCTGCCTCTGCAGTAGCTGCTGCTATGCACACAAAGCAGCCAGACTGGGGAGAGGTAAGAGAGTGCGTGGCGAGACTTCTGCAGAAACGAATGGAGCCAAATGCAGTGCTAACATAGCCCGATGCGTGAACATGCCGGATCGAGTCGGAAGCTAGAACAGGGTTTGATGAGTGACTACCGTGCACACGAGGTGCCATGTGGCGGCAGGGCTTCAGTGTGGGCAGCAGAGGGCAGTGCAGCAGAGTTCACATTATTACCGTACTTCTGTGCTCCCCGCACGATGTGGAAGCTGCTCATCCAGCAGTGGATTGGCAAGAAGGGGGCGGCACATCTACTAAGAATATGACGCATGAGACGCGTAGCAAAGTGGCTGTGATAGACAAACAGAGCCTGGTGCAGATAAACAACAATGGCTGTATTGCTCTGTTTGTGTCGGTGCTTTGGTCCCAATTGAGTAATTTGCAGGTAAATTTTCAGCACTGGGGTGTTTGGCTAGTGCCAATGACTTTGCGTGTTGTTTTAGCTATTGGAGAAAAGTGGAGAACGCAGAGGACAACACTCATGCTGAACAGGGGGTGGGAGGACAAACTGCACACATAAAGGCGGCCGAGGTCGGGAATCGAACCCTGGCGCTTTTTTCTGGAGGCAGAAGCGTTGCCATTGGCACCGACACCCCGCGGGGCTCTCACGCGGTTTGTCTGCGTGTCCCACGCCCCCCCCCCCCCCGCACCTCGTCATGCCAGCCGCGTGCACCAGCTGGCCAAGCTCTACCTCTTTTCGCCGTCCGCTGGCCTCTACACGTGCCCGCTCGCCATGACGGACGGTGCCGCCAAAGTCATCGAGGTGAGTTCGGATCAGAAGAGCTTTGTCATCGTCACTGGTCATCATCGTCTTGTCATGCTCTATTCACTGCTGGATGGATGAAGGGTTCCCCAGGTCATCGCCATCCCTCGCATTCTTGCATTGCTACGATCCACCCAGCAGCGCCAGCACAAGAGCTTATTTCGTCGCTCTGTCTCTACTGTGGACACCCTCGCGGGAGCGTTTCTTGCCTATGGCCTCCACTCCGTTTTCAGTCTTGACCGTCGGCCATTGTCCCTTGTGGCCGTGACGCGTCCTGCCCAAGCCGTGTTATCTGAAGAGTCAACGCGATCCCTCCAGCGTGCGTACATCCTTCAATCCACGTGTTCCTCTCGTCTCTCGGTTTAAATCCGAGAGCGCGCCTCTCCCTCCTCCATTGAGTGTTATGCTTATAACTAAAAACATCCAAACCCTACACCTTAGAGTTTGGGCTCCACAAAACCTTTTGAAAACATTTTTCAACTCTTGTGATTTTTTATTTTTTTAAGGGACTTGCCTTTTTTAAAGTTTATATTAAAATTACTCTTTGGTTCTTTTGGTAAAGTCACGTAGAAAATATGGTTAAATATTAATAGAATACGACGTTTCGATTGCAATGCAAGCAACCATCATCAGGTAAGAATGAATGAGAAAACAAACGTAGTAAACTTAGAAATATAATACAATACAACACAGAGAGTCGGCTAACACACAGTTAACGCCTAGCCTGGTTGATTACGTTCTCCCAAAGATTGCTAAATTAAAAGTTAAGTGTGAGTTGTGAGGAATCTAGCAATCTTTGGGAGAACGTAATCAACCAGGCTATGCGTTAACTGTGTGTTAGCCGACTCTCTGTGTTGCATTGCATTACACTCCCTAATTTTACTCCTAGCTCATCAAGTGGTAGAATGTGTTTCTCATGGGCAACGCAGACGCTGGCCGTCCAGGGGCGCGCCGCTGAGGCTCTGGAGCATCTCACGACTTTCGACCCGGCCAAGTTCTGGACGTCCGGGCAGTGGATGACGGAGCGCAAGGGTGGCTCTGACGTGGGTACGTGCAGCATGCGCTTCAGGGGGTGAGCAGACCGAGATGACAGGGGAGAGGTGGGAGAGTGCAAGGAGGGGAGCAGAGTCAGACGGGAGGAGAGAGGAAGGAATGGGTGTCCTGTGCAGGAACCTGACTATGCGGAGTGCGCTAGGAAATCGGCGTGGTGTGTGCATCACGTGGAGGTGCATGGTTTCATGTCACATTGGTGTTCTGTGGCTCGGCCTACCTGTATACCATTGCTGTGCATAGCAGCAGCAAAATGTTCAAGAGCTAGATGACAATGTCGAGGTCTGCCTGCCACGACAAGAGGGCTTCAGGAGAGAGAGAGAGTTGGTGTTGTTTTGCTGTTCGTGCTCCGTTGAAGGAGCACAGACTACAGTGTTTACCGATATGGTCCATAGCTTTGATTGCATGGCCACAATCGCAATCCTGTGGCTTGTACAACATTTTCCATTCATGAACGCGATATGTGCATGATGGGCCTGTTGATATTCTGATACGGTTGATGGTCGCCCCAGTGTCAAAGCCAGGATGTGCGATGATGTTTGTGTCTCGAATGAGGAGGTACAGTGATACCTCGGTTCACGAACTTAATTCGTGAACTGACTCTGGTCGTGAACCGAATTGGTCGTGAACCGAGGCACATTTTCCCATAGGGTTCAATGTAAATCCGGTTAATCCGTTCTGACCTTTTTTTTTGGTGTTTGAACCACAAAAATATGAAACAAATTACAATACACATTAGTACTGTACAGTATAGTAATGTATAAAGAGAGAACACTAACCTTGCTTGAGATGACTTCAGTAAGCACTCAAACGGGTGAACTGTACAATACAGTAAGTACAGTATTGTACAGTACAGTACAGTAGTACATTACAGTACTGTATGTGCTAAAAAGCACACCAAAAAGCAAAAAGTCACTGAAAGTGTCTTCACAGTACTCACAGTACTTCTTTCTGCGTCTCTTCTTCTCTCCACGATCTTCCTACAGGAAGTCACGACCATGTGACAGCCTGGAATTAGCATTAAAATGGCCGCGGCTCCTGTTCGTAAACCGAAGCGGAGTTCGTGAACCGGAGCATATTTTTATGAACTTTTCTGTTCGTGAACCGAGTTGTTCGTGAACAGAAGCGTTCGTGAACCGAGGTATCACTGTACTTATTCTGGACGTCCGCATTGTCCCCCTCTGTTCGTTCCACCACGATTGCGGCTCCCCGTGCTTACGCGGCGCCGCGTGTGCCTGCAGTGCTCCGCCAGGTGTGAGTAGTGTGCAGCGCAAACCTTCATGTACGTGCGTGGTGTGGCGTGGTGCGGTGCGGGCAGCCACGGGCACGGAGACTGTGGCGGAGCCGCAACCGGATGGGAGCTACCGGCTGCATGGGTTTAAGTGGTTCACGTCGGCCACGGACTCGGACATGACGCTCACCCTCGCACGGGTCACGGACGCAGAGGGGCGGACGCTGCCGGTGAGTCGGGGGCAGGCAATGCCGCTTGGGGAATGAGACGCGGTGGCCTCTACACGGTCCGACGCAAAGTGGGGGGGACGCCTACGTCCAGCAGTGGATCGACCAAGGGCAAGGGGCTGTGCCCGTCGGAGAGGGACGGAGTGATGGTGCAGCAGTTTGCATGTCGGCATCGCGAACCTGGCCAAATTCACTGGCATGTGACCTCTGAACTGAACTTGGGCACCTGTGACAACACGGAATGACCAGTGTGGTTTGGTATGTTCAAACAACTCCCACGACCAACGCAGCATGGGGCGGTCTTCAACTTATTAAATTATTTGATTTCTGACTTTCAGGTCCCTTGCCAATCCAGTACTGAATGAGGGCCGGTCCACACCGTGCCCTTTGTGTTCAATACAAACCTCAGTCACCACAATAGCTGGGTTCAAAAACACGGATTCAACAGCACAGAATTGATCCTGCAACACAGAGGTGTGCAGCATTGCACGTGCAAAGGCTTTGTGCCTAAACCAGAGTAATTCGCAGTGTAATTTCATATTCGGCAAATTTGAACCGTGACGCCCGCACACAATGGCCGTCACGTTTTGAGTGATGTCAGGGGATCTTTAAAGTCCACTGTGAAGCAGACAGCGCGGAGTATTCTTTTTATGGTCAATAGACCTGGTGGTTCACCAGGGCGGCCTGCCGGATTCGAAACACTAACTTTTGCATCAAGCTGCGCGAGCTACTAACGGTGGGCTAGGGCACCGCCAACAAGACAAAGTTCCCCCCGCTAGCATTTGCCTGGAGGATGTTGGAATGCCGCCCCGTGCAGGGCAGCCGCGGGCTCTCCCTCTTCTACGTGGAGGTGCGCGACTCGGCGGGGCAGCTCAACGGCATCGAGGTGCAGCGGCTCAAGGAGAAGCTGGGCACGCGCCAGGTCCCCACCGCCGAGCTGCTTCTGTCCGGCACGCGGGCGCTTCGGGTACAGCAGCCATCTGTAGGAGGTCGTGGGTTCAGTCCCGACCCTGACGCCTGTATATTTGTTTTCCCCGTGGTCGCGAGGATTTTTCTCCAGGTCCTCCGGCTTTTCCCCCCACATTTACATTCGACATGCGTTTAGAGTATTTGCCTGTTATAAATGTCCACACGACAATAAGCCACGTCGTTGAGCAATCATTTGTGGCCAGGTCACTTATGAAAAAGAGCTAAATTTTCCTCAGTGGGCCATACCTGGTAAAATTTAAAAGAGTTTAAGAGCAAACATTTTTTTCAAAAACGGTCACGTTGAAAAGTGAGCAGAATGTTTGACAGTCATTAATGAATTGCGAGTTGGTTGTGCACCGTGGTTGTGCACCGTGGTTGTGCACCGTGGTGGTGCACCGTGGTGGTGCACCGTGGTGGTGCACCGTGGTGGTGCACCGTGGTGGTGCACCGTGGTTGTGCACCGTGGTGGTGCACCGTGGTTGTGCACCGTGGTGGTGCACCGTGGTGGTGCACCGTGGTTGTGCACCGTGGTGGTGCACCGTGGTGGTGCACCGTGGTTGTGCACCGTGGTTGTGCACCGTGGTGGTGCAGATCTCGGAGGAGGGTCGCGGAGTGGCCTCCATCTCCTCCATGCTGACCATCACGCGCCTGCACAACGCCATCTCCTCCGCCGCTGCCATGAGGAGGTGAGGCCCTTGCCGCACAAGTTTGAGGACACAGTGCGGTCTGCTCGCTGCAAGTCTTTATTTTGCTGGCCTTGCCAAACAGCCACATCGTGTGTGTGTACATATATATATCATCATCGGCATCCGCCATCGTAAATCCACTGGCGTCATCATCTCTCGTGGTCCTGCGCTTTAACGATCCAGCTAACACCTGCATGTGAGCTGATTTGATTGCTTCATCTCCGCAGTGGAGGGTCCTCCCTGGTACGGTTGCCAATGTGGCTTCGTGTGAAAAAGAGCTTCATACCTCATCGCATTTCTCCAGGATAAATAAAGATTCTGATTCTGTGCTCACTGAGTGAACACAAAATCTGAATCAGAATCTTTATTTGAACGGTCTGTGTAGTGTGATGCGTGTGATGTGACATGGTGTGACGCAGTGTGGCGTGTGTGGTGTGACGCATGTGATGTGACATGGTGTGGCGCGTGTGGTGTGATGCAGTGTGGCGCGTGTGGTGTGACACGGTGTGGCGCGTGTGATGTGACGCAGTGTGGCATATGTGGTGTGGCGTGTGTGGTGTGTGTGATGTGACGCAGTGTGGCGTGTGTGGTGTGACGCAGTGTGGCGTGTGTGGTGTGACGCGGTGCGCTGCACACTGTCAGGATCCTGAGCCTGGCGCGAGACTACGCGTCGCGCCGCACAGTCTTCGGGAAGCTCATCAAGGACCACGCGCTGCACATGCAGACGCTCGCACGCATGGAGGTGCGACGCGCGGAACAAGCAGCGCCCGCTCGTCATCATCGCACGCCACACTCCTCCGCCACACTCCTTCGCCCCCAATTCCTTCGCCCCCAATTCCTTCGCCCCCACACTCCTTCACACTCCTCCGCCGCCACACTCCTCCGCGACACCCTCCTCAAGGTTCACACTCCCTGGACTCCAGGCTACTCCTCTCTCTGTACCGATTTCAGAGGCCACCGCTGGGTGATCACGCATTCTGCCGCTATGCACGGAGACTGGAGGAGCGCTGCTATCTCTGCCCACATCAGGAATTGAGCTCCGTTAAATCCAGCTTGATAACCTGTGGTTATTCATTGGCTCGTCCAGTAGTCTGATTGGATGTTACCTACACGAGTGTAATTATTATTATTACCTGTAGTGTTAGTGTCATTATGCCAGTGCGAGTGTAGTCGTCATTGTTGTTATTATCAGCATTTACTGTATTCCAATTGGATTTTATCTCTTTGAGTTTGTTTTATTTTTTACATATGGCGCTTTGAGATATTTTGATATGAAAGATGCCGTTTAAGATTATTATGTTATTATAATCGGCTACAATCAATCAACCGTTGGATGAGGGCCTCCCCAGGCCGTCTCCATTTTTCTCACAGTCATGCGATTATAATGATCCGCCTGGCTCCAACACAGGAGCCAATTTCATCACTCCGTCTCCGAGAGAGGACATCCTCTCGGGCGCATTCTCATCCCCCTCCCCCGGCTGTCACTCCATCATTATTCTCGACCATCGGCCATCACCCTTCCGAGCGACGTCTCCTGCCCACGTCCATTCACCTCCGTTAGTGGTTTGAACTCCGTCATTAACCTGCGTTAAGCTTGTGAATCCGTGTGTTCCCCTGTCTCCCTATTAATCCGGCCGCACGTGAGGCCGACGGCTGCTTGAGCTGTGGTCTCATTAGCCGATTCATTTGCTTTGGCGGCAGAAAAGCGCCGGGGTTGACGCTCACGCCTCACAGCGCAAGGACCTGGGTTCGATTCCCGACTCGGGCACCTTTCTGTTTTTATGTGTGTTTGTTTGTATGTTTGTACGTGTGTTTGTTTGTTTGTATGTTTGTATGTATGTTTGTGTGTATGTTTGTATGTTCTCCCCCTGCTCTGCGTGGGTTTCCTACAGTTTTTCTGGCTTCCTCCCATAGCTAAAAACACACAACGTGACTAGTATTGGTCAAAACATCCCAGTACCTGCACATTGCTCGATACAGCAGCAACATCATCCCCCTAATGCAAACAGGACCCTCCTGAAATAAAATGTTGAGTCTTTCTTGGGTAAACAAGCGTAACAAAACAAATAAATCCCCTCCCATCTCAATGTGTTCATGTCCCTGCACGTGGTCCCCACTGGGTGGGATAGCGACTCCAACTCCCCCCCCCCCCCCCCCCCCCTGGCAAGGTCCTGCCGTAGTTTGCGATTGGTCGCAACGTACCGGGCTCGCATTGTTGTGTTGCAATACAAAAATGAATATGCAAATTAATGATAAATAATAACTGTAATGTATCCTTGACGCTAGGCCTAAACATAGTGGTGTTTACGTTAACGCATGCACTCACCTCACCCATACACGTTGAGGTCGGTAACATGAAGCAATCACCAAGGGACCAAAGCACCGACACAAACGGAGCAATGCAGCCATTTCTATTTATCTTCATGAGGCCCAATTGTCTATCACGGCCACTTTGCTATGCGTCTATTCTTAGTACATGTGCGGTCCCGTTCTTGCCAATCCACTGCTGGACGAGGGCCTTCCCGCAGCGTGCAGGGTTATAGAATTGTGTCCGTGTCGGTCAGGCTTTCCTGGGCAACCAAAGGTAATAAAAATACACCGAACTTGTGGAAAAAGTATGGCAAATATGTACAGAGACTGATGATTTCATAAACTTAGGATTTTATACGTAAATATTGATTTTTCACACGTGTACCGAAAAGAAATGACAATTATTCATGATTTTATCCACATTGCAATACATTTTATCGATGAAAGTATGAACAACAACAAAACGGTTACTGGGAAAGGGCATCGGAGAGACGCACACACAAATGCTCTACCCACTGTGAGAGCGATTGAGCTGAATGGACGTGCGACCTTTCTCTCTCTGCGTGTGTTGGAGGGCACAACGTGTTACAAGTTATTTTTGGTTTTCTGCAGTGGCCCCATGGCGCGACGCACGGGTTTTTTTGTCGCAAAGAACAGGACAGAATCCGTCCAAACCTATTATTATTATCCTGTATGTCCCGGTGCGTTACAGACAAGACGCACGAACAGGTGTATTATTCATTAAAATAAATCATGAACGCCAACCTTGTTATCACTGATAACGACGCAGTTGTGGCTGCACGTGCGTGGGTGCAGGTCGAGGCACGCGGTGCGTTCCTGCTCGTCATGGAGGTGGCTCGGCTGCTGGGGCTGGAGGAGGTCGGGGACGCGACCCCGCGCCAGCGTCTGCTGCTGCGCCTGCTCACGCCGCTCGCCAAGCTGTACACGGCCAAGCAGGTGCCGTGGTCGACTAGCGCTCATACACGGGCATCGGCTGGACAGCCCTGCACAATCCCACGTCCTCATAATAATGATTGTGAGAATAATAATTATGAGAATGAGTTTGTGCGTACAGAACCAACCTCCACACTGGGGTGCTTCTCATGCCATAAGCGGCTTGCGCCACATCACATAGTTTGTTGTTCTTCCTCCGCACCTCCGGTTATCACGGTTGGCTACGTATGGTGCAAAAGAAGTTCAACGTACAGACATCTCGAGGCATTGGAAAGGGCACTCCCCACAGTGGCAGCTGTCCCTGTGCGGCGCACGGTGACTCGGCACCTCCGGTGTGTGGAATCCCAGCCCGAGTCATTTTTTTTATTTGGCAAATGTGAACCTTGACACCGACACACAATGGCCGACTCGTTTTTACTGACGTGACTGGGATCTTTAACGTCCACTCTGCACCAGACGGCACGTAGTTTTTCACGATTAATGCACTCGCAGTAATATCCATGAACGCGTTACCACTGGGCCGCTCCACTTGATAACAGGCGTCTTCACTGAACATGGCTGCGGAGTGGCAGCGCTACCCACACACTCTAGCTGCAAGTTACAGGCCACCTCCAGCAGGGTCATATTTACACTGCGCACACAACAACGCCGTCAGGGGCAGAATAGCCTGTGTTGGGGTTGTTTAGCAAGCCCCCACGAGGGCCAGCATGGCGCACAAGGGAGTGGGGTGACTGGCACCACGCACACTCGGCCGCCTTTGTCTCCCCAGTGCTAATTCCTTTAAGGCTGAGTCGCCCCCAGGCAGGACCGTTTTGGATATCACTCGCCACTGATGTTGGCCGTGGCTGAGATTCCGACCTCGGGTCACCGGGTTCATTGCGCATTGCTTGTACGACTGCGCCACCACGTCGTCTGTGAATGTTCGACACGGATAGGCGCGTGTTTGACCGCACACGCGCGTGTGGATCGTGCGTGCGGATCATGTGATCGTTCTCCCGCAGGCTGTGGCGGTGGTGTCGGAGGGCCTCGAGGCGTTCGGAGGTCAGGGCTACATGGAGGACACGGGGCTGCCCTGCATGCTTCGCGATGCGCAGGTCCACCCGCCGACCCATGTGTCTCGCATCGTCGTTTTGTGTGCGCAGTCCGTGTTGGGGAGTTGCACACTGCAAGCCAGGAGCTACATCTTTCTTCGTATTCCTCCTGGAGATGTTGCCACTCGTGTAGGCTCTGCCTTCCTGCTCCTCTTTCTCCGCTCGCTCTCATCGTGGGCCATCATCTGCATGTCCGCTCCACAGTTGCTGGCTCACCACGGTGATCCAATTCCTTCTTTGGTCTGTGTCTCGGTCTCCACCCAGGTGCCTCCACGTTCATCCCTAGGGTCACGTGCACATGCAGACACTGTCTTCCTGTTGCCCGCCACAGTGGTCAATTTAAAATACAGAGGCCTGAGTACAGAGAAAATTCTCGTAATGTTAAATTCATTTTGCATTCGCTTTCAGTTGTAATTACATGAAAAGCGCATTACAAATATGAAATTACGGTGATGACGGTCATGTGCGTGTCTAGTGTAGTGCTCGGTGAAAGATCTGCACACGGTCTCATCAGTGAGCTCCTCCGGTAAGCGAGGCTGCGCTGGCCAGGTGATGTAGCTCGCGTGCTCAGCCACCGTATGCCCAAATAGCTTCTGTTTGGCTGGATAGATGGGGCTAAACGGGCGTGGCACGGGCTAGAGAAGAGATGGACTGATGTGATACAGAAGGATGTGGAGTTGATTGGACTTGCCGGTGACTGGTACCAGCGGTGTCAAGATCGGCCTCCATCGACGAGGTTTATAAAGGACGCTGCTGGGGATCTGGAGGGCAGAAGAGCGACGCTCACAAGGAGAGGAGCGCCGAGTGGCTAAAATGTCGAGTTGGCACAGTGGGGAGCACATTTGGTGCATTTAGAGCAGGGGTCCTCAAACTTTTTAATCAGGGGGCCAGTTCACTGTCCCTCAGACCGTCGGAGGGCCGGACTATAGTTAAAAAAAAAACTATGAACAAATTCCTATGCACACTGCATATATCTTATTTTGAAGTGAAGAAACAAAACGGGAACAAATACAATATTTAAAATGAAGAACAAGTAAAGTTAAATCAACAAACTTGCCAGTATTTCAATGGGAACTATGGGCCTGCTTTTGGCTAATGAGATGGTCAATGTCCGGTTCCATATTTGTCACTGCTAGTCGTAACAAGTGATACAAGTGTGCATCCGTTAGTCTAGATCTGGTTGGAGATTTCAAATGTTTCATTCTGGAAAAAGTCTGTTCACAGACATAAGTGCTGCCAAAGATGGTTGCCATTTTGAGTGCATGGTTCTGAGATGAGGATATGTCTCAGAGGGGAGAGATGCATAGAAATTATGAAGGCTGCTTGACTTGAATGCGTCTTTCAGAGAGTCACAATTCTGCAGTTCAGCCAGTTCCATTTGGTAAATTGTATCCACATTTTCAATGTCAATAGAAAATGGGTTACGGAAAAGCTGTATGTCCTGTTCATGGAGATGAAGCTCTTTAAATCTAAATTGGAACTTCTTTTGCAATTTTTCCAGTGAATCCACACATGTTTTGTTTGGGAATTGCAACCAATGGTTTTTCCGCTAACAGATTTTGAGTTGTGGGGAGATGGCAGAAGTTTTCTTCCTTAACTTGTTTGATGAGGAGGCCTAATTTTACTTCAAATGCTTTGACATGTGATTGCATATCACAGATGAGCTTTCCCTTTCCTTGAAGTTGCACATTGAAACTGTTGAGTAGCTCTGTTACATCTGTCAGAAAGGCAAGGTGCAATTTCCATTCTGCATCATTGAGCTCTGGTACTTCTTTGTTTTTTGAAAGCAGAAAAGCTGTAATCTGTGGAAGTAAGTCATAAAAACGTTTCAAAACTCTCCCTCGACTCAGCCAACGGACTTCTGTGTGGTACAGAACATCTTCATAGTCAACATTTAGTTCAGACAGAAATTCCTGAAATTGTCTGTGGTTTAGTGCATGAGCTCTAATGAAGTTAACACAAGATACCACAATTTTCATAACAGAGTCCCACTTCTGTGATTTACTACACAGCGCTTGTTGGTGGATGAGGCAGTGTATGGCTATTGGATGAGAATGGTTATGTTTGTCCATCTCTTGGTTAATGCGAGCAATTACTCCTTTCTTAGACCCCACCATGCTAGGAGCACCATCAGTTGTCACACTGGCTAGTTTAGCCCAGTTCAGCTCCAAACCATTCACAGTTTGGCAAACTTTTTCATAGATATCCTCTCCTGTAGTTGTTCCTTTGATGCTTTGCAGTGCAGCAAGCTCTTCTGTGACTTCGAAATAGTCATTCGTCCCACGAATAAAAATTAGAAGTTGTGCAGAATCACGAACATCATTGCTTTCGTCGAGTGCCAAGGAAAAATAGGAAAGTGTTTTTTTGTGGAGTTTTGCAAATGCTGATGCAAATTGTCTCCCATTTCTTCAATCCTCCGTGTAATTGTAGGTCCTGAAAGACTCACTGTACTAAATAAATCGGCCTTCTCTGGACACATCTCTTTGGCAACAGAAAGAAGGCATTCTTTAACAAATTCTCCCTCCACGAATGGTCTGCCAGTGCACGCTATTAGCTTGGCAACTTGAAAACTTGCTCGCAGTGATGAAATATTTAGCTGCTTCTGCTTCACAAAAGTATTTTGCTGAGTTGTTAATGTATTTTTCAGTTTTAATATTTTATCTTTTCTCACTTTTCCGACCAAACAATCATATTTATCTTTATGTTGAGTTTCATAGTGTCGACGTAAATTGTATTCTTTGAACACAGACACTATATTCTGGCATATCAGACACACAGCTCTTTCCTTGTACTGCATGAAAAAGTAATTATAAGTCCACTGTTCTTTGAATATCCTACACTCCGAGTAAATTTTTCTCTTTCTTGACATCATTGTTTCCTAGGGAGTCAAAATTGCTATTAGTAAAATACCAATATATATACAGCGCTACAAAAACAATATACCAGCAATAACTTTGCCCACACAGAGACATACAGACTGCACTGCCCATCAATGCAGTCTGATTGGGGGAACTCCGCTTATACCCCAGGCTCACACTGGTGCGGGTGCCATTAAAAAGTTAATTACACCTGCAGTTTTGTTCACAGATCGCAGTACATCCCCAGCACACAGGAATATCACTGGGAGTGGAGCCGTGGGGCAAGTGAGGGAGCTGAGGGAGGGAGAGCCAGTCAAGCACAGCCAGGGGAGGGCTGGCAGCCTTAGGCCTGGGGGGAAAGTCCAGTCAATTGGCCCATTGAACCATTCACCAGCACAGCCCAATGAGTGCCCACCGCCGCAGCTCAATCAGTGCCCACCGCCGCAGCTCAATCAGTGCTCACCAGCGCAGCCAAATCAGTACTCGCCACCGCAGCCCAATCAGTGCCCACCACCGCAGCCCAATGAGTGCTCACCAGCGCAGCCCAATTAGTGCTCACCAGCGCAGCCCAATTAGTGCTCACAAGCGCAGCCCAATTAGTGACCATAGGCCGGATAAATGTCTTCGGCGGGCCGCATGTGGCCCGCGGGCCGTAGTTTGAGGACTCCTGATTTAGAGTATATGGCTGCTATACATTTCCACCTGAAAAACCACTTCGTTGAGATATTATTTGTTGCCAAATCGCTTCTGAAAGAGTTTTACAGCTCAGTGGGCCTTACCTAGTAAAATAAAAAGTTTAGCTTAGGTTTTAATTTATCTGCCAATCATCTCATTCGGTCAACCCATGGTACCTGGGTCTGTTCCTTAACCTCCTGCCAGTGGGCCTTTGACACTTCACGTGACCTCAAAGTGCACCTAGCATGGCACAAGCGCTGTAGTGATGTCACCACCGATTAGTGGTGAAGGGCGATTGTTGTTGGTTAGCGCGCTGTACTACAAACCCAGTAACCCGAGTTCGATTCCCATTCACGGCCACCAACACCAGCGATGATTATCTGAACCAGTCCTGGGCCTCCCCTAGGCCAACTCGACCTCAAATTACGACCTGGTGTGGGGTGTGTAAACATCACCACTCGGAACACAAAGGCGTCAGGGCGTGGAGCTGGCCTCCCACCCACTCTTGTGCCGTGCCGGCCTTCATAGGTGCTCACTAACAGCAATTTCCCCAAAAGTCTGTTAAAGCTATAGGGGGGGGATCTTTGTGTGCATGTGAGGCCGCAGGTGCTGAGCATCTGGGAGGGAACTACCAACATCCTGTCACTCGACGTGCTGCGCTCGATGGCCAAGAGCCGCGGGGAGGTCCTGCAGGCCTTCTGCTCGGACGTCCAGGTCGGCCCACGACGTCGGTTTTGACGGCGACACGGCCAACGATGAACCTCGCACTGAGCCAGACGTGGCCATGCACCGAGTTCCGAGTTTGAAGTCGAATCGGCAAATGAGCGAACTCGACCACTGTTGATGACACCCAGGGCTCAATCTCAGCCAGGCCGCTCTTGATCAGCAATCTGGAAAATATTTCTGCACCCGGCGCACCACATCCAGTACGTATAATATTAATAATAATTTAATCTCGTAGCATGCCGCTATCGCACAATATCTGCTCGCTCGCCTAAAGAGCGAGAGAACGACTCAGAGGCTGGAGGAGGAACCGCAGACGAGCAGGAAGGCAGCCACACAACGAGCCAGCGCCAACAATTGCCCAAGCACTGCGGTTCTCTAAATATGAAGGTGTTATCAACCAATAAATTGATGTTTGCATGTGGGAGGCTGGAACACCCCAGAGTGAAACAAACTATCCTATACAGACAGAATAGGTAGACTCCACATTTTTGCTGTACCGGATTTTGGAAATCCAGGGTCGGGTTCCTCCTCGATGCCCACGGAAAAGGAGTTTCGCAAAACATTTGCGTGTGATCCACCAACCCTCGGCGCTGCCTCCACAAATGCTGGACCACAGGCAGCCACCGCCGCCCAGTTAATGCTTCTCGCTGTGGCTGTTGCCACCTATTCCACTCTACCAACGATCCCGAAACTCTTCAGTGATAAATGAAGCCCCGGTCACATCACATGCGGTGTTATTGCTCGCCGTGGCTTTGGCTACGAGAGCACCGCAGCTGCCCCACACTCGCGTGGCTTCAGTGCGTCGCCGTCATCTCCCGCAGACCCGCATGCGGGCGGCGGAGGGCTCGGCGGGGCTGGCGGGGGCGGCCGAGGAGGTGCTGCGGGCAGCGCGGGGCATCGGTGGCTTCGCGGGGCGCGCCGCCATGCGGGGTTCCTCCTTCACGGAGACGGCCGCACGGGATTTCGCCTACAGCCTCGCCCGGACCTACGCAGGTGTGCAAACGGGACGCGACTGCTCTACTGCTACTGCTGTTCGTCACGCCGGCTCGCTCACCCACTCGCACCCATCGCCCACCCGCAAAATATCCCGTCGCGTAGAAATGAAGAGGCGTGTTGTCAGGCTACCAAACCTCCTGGTCTGGCCGGGACGGGATAGGACCCAGTTTCATAACGGCTGTCAAAGGGTCCTGCAACTTCTTTGAAAAGTGAGATTTTGTCCCGGTGGAAAAAGAATGGCACTTAAATATATGTATGTTGAACTTCTTTCGCACCTTCCGTAGCCAACCTTGCTAATCGGCAGGAAGGACAACAATCTAAACACTTAAGCAACTCTAAAGAAAAGTTTTCAATCAAGATTTAAAAGTGCATAGCTCCAATGGCTTCCTAATATCGGAAGAGTGTTCCAGACGACCGCAGAAGCGCATCTGAAAGTGTGCGATGCAGTGACCGTCTTTGTTTGATGCTTAACCAAAAGCCGCTGCGAGGATGACTGGAGTTTGTGTAATGGTTTATGCTCCTTGACAAGATCAGCAAGGTATTGTAGTTCATTTGTGGCAAGCATTTACATGTGTAGAGGTGTTACGGGAGGGCGAACAAACACACCAGGGATGGTTATGCCCGCATGCGGAAGGATGCTTACATCCACGTCCGCACCGTTTAGCCTGGGGGGCTCAAACGGCGCTGTGATCCCCCACGGCCCCACCCCCCGGTGGGGGAGTTGCTATATAAGGTGGTGAGCCGGTGGGCTCGGGGTTCAGTGTTTAGCTTAAACCAGCAAAGAAGGAAGACCGGCTAGATAGGCCCTGGGACTCTCCTGGATCGCCGTCCTTCTAAGGACTGACCAGGGCAAGCCAGTGGCGTGGCCCCGAGAGCCCAGAACTGATGCTCTTGTAAGAGCCGATCTGGGGACTCAGGGTGCCGTAATCCCAGCTTGGCCAGAGCTGGGTCAGCTAGCCTCCCCTAGCTCTGTAGTGGAGGACCTCGGAGTAGGCTAGCTGGGATAGAGATTGTGGGGTTCCCTGTTAGACGAGTGAAAGGGCCGATACCCCTTCGAGTGTTGTATATCTTGGCCTGTATATAGTGGAACGTTTGTAGTGACATAAGAAGGGAGGGGCTGCTGGGGGCTCTGGGTTCCCGGGCGGGTCCAGACGCTTAAGCCTCTGGGTGCCAGGCGCTGGGTTCCCAGGGAGTCCAGACGCTTAAGCCTCTGGGCGCCAGGCGTTGGGTTCCCAGGCGCTTAAGCCTTTTGGCGCCGCCAACGGGGGGAGGGCTGTGTGTGCTCTGTGGGATGTCTGGTGGCGCACACGGCCCCACCCCTCGTTGGACTAGGCATAAAAAGGGGAGCTCCCTAGACGATCGGGGCCAGTTGTAACTCAAGACCCAAGACCCACGATCAGCCATCTGAAGACCCTGGGATGTTGTGAGAGCGAGTGGTGGGACTCTGGAACTCCCGACTCTAAGACCTTGTGAGGGCGAGTTCCAGAGCGTAGCCAGAGTAGAGTATCTAGGCTGTGTACCTAGGCTGTAACAGAGTATCAGGACTGTTGGAGTGTTGTGTTGTAATAAAGAAGTTACCTCTACAAGTGTCTCCGGAACCCGTTACATTTGGCGTCAGAAGTGGCAATGGAGTCCTGACGGCGATGTTGAGGAGCAAGCGGCGACGGGGCAGCCAACTCGGGCCGACAACGACGCCGCACCGCTGGCTGAGCAGTCGTCCACCACACCTGCCGATCCTCCTCCAGCGTCGGGAGCAGCAATGGAGGAAACGCTGCTTCGCCTCACCGAGCTGCTCCACGCCACCGTCTCCATCCTGGTAGACATGCGTCGCTCACAGGCGGAGACAGGAGGGAGAGAGGCGGCGCAGCGGCCGCGCCATTCCGCCGGCTCCAACACAAAGAGGGCAGCCGTTCCCGCCGCAAATACATCCGGGTGTGTCGTAACTTCTGCCAGGGGAGCAATGACCTCTGGGAGCGACATCACTTCCGGGCCCAGCGTGGGCCAACCCGACGACGCCGCGTCATTAGCGCTGCGTCCCTCACCGCCGGGTGACAGCTGTTTGCAACCTAGCAACGCCGCGTCATCAGCGCTGCGTCCCTCACCGCCGAGTGACAGCGCTGGGAACGCGAAGCCAGCTTCAGCCGGGTTGCCAGGCAACGAGCGCTTGGCTCACGTCCAGCAACGCCTGCCGGCACTCAAGGCATTTTCTTCAGAGGGAGGTGAGTGGGCAGCGTTCGAACGCCGGTTCGTCTCTCTTATAGAGACGTCCGGCTGGTCGGAGTATGAAGTGCTCCAGGGCCTCCCGGCCATGCACGACGACGACTCCCTCGCAGCACTCCTTGCGGTGCCACGGGCGAAACGTGCCACGCTCACGGATGCCCTTCATCAGATGCGGCTGATTTATGGACCCCCGTCCGAAGCACGTCACCGCTTCGATGCGAGGAGGAAGAAGGCCTCCGAGTCGGCGATGGAGTACCGCAGCGCGCTGCTGGCCATGGCGCGGGTTGCCTACCCTCGCATGGATGAAGACGCTGTGGAGTCACTCGTGCTGCAGAAGCTCATGAGCTTGGCCCGCCAGCTTCGAGTTGCCATGCCGACAGCCGACGACGACGACGACTTCACGTCGCTACGTGCTGCCAGGTGCATCCAAGCACACCTACATTGCGATGAGGACACGACCATCGCCGCCTGCGCAGGCCCACCTGATGCACAAGCCTATGACGTGCATTCGGGGCCTCATCAGGCCTTCGCGGCAACAGAAAATCGCAGTCGTCCAACTGGCGATCCCAGGGAGATCACCACCAGCGGGACCGGCCAATCTCGCGCCAGGACGGGGCGTCCATCGTCTGCCACAACTGTGGCCTTCGGGGCCATGTGGCGTCCGGCTGCTGGGTCCCCCGACGCCGTCACCTCGGCCACCACCGTATCCTCGGCATACCCAGGCGAGTCACGACACCTCGCACTCTCGGCCCCCACTTACAACAAGCACGCACACCTCACACCACACAGGGGGGTCATGCTTCGGAGGAGGGGGATTCGGGCCCATCATTGAACAACCGGGCGCTCGGACCAGGTCAATGGTCCAAGTTGGCCCATAGGGTCGTTGCTGCGGCGGCAGGGTCCTCTGCCGTAGTGGGTTCCATCGAGGGCGTTGATGTTCGTATGTTGATCGATACGGGTGCGTCGGCGACCATCATTTCAGACATAATTTATAACATTCTGCCCGATACATGCCATCCCTTGCAGCCAGTTGATGTGCCATGCTATGCCGCAAATGGGGGTTCGTTGGGCATCACCGGACGGATCAATGCTCAGATCCGCATTGCTGACGTCCAATTAGTTGGGCCCATTTTGGTCTCATCAACCCTCGCCGTTCCGTGCCTCCTCGGAACAGATTTCTTGGGGAAGATGCCCATTAAAATTCTCATTAACAAAGGGTGTATTGAGCTCCCCTCCGGCCGACGCATGGCCTTCCTACCCACACCCACTCGGTTGCACTCCGCATCTACGACAGTGCAGGCGTTGGCGGCGTGCACAATTCACATTCCTCGCGGCTCTCAGATGTTAGTTCCCCTCCGGTTTCGTAAACCCCTTGATTACGACGCGTTCATGGGGGGTGCTGTGATCGGGCCTTCGCGTTCAGCTGAGCGGGTGTCGGACCTCGTGTGTGCACAAACACTCGTGCGAAGCGACCACGACCCCTTTATCCAGGTCCTTAACGCGGGATTGGAAATGCCCGTTATCTGTCAGGGAATGGTGCTTGCTCACGCGACGCCAGCCCCGCCAGAAGATGTGATCGTGGGTCACGTAGGGGGCGAGTCCTCTTCCGGTGCCAAGCCAGGTCCTGACACAGGATGGCTCGACGCGCTTTGCTCCACTTCTACCGATTTGTCACCATTACAGCATGCTAAATTACGCATGCTGCTGAGCGATTTCGCCGACATTTTCAGTCAAAGCAAATTCGACATTGGCTGCACTAAATTGCTAAGCCACCACATCGACACGGGTGATGCCACCCCAATTCATCAAAACCCATTCCGGTTGAGCCCGGCCGAAAAGGAACATGTACGGGTGGCCGTCAACGATATGTTGGCAGCCGATGTCATTGCGCCATCAAATAGCCCATGGGGGGCGCCGATCATTCTTGTTAAGAGGCACGACGGGAGCCTCCGCTTTTGTGTTGACTTCAGGAAACTTAATAAGATTTCTGTGGCCGACGGCCTACCCGCTTCCCAGGATGGACGAGTCGCTCGATGCCTTAGCAGGTGCGCACTACTTCTCCGCCTTGGATCTCCTCTCAGGGTTTTGGCAGCTACCCCTTGATGACGCATCCAAACCAAAGACGACCTTTCGCACGCCGCAGGGACTGTTCCAATTCAACAGACTTCCCATGGGTCTTCACTCGGCCCCGGCGACATTCCAGCGCCTGATGGAGCTGGTCCTCGCTGGGCTCCAGTGGGATTCTTGCCTAATCTACCTCGACGATGTAATCGTGTTCAGCAAAACTTTTGATGAACACCTCATGCGATTGAAGGCAGTTTTCCTTAAAATGCGAGCGGCTAACCTCAAATTCAAACCGCAAAAGTGCCACCTCATGAGGGATTTGGTTCGTTATTTGGGCCATATTGTCAGCCCCTCGGGAATTGCCACGGACCCCGAAAAGACAAATTGCGTGCGCTCATGGCCAACTCCTACCTCTGTTGGGGAGGTGCGGAGTTTTATCGGCTTCGCCTCATATTATCGACGATTTGTTGCAGGATTCGCATCCATCGCGAAGCCCCTCCACGCATTAACGGCCAAAGGGGTCAAATTCCGCTGGGGAGAGTTAGAACAGGCATCGTTCAATGCCGTCCGAAAAAACACTGGTCGATGCTCCTACCCTGTCTTATCCAGATTTTACCACTCCATTCATTCTGGATACAGACGCCAGCAACACCGGAATTGGAGGGGTGCTGTCGCAAATTGTCAATAGAGTGGAGCGCGTCGTCGCCTATGGCAGCAGGGTGCTGTCGCCCGCGGAGCAACGTTACTGCGTGACGCGCCGCGAATTGCTTGCTATCGTTTTTTTCATAAAGCAGTACAGGCCATACGTGTATGGCAGGCATTTCACAGTACGCTCCGACCACGCGGCGCTACAATACGCCTTGCGAGTGGACCAACCATCTGGACAGCTCTCGCGTTGGCTCGAGATCCTCTAGGACTTTGCGTTCACTGTCATTTACCGCAAGGGGATTCAACACGGGAACGCCGACGGGTTGTCGCGACTGCCGAACAATGGCCGCTGTGCTTGTTTTTTGGGTGCGGGGCGTTGTAGGCAGCCTGACGGGGTACCGCCCCCATCCCTTGCGGCCGCAGCCGGGGATGGGGTCGGGGACCACGGGGCTCCCTCCACGCAAGTTCCGCAGGACGCATTGCTGGGCCTCGGGTTAGACGACTGGGGACGTCTTCAGATGGAAGACGTCTCCCTCCTCAAATTGAGACGCCGCGCTAGGGATGCCGAGGGTCACAGGGGGCAGGGGGGCCCCGTATCATATGTCATCCGGGAAGGCGTCCTCATGCATTGGGATGGGGGGTCCCAATCCCACACATTGGTGGTGCCCACCTCCCTGCGGGGGCGACTTGTGTGGGAAACCCACAGTCGCCTCTTGCACTTGGGTGTTCAGAAAACACTAGCTAAAATCCAATTGGAATTTTTCTGGCCGGGCATGTCAAACGATGTGGCTGACCTTGTGCAAGGTTGCACAGAATGTGCACGGCGGAAACCACCTGCTAGGCCGTCCTGCCCGCTGCTCCAATCCATTAAGGTTTCCCGGGTCAATGAGATCGTCGCATTGGATATTTTGGGTCCGTTTCCCGCTACTCCTCGGGGTAGTAAGTACCTTTTGGTTGGGGTCGAATATTTTATCCGATGGGCCATGGCCTGGCCACTCCCCAACCAGTCTGCAGCAGCCATTACAGAAGCCTTTTTCAAGGGCTACGTCCTCGATAAGGGTGCTCCCGAACGCCTGCTGACCGACCAAGGGAAAAATTTCTCTTCCACCCTGTTGCGGGATGTGTGCAACCTGCTAGGGACACACAAAATTCGCACCTCGGCATATCACCCCCAGACTGACGGTATGGTCGAGCGATTACATAGGACACTTACCTCCATGCTAAGCCACCAGGTGTCTGAGTCACAGACTGATTGGGATCTCCACATACATGGTGTCTTGGCCGCCTATAGAATGGCGCCCCATGCTGCCACGGGGTACTCGCCATTCTATCTTATGTATGGTAGGGAGGTTTGCCCCCCGATCGACGTACAATTGCACATTAAACAGCCCGCACCTAAGGCTAAGATTGCCGACCACATCCGTGCTAATGTGCGTCGTCTCGTGGATGCCCGGGAGGCTGCTCAAAATAACTCAGAAGCCCGTCAGCTTGCCAACGAGCGGTTGCGGAATCTCCGCACGTCCCGCCACGTTTGGGTAGAAGGGGACCGCGCCTGGCTCCACTGCCCGCAGGTACCATTGGCTACTTCCTCAAAACTGCTTAAGCCTTGGAGAGGCCCAGTTGTTATTATTTGCGTTCTCCGCCCGCAGTGTGTCAGGATCCAGCATGGCAAGCGACGTTGGTTCGTGCACCCGTCACGTCTAAAACCTTACATTCAACCCTACACACCTCCTTCACTTCTCCGGGGCCGAGAGCGCGACATGTCTGACGAGCCGCGCCGCGATGATGCTGCTTCTAACTCTCGGGCAGGTCCCGCTGTCCCGCCCTCAGGTGCCTTGGGAATGAAACCCGCCACGGCCGACCCAGCGGGAACAAGCTTGCCCGCGGGATCAGCGACCCAGGATACAAGCGCAACAGCGGGTCGTCGGTCCCCTCCCGCCTCCGTCGCAACCGATGGACCTACCACTCGGACTCGCTCAAAACTAAAACGATTTTCATGACCCCCGCCCACGAAACTCTCGTCCCAACGCGACGCCACTCACCTTGCCATCATGTATAGTGGGCGATTGGGGCGTGCGTTCATCCTGCATATATGTGTGTTTATACAGTGTTGTTCTGCATCGGTGACCACAGGAGGGGGAGAGGCGCTTTCTTCTCATTTTGTTTCTTGATTTGTTACACACTCATTCTGATGGTTAACAAATAATTTATTGTACAATTGTATTTTTTTTTGACAGCCGGGTCGGCTGGAGGCTACGTAGAGGGGGGTAATGTAGTGACATAAGAAGGGAGGGGCTGCTGGGGGCTCTGGGTTCCCGGGCGGGTCCAGACGCTTAAGCCTCTGGGCGCCAGGCGTTGGGTTCCCAGGCGCTTAAGCCTTTTGGCGCCGCCAACGGGGGGGGGGGGGGGGGGGGGGCTGTGTGTGCTCTGTGGGATGTCTGGTGGCGCACACGGCCCCACCCCTCGTTGGACTAGGCATAAAAAGGGGAGCTCCCTAGACGATCGGGGTCAGTTGTAACTCAAGACCCAAGACCCACGACCAGCCATCTGAAGACCCTGGGATGTTGTGAGAGCGAGTGGTGGGACTCTGGAACTCCCGACTCTACGACCTTGTGAGGGCGAGTTCCAGAGCGTAGCCAGAGTAGAGTATCTAGGCTGTGTACCTAGGCTGTAACAGAGTATCAGGACTGTTGGAGTGTTGTGTTGTAATAAAGAAGTTACCTCTACAAGTGTCTCCGGAACCCGTTACACGTTCAATAAATAAGTGTGCCTCCGACTACGTCGTCCAAGTCTCCTTGAACCTACTACACATGTGTAGTGACTGTATGTCACTGTGTGGTGCTGGGCTTACGAAGCCACGGTGGATAATGTGTTGTCATTATGTGCAGCCCGCTTACGGGGTGTAGTACCGGCCCTAGCGGGGCTTGGGTGAGCGCTGGTCAGCGCGGAGGCACCACGTACAGTGTGCGGTGCGGGCTCCCGGTGAGGGAGCGAGAAGCAGTGTCAGCCAGCCAGGGTTTCGTTGGGGCATGATACACCGGTTGACCTGCCGACACTTGACCGGATGATATTGGAGGGGGGCCACCGGTGGAGGGGGGCCGCTGGGCGGTCACGTGGTATAAGAGAGCTCTCGGGAGACGTCGGGAAAGAGCTCGAGAGATCTAGAAGGTGGGTGGGGCGAGGGGCGGAACCAGCCCCAGCCCAGGCCGATATAACGGGGGCCCCGTGAGTGGCTCGGGGTTCTTCGTGTTGCTGGTGATGAAGATCCACGTCGGGTAAAAGAATCCTCTAGCCACGTGGTCCAGGACCCAGCTTGTGGTCCGGGCCGGGATAGCGAACCATGTCTAGTTCTGCCGTAGCGTGGCTCGATGGGCATTCAACACCCAAGTGTAGGTTGTGTTATGTTATGTTGAGTTACTGAAATAAAGTGTTGGACTCACTACACATGGTAAAAACCACATCCTTCACAGTTGAAATGATAAATGGGCAGGTAGAATACTAATGAGGTACATTTAAATAATCATAAACACGTTTAGCCCTCTGTTGATCAACTGCTCATAGGTCAGAATTGTTTTACTTGCTCAGCTCGCACACTGACCGTGACCCTGACCCCGAGTCTCGGTCCGACGCCAACCCAAATCCACGTTCTCATTGCAGGGTGCCTGCTGATCGACCATGCGCTCTGGGATGGTGCCCAACCAGCTGACGTCTATGCAGCAAACAGGTCAACGGCCGCTTCTCAAACGTCGGGCGTCAGTTACATCGTCACCATGGTCCTCTCATCAGACGCAGGATTATGGTCACGGTTATGAAGATCATTGCTAACAGCAGCATCGTCGTTCACAGCGTGGTCTCCCTGTCATGAGCTGCAGCAGCAGCGGCAGCGGCAGCACCGACTGTATTGGTAGCTGGGTCCGAATATGACGCATCGATGAAAATCTCTTTTTGATGCCAACACTACATTTATGAAATCGCTTACCCAACAATCGTTTTTAATTTATGCAAATATTCAAAACGTGTTCATGTTTGGATTGCTGAACAAAAAAAAAACACAACAGAGAGTACCCAAGAGTTGGGGGAGGGCATTGTTCTAGCCCAAGTTGGCGGGAGCATTGTAATCGTACTGTGCTAAATAAGTTCAATATACATCCGCATTCGTAATGGCACCCCCCTGCAACATACGCAGCAGCTGTACACACACCGCCCCCTCTTGTTAATCCACTGCGAGTCGGTGCGGGTTGGCGGAGGCGGGGAGCATTGGCACAGATGTGCGGCACGGTAACCATGGGGGGGGAATCCTCGGCTCTTGGCAGGTGGTGCGAGCAGGACCTGACGCCGGTGCTCACTGCCGAGGGACGCGGTTGCTACGACGACGTCGCCAGGGATACTCAGCTGGTGATGGGCGAGGCGGCGGACGTGAAGAGCAAACTGTGAGGCGTGGGGTGCCGCTGCTGCTTCCGTCTCGATCCTTTCTCGCTCTACAGCACCATTGTCTATCCACTACTGGAGGAAGGCCTCCCCGCACCGTGTCGGTCTTGAGGGTAGTTTGATCATACTTTCAACATGCTGGTCAGTGCATGTTGGTTAAGGTGAGGAAGGGTGGGTGGTAGGACTGGTTGAGATAACTACTGATGCTAGTTGTGGCCGGGAATCAAATCCATGCCACAGTGCATTAATCACTGCACCACCATTCCCCCACCATGCACCTCATGAGGGTGATGAGGGAGCTGCCAAGGTGGTGTAATGGTCAGCACACCAAGACTCTCAATCCAGAGGTCACCGGTTCGATTCCATCTCTCGGCACGGCAGTTGAACCAATGGCGCAAATTTCTTAAATCACTCCCCACCCCCCACGGCCTCTCTCCACCCAGGAGTAAAAATTGGATTCACAAGTCGATCGGCAGGTCACTTGTGGTGGGATAAAGTGTGGGTACTCCCACTGCTCCAATATGCTTGATCAGCATGTTAGAGTAGGCCAAACACCCCCTCGAGCTCCCTCTAGTGAAGGCCCTTCTGCCAGCAGTAGCGTGGGCAAGCAGGTTGCAGGGCTCCACCTTTGCCTTTATTGCTGTGTTCTCTTCAAAACCACGTTGAGAGTTTTGTGACTAATAAGTGTGGGATAGCGGCATAAAATCACACAGTCAAATAAGTGCCATGGAGACCCATCTGAATGGAGTGCGATTCAGTACTCATCATAATGTACAGGTGGAAACACGGTACTCAACATCCAGCGGTAAAGATTGTGGAGGAGATGCACCCTCCTGGAATTAATTTTAAAAAATCTTATCCACACCCCCATTCCATTAATTGGCCCAGTGCAGAAATGTACAGCTGTCGACACATTAGGCCATGGATAGAAAAAGCTAAACCACTGTTTCTCACAAGTGTGGGTTTGAGTTAGAATAGTGTGGAACAACATTTTTTCCAGTGAATCTGTAGTTATATACTTTTAAAAGCAGAATTTTTACATTTAAAATTGAAAGTGACAGCCATGTAATGGTTTTGAAAAGATGCTTTTATTAACGCGGGTTACACAAACTGATGAATACACAAGAAAAATCTCACAAATAAAAGAACGATGCCGTTAACTGGCAAAAAAAAACTGCGTTGTCTTGTGTACAATTTCTGCCTCAAGCTTGTCATCGCTACTCCGAGTCGCGTAGAATCTACACACGATGGTTGGGCCATGACACCAAGCTCGTTAACCACACACATATTTGATGAGTGTACAAAACCAATGCACGCGTGGGCTGCATCACAACGAGTCGCTTAAAAGACGCGGGTGTCGTTCAACAGCGCGATCCGGATGTTATTGGTGAGGGAGGTAAAGACAGAAGATAATGGGGTCTTGCTGCGACTTGGCTGTGGCATTGTCGGCAATCGGCACGGCACTCAAGCCTTGGTGGAGGTGTCGCGGGACCTGTACACGATGCCTCGGCTCTTCAGCTCCCGCACAATTGCTGTTGGTCGGAAAAGATGAAATGAGAATGTGACATGTTAGCCGACGTGTATATTTACTTTCTGTGGGGAAACAGAGCAACTGCCTTTGGTTATTTTGCTTGTAAACCGCTGCCAATGGAGTGCCTTAGGCTCCAAATAATTTACAGCCATTTGTCAATCCAATGCCAGATGGCAGGCCATACTTCACCACATTGATAAATATGGATTGCTGATGGGGAGGGACCCAGAACTGGTTCAGATGTATGTTGAACATTGATATTTGGCATTGTTAAAAAGTACAACACCTCCGATTAGCACAGTTGGCAACGTACGGTGCAGAAGAAGTTCTACATAGGTACAGCTTCTTTCACACAGTAGTGCTAATCGGAGGTGCAGGATGTCACTTGCATCTGATGTTAGCCGTAACTCGGAATTGTACTCGGGTTGCCAGGTTCATAGTGAGGTGCGCTGACCACTGAACCTCTGCTCCAGCCCCTTAGGCTCCACTTGACCCTGTGTGTCCGTCAATCATCTGTGTTTACACACATACTTAATCGTTGCGATGTGCCTGTATAGCCAGGATAAACATCGTTCATCCACATGTGAACAAATTAAATTCTACAAATGCCAGCAGAGTAAAATGGAAAGTATAATGCATGTACTAAAACGATATCATGATCAGTTTAAATATATATTACATGCAGATACCGATTGACCTCTTGTAATTTGTGGGATTGAAATGCTTACCCTCGACATGCCAGGAAGACATCATGGCATTATTATTATTATGCTCTAGGCTCTTTTAAAGGGAGGTCTGTCATAGGCATCTGGTTAAGTGCGATTACGTCACCACAACCGTCGCAAGGCGGTTATCTCGCAGTGCTATGTGGTGGACAGCAGAGGGCAATGTCACTAAATGTGTAGCAAAATGTACTTCTATGCTCCCATGCATGTGCCCCCCACCTTGATCGACTAGCACTAACCAACGTGCTAAAGTATGGTAAAATATCCACCACGTGCCTGTATGACATGGGGAGGCCCTCATCCAGCAGTGGATTTAGCTGTACACGACTTGAGTGCGTATAATGAACCCAAAGGATATTTAAAAGAAATACAATAGCCCGTCTATAAACTTCAAAAGCGGCACAAATATGAATGCATGAGAGGCTTACAGAGAGGGAGGCGCCCCGTCACGGAAATGGCGTAAACGCCCGGCTTGAAGTTGTCTGTGGGTAGTAACACAATACAGTTGGACTCTCCAGGCGGTATTTCTGTTGCTCCACGTGCTGGGAGGTTGTTCAACATTTAGTTCCTGAAGCAGTTGCCAACACGTGGAGCGAAATGTCAGACATCGTGCCGAACAGCACGTGGCGCAAGCACAAAACGGAGAGCTGCGCAGCAGCACGACCACAAAAAACGACGTGGTGGTGGAGTTTAGATTCAGAGCGTTGAATTACAACTGTATCTCATGATGCTATACAAGAGGGACACAGTTGTGAGGGGTGGAGGGAGTGTAGTGGGACATAGTTTTATGCAGTCAATTTACACAAAGGACGGATGAGGGTTAAACTACCAACAATGTACGCTCAGACGTTACAAGGCTTCCGTGACCAATATCATTCCTGACGACGTTTTTTGGGTTGGAGCACATCAATGTTTCGTACACCCACCTCCACCCAACACGGCCAGTTAGCAAGGATTGTCACGAGAACAGAACCTGCCAATTCGTTACCACTTGAGCATGCCGGTGTGTTAAGAGAGCAAAACCACAACATTTACAATTGTAGTGCAGTGGGTAATGTTGTGAGTTGCTATCTAACACACCGGTGTGCTCAGGTAGTGACAAACCTGATTGGCTGTGTGGGGTGGAGGTGGATGTACGACACATTTACTTTTACGCGATCTGACTCCAAACACTTTTATCACGAGCATTATTTCTGTTTGAAACAAACAGTCACACTTGGGGTGGCGGGGTGCCTTTAGGCATCAGAGTAATGAGCGGGGCACTGCCGAGATCCTGGGTTTGAATCCAGGCAGCCACCCAGGATTAATACGGTTCTTAAGTGCCGGAATCTGATTCATCTTAGCCCAGTCACAAATGACTGCATAAAAAGATATTGGTTTAACCGTCACTTGACAAACAGGAATCTCATAGCAACTGCATCTCATGTGGCTAAGTCCACTGCCCGTTGTTTAAAGATAAAACGGCAACTTGAGGGGGGGGGGGGGGGGTTTGACATCATGTCAAAATATTTTGTGCAGCCATTCTTGGACACAAGGATCATACCACTTTGTCTCAAGATAATACAAAAACTTCATGACAAATGTAAAACATCGTTCGGCCATTGTTGACCAAAGTTTCCAGTGAGGTGAATATCCTGGGTGAAAATTTCCATGCTGTACTTTCTAAGACCGAGGTGAGGCTCAAGCTGAATGAAGAAATTAATGGAAGCACTCACCAACCCTCTGCCACTTGGCCACCCAGCTGTCTTTAGGGCTCATCATGCAAATGACTCTGTAAAGACAAACACTTTTTTAAATGAGAACATCAGCACATGTTTTGCATCTGTGGGTTGAGGCACGCGAGTGCTACATATAAAGAGCAGGGTGTGTAATGCAGCTAATGCACAATGAGTCCAAGTGGGGAGTGTGAGTGAGACATCAGTCACAGGCTGTTAGCCCACAACGCCTGAGTCTATCCTGTGACCTGCCAGACCTATTTCATAGTATTGTGCGTAGAGGCAGGGTTTACGCACTGAAAAATTACGCGCTGCACTACAATCTCTGTGACCAGGGTTTGATTCCTCGCCACACACAACTCTCGACAACATTCAAACCTCGGCATAACTTCCTCTATGTTAACCCAATTTCAAATGATAATTGAAAATGTCGTACACTTGGTATTCACGCCATTATTATAGCACAAGGCTACCATCACAAAGGCACAGTTGTATTTCACAGACGATCTGCAGTAGTTTCATTGCAGGTGGCCATGCTGCTATATGGAATCCCAATTGAGTGATTTGCGGTATAACTTTTCCAATTTGGACCATGATGTAGGCACACCATCCTTAACATCCGTTGCGGAGCAGATGGCGTAATATTTTGTAGATGCTTTCAGCATGATTTGACGCTTTTTGCGCCCATCTGGAACGCTCTTCCTTTCAATATTAGGAAGCTACTGGAGCTATACACTTTACAATCTAGATTGACAAACGAATTTCCTTAGAACTGCTTTGTGTATTTAGTTTGTTGTCGTTCCCCCGCACCTCCGATTAGCACGGTTGGCTGCGAACGGTGCGAAATAATTTCAACATACATACTAGACGTGTGGATTCGATTTAATTGTGGACCGTTGTTTTTGAGGCAAGAGATTAAATCCCAGAGGTTCCACCAGTGAGATCGGCGATCGGGTGCTGGACTCTGGATGTTGTTGAAAAAGCCCCGAAGGAGTCCCTCACCCGTCAAACGACGAACTCGTGCAGTCGTAGACGGCCTCGCGGTTCCCCTTCAGCTGCAGGTACGTGTCACAGTTGTCGCAACCGTCGTACTCGAACTTGTCAATGGTCTACGTGGACACGACAATACAACATCACACGACCGCATACCTTGAGGTTACAAATCAGCAATGGTGAGCCAATTGTTACACCGATTATTTGGAGATGCTGCTGCGTTGGCTCAGCAAAGAAACTCAACACACATTTGTCAGTGTTACGGTATTTCTCTTTTCCGCTTGACACACTGACAGCGAGCGCGTCCAGTCTGGCACAATCAGTGATTGCCACGTAAGTGTCGATGCTTTTAGCTTGATTTTGCGTTTGTTTTAATGGCTATATTACCTTAAACGGTTAATACATTTCGATTTAAAGCTTTCGTGACTGCAGGGATTCATCTTCTTGGTTCTTTCGGTAAAGTCACGTAGAAGGGAAATGATAAAATAATACAAATAAAACATAATCAAATAATTCTCACGACGTTTCGGCCACAACGCAAGCAGCCGTCCTCAGGGGAGACAGCGTCTGAATGAAAGATTCAATCAGATGCTGTCTCCCCGACAGACCTGGTTTTCACCTGAGGACGGCTGCTTGCGTTGTGGCCGAAACGTCGTGAGAATTATTTAATGTTTTATTTTTATTATTTTATTATTTCCCTTCTACGTGACTTTACCGAAAGAACCAAGAAGACGGTTAATACATCTTCAGTAATAACCAGGACAGTCTGCTGGGTTTGAACCGTGAACCTCTGGCGAATTGCGACTGTTGTACTCAAGAGGAAAGGGTATCGACTGTCATGCAATCAAAAGTGTAAACACTGAAAACCTCATCATGGGACCTCCTTTGCCAGTACCTAAATATGAGAATAGGTTTTCTCCTTTTATCTGGCAACAAAACATGTGTTAAGTTGTTAAAACACCAAACTGAAACCTTTTACGAGGAATCATGTCTGCATTTACCACAATAATTGTGGTCAGAATGCAAACAAAAAACATACTCTGATAATATATGCATTGTCTTTGAAACTGATTGGTCCACACCAGAGACAGCTTTCTTTTGAGCCTCGTCTCAAACGGCATTTTGGCGTCCTCTGGTATAGCAGAGGACGCCAAAGACAATGCATATATTATCAGAGTATGTTTTTTTGTTTGCATTCTGACCATAAGTATTGCGTATACACACACAACACAGCGAATATACACACACACAACACAGCGTATACACACACACAACAGCGTATACACACACACACAACACAGCGTATACACACACACACAACACAGCGTATACACACACAGCGTATACACACACACAACAGCGTACACACACACAACACAGCGTATACACACAACACAGCGTATACACACACAGCGTATACACACACACAGCACAGCGTATACACACACACAGCGTATACACACACACACAGCGTATACACACACACAGCGTATACACATACACAACAGCGTATACACACAACACAGCGCATACACACACACACAACATAGCGTATACACACACACAACACAGCGTATACACACACACAACACAGCGTATACACACACACAACACAGCGTATACACACACAGCGTATACACACACAGCGTATACACACACACAACACAGCGTACACACACACAACACAGCGTATACACACACACAGCGTATACACACACAGCGTATACACACACAGCGTATACACACACACACAGCGTATATACACACACAACAGCGTATATACATACACAACAGCGTATACACACACAGCGTATACACACAACACAGCGCATACACACAACACAGCGCATACACACACAACATAGCGTATACACATACAGCGTATACACACACAGTGTATACACACAACACAGCGCATACACACACACAACATAGCGTATACACACACACAACACAGCGTATACACACACACAGCGTATACACACACACACAGCGAATATACACACACACACACAGCGTATACACACACACAGCGTATACACACACACAGCGCATACACACACACAGCGTATATACACACACACAGCGTATATACACACACAGCGTATACACACACACAGCGTATACACACACAGCGTATACACACACAGCGTATACACACACAGCGTATACACACACACAACAGCGTATACACACACACAACAGCGTATACACACACACAACACAGCGTATACACACACAACACAGCGTATACACACACACAACAGCGTATACACACACACAACATAGCGTATACACACACACAGCGCATACACACACACAGCGCATATACACACACAGCGCATACACACACACAACATAGCGTATACACACAACACAGCGTATACACACAACACAGCGCATACACACACACACACAGCGTATACACACACACAACACAGCGTATACACACACACAACGTATACACACAACACAGCGTATACACACACAATACAGCGTATACACACATACACAACACAGCGTATACACACACACAACACAGCGTATACACACACACAACACAGCGTATACACACACAACAGCGTATACACACACACAACAGCGCATACACACAACACAGCGTATACACACACACAACACAGCGTATACACACACAACAGCGTATACACACACACAACAGCGTATACACACACACAACAGCGTATACACACACAACACAGCGTATACACACACACACAACACAGCGTACACACACACACAATACAGCGCGCATATTTCATTACCTTCACCAGCGAGCACAACAGGCACGCCCGCAGCTGCCTAAGATCCTTGGGTACGGTCTCCAGCGACATGTTTAGAATATAATTTAATTCAAATTTGTTTAATTTAAAAATAAATCTGCGACGCTCCGAAGGGAAGAGAAGAGCCAGGCGAGAACGGGCGCGGGCCTTGCGAGTGACGTCACTTCCCGTGACGGGGGGGGCGGGTCTCGCAGCAATGAGGGTGCAGGCGGAAGAGGCGGGGCTCGCGAGATCGGGGGCGTGACGTCACGGCGCCGGAAGGGGCGGGGCTCGCGAGATCGATGGCGTGACGTCACGGCACCGGAAAGGGCGGGGCTCGCGAGATCGATGGCGTGACGTCACGACACCGGAAGGGGCGGGGCTCGCGAGATCGATGGCGTGACGTCACGGTACCGGAAGGGGCGGGGCTCGAGAGATCGATGGCGTGACGTCACGGCACCGGAAAGGGCGGGGCTCGCGAGATCGATGGCTTGACGTCACGGCACCGGAAGGGGCGGGGCTCGCGGAGCGCGGGAACTGAAGATTCCCCTCAGCGACGGTCGGGTACTTTCAGCGTTATACGCAGTGAGTGAATACTGCACACACAGTGAATAATGTTACACACAAAGTCAATACTATTACTACTACACACACAGTTAATACTACACAGTGAATACCACTACACACACTGTGAATACTACTACTACACAGTCAATACTACTATACAGTGAATACTGAATACTATTACTACACAGTGAATGCTACCACTACACACACACAGTGAGTGAATACCACTACACACACAGTAAATACTACTACACACACAGTGAATACTACTACTACACACAGCTTCATTATTACACACAGCTTGATCACTACTACACAGTGACTACTACTACTACTGTCACTACACACAGTTACACGATTACTCACACAGAGTGACTAACTACTCAGTGGCGTCACTAGGGTTGGTGTCACCCCTCATGGACCTCCTCCCCTACCAGGCCATACAGAATCCTTAGTCATGTGTTTTGTACTAATATTACTCGTAAATCGTAATACCCGTATATCACAGACTGTAATGGCAATAGTAGTGACGTAAACAACTAGCAAGCTTAAAATTACACCTTTAAATTATAATATCATACGCACGGCCTAAATGTATTTACATAGTTTAATGTTGTTAAAGTGAGAATTCGGTTATAAAACAATAGAATTCGAAGTACAAACGTTTAAGAACTACATTAAAATTATGTTCATTTTAACATTAAACTTTACCGTTACATGATATACATTAATGGATTATGTTTGCATAATGAATAACGGCCAAAATAATGTATATGTTGTAGACAAATGCATATGGAAATATACTCATTAATGAAATCAAATAAACAGGAACAAATACACGATAATTTCAGCACTTAGTGAACATCTCGACTAAATCAGAACTTTCCTTTCCTGACCTTCAAAGCTGCGAACTTGTGAATCACTTCATCGAAATCAATGCCTTTCGCCAACTGACTTTCAATTTTCTTGGTTCTTTCGGTAAAGTCACGTAGAAGGGAAGTAATAAAATAATGAAAATAAAACATAATAAAACAATTCTCACGACGTTTCGGCCACAACGCAAGCAGCCGTCCTCAGGTGAAAACCAGGTCCGTCGAGGCGACAGAGTCTGAATGAAACAGCACACGAGCTTGGAGCATATATATAAGCTGGGCGCATTGACAAAGGAATTTGCATATCAAAAGGAATTTAGCATATTTATGGGAAATGCAGGAATGTGATTAGTACTGCATATGCATGTGCATTATGCAGGATTAACAGCATCAAAGGGAGCTGCAGTTACTGCTGCTGCAGCAGTTGCTGCTGCTGCTGCAGTTTCTGCTGCTGCTGCAGTTGCTGCTGCTGCTGCAGTTGCTGCTGCTGCTGCAGTTGCTGCTGCTGCACTTGCTGCTGCTGCTGCACTTGCTGCCTTATCCATTTTAATATAACACTATGTATTATTCTACCCACCCTAATGTGTATCATACTGCTATATGTTTACTGTACAATTACGACACCATACATTGCTCTGCACACTGCACCATGCCAGTGAGTGGAACGCGGTCTGAAAGTCACCGTAAACGTGAACACAATCAGTTAAGATCCGAAATGGTTTATTACGTCCTTCCAATGATTGCTAAGCCAGAATCCATCTTCTCGGTTGAAATTGTCTCTGTGTTTGTGTATGTGGATCGCCTCATGAACGAATCTCTCATGATAGCCAGATGGCTTGCAGAGAACCTCTGTCTTGGAGAAGTCAATGTCATGTGAGCCCACTGAATTGTAACAGTGATCTGCCACGGCTGAGGTGTTTGTCCTACCGTGTTTCAGGTCTGCCTTGTGTTCACGGATGCGGTCCGAGACATGTCGTTTGGTTTCTCCAATGTAACTGCTACCACAGAGGCAACTTAGTTTGTAGACGCCAGGGTACTGTATGTCTGGAACCACATCTTTTACAGACGGGACCAGATCACGGATTTTATGTACTGTGTTGAATCGGACCTGGATCTTGTGTTTAATCAGGATTTTGGAGATCTTTTTTGTGACCCCAGCAATGTAGGGTAAGGTGATGGTCTTGAAAGGCTCCTCAACAGGATCCTTCTTGATGGTTGGAGTGATGGCTTTGCGGATTGTGTAGTCGGAGTAACCATTAGCCTTAAGAGCTTGGCGTACGTGTTTGAGTTCACTGGAAATGTGTTCATGGTCGGAGATGCATTGGGCTCTATGATATAGAGTCTTGATGAGGGAATTCTTCTGGGATGGATGGTGGTGGGAATCCGGTTTTAGATAAGCATCCGTGTGGGTGGCTTTCCTGTAGACAGAGTGGCTCATTGAACCATCAGGTCTCCTTTTGATTAGGACATCCAAAAAGGGTAGCTTGCCATCATTTTCGACTTCCATGGTGAATCTGATGGCTGGGTGTATGGAATTGATGTGGTCGAGAAATTGGTCTAGAGCATGCCGGCCATGTGGCCAGATGACAAAAGTGTCGTCTACGTACCTCTTCCATAAGGTCGGGCGTAGAGTGGCAGTCTGGATGGCGTCCGTCTCAAATTTCTCCATGAAGATGTTGGCTACAACCGGAGATAGGGGGGAGCCCATTGGGGTGCCCTCAATTTGCTTGTAGAAGGTTCCATTCCAGGTGAAGTATGTATTGGTTAAGCAGTGTCTCACCAGGGGGGGTACCCCAGCATTCAGTCCTTGATGAACCAAGTCTTCAATGATTGCGATGGTGTCAGGCACAGGCACCTTGGTGAACAAGGAAACCACATCAAAACTGACAAGCAGGTCGTCTGGGGACAGGGCAATCCCCTTGATTGTCGATACCAGGTCAGTAGAGTTTAGTACTGCAGAGGTGGTTTTTCCAGTGAAAGGCCGTAGGATTTCGGACAAAAAACGAGCCAGTTTGTAAGTGGGGGAGTTGATAGTAGAGACAATGGGACGAAGAGGTGTATCTTCTTTATGTATCTTTGGCAAGCCGTACAATCTTGGTGGCCTGGCTGCAGAAGGTTTCAACGAGAACTGTCTGGTCTGATCAATTAATGCGGTTGAAGCAGAAATGATGTTGTTGGTTTTGGAGACGAGGCTGTTGGTGGGGTCTCTTTTTATTTTTGTATAGCTGCCATCGTTGAGTAGTTCTTGAATTTTGTTGTTGTATTCTATTTTGTCCATGATGACAGTGGCATTGCCTTTGTCGGCTGAGAGGATGACAATGTCATCCCTCTTTTTTAATTGAGCTAATTCAAAACGCTCATCTTTGCTGATGTTGCTAGCTGGCATCTTAGCGTTTTTGAGGGTTACAGAGATTTCAGATCTTGCTACGTCTGCAGCGATGTGACTCAAGCCCTTGAGAGCTACATCTACTCGAGCAATTATATCATTAACTGGTATGTGTCTAGGTGTGACTGCAAAGTTTAGTCCTTTAGCTAAAACGGATTTCAAACCTTCAGAAATAGGACTGTTACTGCGATTAATTACGACTTTGTTAACATCTAGCTTTTCAATGTGTGGGTCCGGTTTCTTGTTTGAGAGGCGGTTGAATTTGGAAATCAAGTTGTCCTTACATTTAGTCGACATAGCGGCAGCTGAAGAGGCAGTCATTTTTTCCACATGTTCCCAATCCGATGTGGACATTGTTACACTCAAAGATAAGTGTGATTTGTAGAGTGTCTTGTCTAACTGATCTAGTTCGGTGCGCGTAAGTCTGATTTTCTCTGAGATAAGAGCTAAACTAGTTCTAGACAGAATTCGTTTCGCATTAGAAGAAGTTACAGCAGCAGATGTTAGTGTAAATGCGTTTGGTATTACCTTAGAGTCGCGGCATCTCTTCAGAAAGGTGAGAGACTCGATTAGCTGAGCCTTCTTATCCCGGAGCTTGTTGAAGGATCTCAAAGTTATGTGGAAACCCTCCCCGTAGAGGCGGTTAAATTTCGATTTAAAGCTTTCGTGACTGCAGGGATTCATCTTCTTGGTTCTTTCGGTAAAGTCACGTAGAAGGGAAGTAATAAAATAATGAAAATAAAACATAATAAAACAATTCTCACGACGTTTCGGCCACAACACAAGCAGCCGTCCTCAGGTGAAAACCAGGTCCGTCGAGGCGACAGAGTCTGAATGAAACAGCACACCTGAGGACGGCTGCTTGCGTTGTGGCCGAAACGTCGTGAGAATTGTTTTATTATGTTTTATTTTCATTATTTTATTACTTCCCTTCTACGTGACTTTACCGAAAGAACCAAGAAGATGAATCCCTGCAGTCACGAAAGCTTTAAATCGAAATTTGACTTTCAATTGATAATATCGCAAGATCGGAAAGCCTTGACTCTCCCATGGTAGATTGCAAATATTTATTTATAAGTTTTAGCTTTGAAAAGCTCCTCTCACATGAAGCCACAGAAAAAAATGTATGCTTCGTGAAAGGGTTGGGAGAGATTCTATGAAGTCCCATTCAGCTATGAATGTCAAAACGTCTAATTTTGCTCAATCTTTGGCTTCTTCCAGATCAATCTCTGCTGCTTTCAGGTGCCTTCTCAGCCTTGGTATTTCTATTAAAAGCTCACTCTCAGATACCTCATCATAGAAAGTGGTCAATTTTGGAATGGACACCTTTAACTTTTCTTCAGTGGCAGATATGAGACTCTTCGCTTGAACAGCCTCAAACATGACTGCTACTTCCTTGATTGCTCTTGATCTGATCTGGAGTTCAGAATGAAAGCGATCAATGCACTCAAGCATTGCCCTCTTATTTTCTCCTTGCGGAGTGAGTCCAGCATCGCTTGCCTGCTCCCCTGCCATCCTCTTCTTGAACCTGACTCTTTTCTATGCTGCAAATCAATATTCATCTGATTTTAATAGCGCCTGTTCAATTGCATGCTCCACTAGGTGACTGCGCTGATCGTGCAGAAAAAGTCTTAGCGCCTCTAGCTTTGTCACCGCCTTGTCGAGAGTTAAGCCCTTTGTCTGCATGTACTGCTGTGTAAGATTAACTTCCTGAAGTACATCACACCAGAAGTACAGGTAGCACAGAAAAGTGAATCACAGAGAGCAGGCAAAAGACCTTGTGCTGCTCCTCTTGTGTCCACATATTCATGTGGATCACAAATAGCTTCAATCGCTGCCACAAACTTATCGAACTTTTCTTTAACTAGCTTAACTGCAGCATGATGAGCACTCCAGCGTGTTGTTGATAGCCTTTTCACTGACACTCCAGTATGGTCAATTAACACATCCCATCAATGGGTGGAAGCAGCAAAGAAATTAACATTGTCTCGAGAATTCCAAAAAATGTCACACGATGCATTTTCAACAAAAGAGTGCTGACCGCACAAGTTAAGCGAATGGTCCACACATCCATTAAAAAAGCTTTCTTGTTCTTTCCCCTAAGAATGGCTTGTACACTTCCATGGATTCCAGCCTTAGTGGCAGCATTAATCGTAACCTTGAGCGCGGCACATCATGATGTCCAGTCCATCACTTTCCAGTTTTTTAAGAATGTCAGAACTAAGGTCAGCAGCTTTTTTCCCCTTTAAAGGGAAAAATCCTAGCAATCCTTTCACTTCAACTTTCCTATTGTTGATGTTTACATATCTATCACTTCGGACATCTGGTCAGTATGTGATATGTCAGGTGCGCTGTCGAACATGATCCCAAAGTACTTTTCAGACTTTTTGTCTATGACAAGCCTCTCCTTCACATGATTTGCCAGTGCACTTATAAACTCATTCTGAGTTTTGGTGCAAGATAAGAGACTGATACTTTAAGTTTACATGTGCTCCGCTTTAATCTCATTCGGTGCTCTTTAGGACTGGATCATATTTTCTAAGCATCTCAATCATCTCTAGAAGGTTCCCTTTATTCAATGAAGATTCATCTTCCTTGTGGCCATGGAATGCCAGATTCTGCTTGGCAAGAAACAATGTGATATCAAGCAATCTGTGCAAGATGTCCCTCCACTTTTTCTTCTCAATTTCCATTAAAGCAGTAGTTTCGGCGTCAATGGTTTTGTGCATCTTCAGTCCTGCTGCCAATATTTTCCACTTTTCAAGGCAACGCAGGTGCTCTTCGGATGTCTCATGGTTATGCACTTTCGGGCTCAGTTTCCACCACTTTTGAAACTCAGTCACAAATTTGGATGTATCTGTAGCACTAACGGCAAATAGTCGGCAGCAAAACAGTATAAATTCTCGCTGACGAGTGAGTAAATCATCCATGACCGCAGAATTTTCTCGCCATTTGGCATCACCTTGTAAAACCACTCTTTTAAAAGCTGGTGCACATCTCCCTTTGCTTTTGCATCTTGCCTTGCCTTCTGGAAAGAAACACTTCCCCTTTTGATGATTTCAACCAGAAAATAATCTGGAACTGGTATCTCCCAGAAAGATACATCACAAACATTGGCAAATCTTTCTCCTTAACTTTACTCATCTCATGAGAATACATTTTCCCCTTTTTTCTGGCAACAGAACAGGTGTTAAGATGTTTAAACACCAAACTGAAACCTTTTACAAGGAATCATGTCTGCATTAACCACAATTCTTGTCAGAATGCAAACAAAAAACATACCCCTGATAATATATCCATCGTCTTTGAAACTGATTGGTCCACACCAGAGATAGCTTTCTTTGGAGTCTAGTTTCAAATGGTGTGAGACCATTTCATAATATATGCATTGTCTTTGAAACTGATTGGTCCACACCAGAGACAGCTTTCTTTGGAGCCTAGTCTCAAATGGTGTTAGACCATTTAAGACTAGGCTCTGGTGTGGACCAATCAGTTTCAAAGACAATGCATATATTATCAGAGTAAGGGGAAAACCTATTAGATTTTAGTACTGGCAAATGAGGTCCCATGATGTTACTCATCTCATTTACAGTATCATGGCTAGAATCACTTTCAGCACTCTCTTTTGCTTCAAATTCTTCCATTTCCACTCCTTGCTCTTCTGCTTCAAATTATTCTATGTCCACCTCTTGCTCTTCTGCAGAATGCATGCTAGCATTAGAAGAATCAGCTTTGTCAATTGGAGACTGACGAGCAGTGTCTTTTGATGAACCCTGCCCATCATCCGGTCTTTTGACATATTGAAGCATGGATCTAGCAAGTGTTTTGAGTGATTTAATTATTGCCTCTTTTGCTATCCTTTGCTGGCATCCACTTGGCCTCTGATTTATGCACTCCATGTGGCATGATAGAATATCCCTGCACAATAAATCAACTCCTTAAAAAAAGTTTGTTTTATTAACAACTTTGTTTATCTCACGGTCAAGAAGTACGTCACTGATGCGGCGCCTACTCCCACATCAACGCTGACTTGAATTAATTCATAACTTCCATAACTCGTTCACACGGAGCAGGCGATTCGAGAGTTTAGGGACCGTGGAGTTTTTTACCTACACAAATATCTATATAAATAATAAGGCGTCTATACAAAATGTAAATTGCTTTAAAGTAGCAAATTAATTGATGAATTGATTTTACAGGCATGCATTGTCACTGGATCTGAGTACGTGTGCACAATTTGGAATTGATTGGACAACAGGAAGTAGACTAAATTTTGATTACCAAATTTGACCACGACACAGGAATCAAGTTAAGTAAACCCGTTGAAAAAGACAAATGAGCAATATTTGAAAAAAAAACTAAGAAAATGTAAAATGCAAATCATATATATATATATATATTTGCAAGACAGTAATGATTTTAAAGAAGAAAAAAAAGACAAAAATAAAAAAAAACTTAAATTAAGATTTCAGTTATATTTCTGAACATGTAGAAATATGCCTATGTGTTGTGGCCTTAAATAGAGAGAGAGGGGGGGCATTGGGTCTCTGTGTGTCTGTGTTGTGTCTCTCTCTGTTGTGTCTCTTTGTCGTCTCTCTCTGCTTGTGTGTCTGTCTGTGTGACTCCGTGTCTGTGTTTTGTCTCTTTCTCAAATTTAGTTCTACCTGATGACGATTGCTTGTGTTGCAATTGAAACGTCGTATTCTATTACTGAATTTATTTTCTTTCTACGTGACTTTACCGAAAGAACCAAAGAGTAATACAGATATTTTTCAATAACGGTTACTGACTGTACCGACCACTTTGGGTGGGGGGGGGGAAGTCAACAGTGGTTGTCCAATGAACGGACTCATCCCCGCCATCGGAATGTGTAAATTCCACCACTGACTCAGGAGTGTAAACAGATGAGCACCACTGCATCAATGCTCAGTTTGAGCCGGGAATTTGACTTGTAGTTCAGTCTTCTCGATTTTCCCAGGAGTGGTCCGGGCTGGCAGGTGACGACGGCCAGTATGCTAAGTTCAATCACCTTCGTCTCTCGCGTGGCATGTTACAGAGAGGCCTGGCAACAGGCAAGTTGAATGCAGCGCACAGAATGGTTGTACAGCGGTGACTAGAGAAGTGTTGTGGGATGTGTCAATGATTGCAGTACAGGGTGACCTAAACTCCAGAAGGTGAAAGTGACGAGTAGAATAATAAGTTACATATCATTTTAGTAAACTAAGTTTTGGACCATCCGTTACTGTAAAGGGTGGGGTAATAAAATATAAATGGATTAAAATGAAACAATGCACTTTAAAGGATTTGTATTATATACCGTAATGCCTTCATGAATTGTACACCGTATGGGTTTGGCCGTGCATTGTTAACAATGTGCTCTCGTGAAATCTTCAACTTATTTTGCAGACCCACCAATTGGAGCATTTATCAGAGATGAATGATTTGTACACCAACTAATCGTCCTCATTGCTGCATTCGTCATTGTAAGTCTCCATCCACTGCTGGAGGAGGGCCTCTCCATCGGCTCTCAGGTTGTCGCCGCCACCACACCATCGCGACCGCACCACCCACTCTCGCTTCTGCGTTTGTTCGCCGCTTTGACATCCAGCACCATGGGGGACTCGGGGAAGAAAACTCCGCTGCCCGTGCCAACATTCTTCGCAGAAGCAGAGTGTCAAATGTTCCTGGAGAAACGTCTCGGGCGCACGCCCGTGGCGCCGCCGCGGCCGCCCATGAAGAGCTCGTCTACGCTGCGGCGCTGCCTGAACCCGACGAGGGACTCCGAGGACGACGGGGCCACGACGGCGCCGCGCCACTGGAGCTCGCAGCGGCCGCACTCCGTGTCGTTCCGCAGCTTAGAGAACTCGCTGCTGCGAAGCCGCATCTACGACAAGAGCCGCAGCGAGGTCACCTACTTTGCGCAGTGCTTCGAGGTGCGTTGTCAATCGCCGATACTGCTGTTGTATTGTCGTCATCATCATCATTGGTGTTGTTTGCTTTGCAAAGGCACGTAGGTTGGAGAACATCACAGTGCACTGCACTCCCAATTGTAAAGCCAAATGAGATTTTTAAAAATTTGAATAGTCATTACATTAACCAAAACCTACTTTCCATATTACAAGATGCTCTGGAAAGTGTGAGTAAAGTTATTCCAATCTGCTCAAAGACACGCTATCAGAAAATAGGAGACACCTCCTAAGTTGGCTTAAAAATACAGGTGGATAAAAGTATACTTTATAACCCAGAGAATATAGTAACAACAAAACTATATATATATATATATTTTGACTTTATGACCAGGTTAGTAATTGATGCATTTGACCAGGCACCCTGGTATGTTGACGGTTTGGGTGATTTTCCAAAAGCCAATCAAGAAGCAAACCATACTATGCTGTCCTCACACGACATCTGAATCTTGCTTGAGGCCAAGGAGGGCCAGCGGCAGGGCTAATTATGTATTCATGCATGCGATGTCAGTAAGTACACTGTGAGGACACACTATCACCGCGTCATTTACACATGTCTCGACTCGTTCATTGCATATACTGTACCTTGTGGCACGGCTCGGCTCGGCTTCTGCAGTGGAAAACCAACCTGGTGCTTCCTGAGCCATGCCGGGCTGGCTCGGCACGACCCCGTGGTGGAAACGAGGCGGCTATTTGTGGCTGCCGCTGTTATTGCGCGTGTGGTTGAGCATGGCGGATAGCCATGGGGGTCTCTCCGGCACCCCCACCCACCCACTCTGTTCCTGCCAGGTGCTGGAACGGATCGGCCTGGGCTCGTTCGGGGAAGTGTTCAAGGTGCGCAGCTGGGAGGATGGCAGCTTGTATGCGGTGAAGCGGTGTCGCGAGCCATTCCGTGGCGAGCGTGACCGCGAGCGCAAGCTGGAGGAGGTTGCCAAGCACGAGCGCCTGGAGCCGCACCCCAACTGCGTGCGCTTTCTGCGCGCCTGGGAGGAAAAGCAGCACCTCTACATCCAGGTGCTGCCCCTGGGCGATAATCTGACCCGCGTGGAATTCTGAACGCGGGGTTAGAATGCTTTTCTGTATTTTAACCCACCTCGCCGTGGTAGTCTGGTAGTCTTATCCCACCAGCATATTGGGGCATTTCATCTTTTCTCATAATGGTGCTGGGAGTTATTGTCTATTAGTTTATATTCCTTATCATCGACTAAAGTTAACAATTAGCCGATTGTAAAAGCAGGTCCACGCCCGAGCGATCTGTTGGGTGCAAACGAGTTTCCTCGTCGCTGAGGTGTCGACTCGGCTTGAGACACATCCGAAGCCGCATCACGTTTTATTTACTGCCCCTCCGCAGACGGAGCTGTGCGCGATGAACCTGCAGCAGTACTGCGAGGAGGAGTGCGGCGGGAGGTTGAGCGAATGCGAAGTGTGGGCCGTGGCCGTGGACCTCCTGCTGGGTTTGCAGCACCTCCACCGGCGCGGCCTCGTGCACCTTGACGTGAAGCCGGCCAACGTGTTCCTGAGCATGACGCCACCGCCGCGCCGCTACAAGCTCGGCGACTTCGGCCTCGTCGTCGACCTGCAGCGGGTGAGGGGGAGGCGACATCATTTAGTGGCTGTGCAGGCAGCGCAACTGCACCGAGGGGAGCTGACGGGGATGGGGCGGGGGGGGGGGCGGGGGGCGGGGGGTGCGGCAGGCCCACAGGTCAGAGGGTCTGGAAGTAGGTTTGACAAAAGGTTCGTAACATTACATTCTAACATTTTGTTTATTCCGCCTGGTGTGGGTAAAGCGGTGATGTTGTACGGTACGGCACCGTGCGTTGCCAGGGTGACCACGCCGACGCGCAGGAGGGAGACCCCCGGTACCTGGCACCAGAGCTCCTGCAGGGACATTTCAGCAAGGTGGCCGACATCTTCAGGTATCCGACACGCACCTGAGCGAACGGTGCGGGGGGGGCCATGGGTGCGAAGGGAGATGTATCACGTGTGTGGTGTGTCACGTCATTTCATTGCTAATGCTGTTCGAATGCATAGTACGGGGTGACGACGCAGTTGGTTTATTTACCGAGTTAAAGTGTAACTTGTAATTTCCCTGTTTTGACAATCAGCCCCTGCCTCCGCCGTACCGAGCTGGCCCGGCGCAGCTCAGGAGGCACCAGGTTGTTTTTCCACTGCAGAAGCCGAGCCGCGCCGCTGACTTTGCACGCAATGAACGAGTCGATGCGCATGTAGATGAAGCGGTAACGCTGCGCCCTCGCGGTCTGCTGAATGATTGCACACACCCATTGAACACGTCGTTAGCCCTGTCCCTGCTTGGCACTGGTGAAGCCAGAGTTTCACAGTTTAGTTCTGGCTTGTTTTGGCAAATAGCGAGTGTAAATCTACCCGTAGCGTGAGGGTGTCATGCTGGCTCGGCTCAGACGTGCCAGTGAAAATGAGTCTTTGCCCCTGGTGGCGGTGTTGTGTGCGCAGTGCAGGTATGACCCTGTTGGAGGTGGCCTGTAACCTGCAGCTACCCACCCGTGGCGAGGGCTGGCAGCACCTGCGGCAAGGCTTCCTGCCCGATGACTTCATCGCAGGTACAGCACAAGGATGTGTGGGTGGCGCTGCCACTCTGCAGATGAGTGAGGTGGAGACGATTGCGAGCGGTGCCTGATGTGTTTTCGAGCTGTCCCGTCTGTTGTTCTGCATGATGTCCGACGTTTCGTTCTCAGCCGGGAGATAAACAGCGCACTTACGATGACCTATGCAGTAGAATCTCAAAGGTGTTTGTGTTTGTGGCGTGTTGAGCATTTTTTTTTCACTCAACCTTTTGCCACGCAACTCGTGAAGATGCCCACGACCGTGAGAGAACACGTGACCGAAACTGGAAGACCACACTCAGAAGCGGAACGTTTTCTAATTTTCTGAGGGACTCGCTATGCCCTTGGGCCTGACTAGGCCTGTCAGAGGATCTGGTCAGCAGCATACGGGCAATGTTGGAGCCGGATCCGAGCCGCCGAGCCTCCGTGGATGAGCTGTTGGCGCGACCAGAGATGCGCCGGGCCGCCCGCCAGCGTCGCCTCCACTTGGCCTCCCAAGCCACCTGGTGTCATCTCCTCACCGCCGTGCAGGTTTCACCCCGACCCACCCCATGACACACAACGTCGACGAATCTTACCTCCCGCCACCAACTAACGTCACCGGTGCATTTGTAAAAGTCTCACTATGTCTGAATGCCACAGTGAGACTACCTCACTATTTACCTCACTTGGTATACTGGAGGTCGTCGGTTTGATCCCGACCCCTGATGCCTGCTGTATATTTGGAGTTTGCATGTCTCTCCCCATGGTCGTGAGGATTTTTTTCGGGTCCTCTGGTTTTTTCCCCTCCACATTTAGAATCAACATCACACTTTTAGAGTATTTGGCTGCTGTAAATTTCCACGTGATCAGCCACTTCGTTGAGCTATTATTTGTGGCCAGGTCGCTTCTGAAAAAGACCTACATAGCTTAGTGGGCCTTACCTGGTAAAATAAAAAATAGTTTATAGTTTCAATGAGACCGCCCTCCAGCAAGAACTTCCTCCTTTTTTCTTTCCACAGTTTCCACACCAGCCTGGTTCTTCATGACTGCACTGTTGCCTTTGACACCATTGACCGCTGCATAATAGTTAAGAACAGCTTCGGACTATGTTGGTGTGTCCAGCTTTCTCTCACACTTCTGCTCACACACGTGGTACTTCCTCCTTTGTGTCTCAGTAGCCTCATCTTCTCTTGTTCAGTTAGCTCTACTTGTGCACCTTCACTTTTAATTATCTTCAACTTGTAGTGGTTTTAAATTCTTATTGTGAGTTGGGGAGCTCTATCCGAAGTAACCTTGAGTCCAAAAACACGATGCTTAATAATCAGAGACTAAGAATCCCATTCCTCTATGACTCTCAACCCTGCCGCGACAAGAGAAATCGTTTCCACTACATACAAGCATTGCACTTTCACGACATGAAATACATAACACGACCATATAAAGTTACAAAGCCCATATGATCATTTATCACACAGTACTTTTTAAACCATGCATTGTATCACAAGACCACAGAAAACCCTGATTTCTTATGCAGACATGTCCGGGTAAAAGGAGGGCAACTCTAAAATTCCCAAGTGCAGAAGGATCCCGACACAGCATGGGTAACTCAACCATCTTTGCAGGCCCCCGAGTGTTAGCCGAGTGTGCGTGGGTCTTCCGCAGATACCCTGGTTTCCTCCCACATGCAATACGCTCCTTCAACTGGAATAGGCTAAATGTGGCAATGTAGGACCCTCCTGAAAAAAAAACGATTGAAAACTGAAACTGCCGTCATTGTGTGCTTGACTCTCGTGTCTCCGTGCAGGCAGTCTGGTCCGTGCTGGCAGGCGTGTGCCACAAGACTATGGCGCGTCTCGGCCACTTGGCTGCCTTTGCCGTGTTCTGGCCCCTGAGCTCCTCCTCCCCCGTCACGCCCCCCATGTCTTCGTCGTCGCGAGTGTCTGTTTCTGCGAGCGACGGAGATGGTGACGGCGACAGCGCCAGTGGCAGCAGACGAGATTCAAGCCCCGACTGGGATCGCAGCCTCAGCCTGAGCGACGACGCGTTCATGCCCTTGACAACCGGTGACCCCATGCCCTCTGCCTCGAAGTCAATGTACAGGTATTTGTGCCACGAAAAATATTGTTTCTATACTCTTTGGTTCTTTCGGTAAAGTCACGTAGATAGAAAATTATTAATGATCTATTAATAATTTTCTATCTACGTGACTTTACCGAAAGAACCAAAGAGTATGGATTCCTGCAGTCACGAAAGCTTCAAATCAAGATTGAATATTGTTTCTGTTATTTTTATGCTTGTTTACACAGGAAAGCCTCATGAGTCTCAGTACTTTTTTCAAAGGCTCTTGCCAAGTTTAAGCCATGTGGGGAGGGGGGCACGATGTTGCTGTGTGTAACTCCAATTGAGTAATTTTCAGGGAATTTTCTGACATTGGGACATTTGGCCAATACTAGTTACATTGTATGTTTCTTTTATCTATGCAGAACATGGGGAGAACATACAAACTATCTTTGCTGTAAAGCACAAGTGTTACCACTGCACAAACCATGTCACCCAAAAGTTTTCCACGAATAAATGTCCAAACTTCTTCACTGGGGCACGGCCTTAATGTGGCGGCGCAGCCTGCGAGCCATGTAAACCCTGAGCAGATCTCCTGCATCGGCACCCGTACCAGGCGGGTTACTCTGCGTGGGGCGGCAACACAGCCTAGCCACTTGTTACAGTGGTCTTTCGCCGATTGTTGCAGAGTTTTGTAAAGGTTTGCAATTTGAATCTGGTCGGCCACCCTGGTTATTTACTGTGGGTGCATTAACCGTAAAATATTACGCGCAGTCTACTTCACAGTGGATGGTAAAGGTCCCCTGACGTCATTCGGAACAAGTTCGCCATTGTGTGCCGGCATCATGATCCAAATTGCCCATTTCGAAACATTGATCACAGCTACTCGAGAGGGATTATACATAGCAACTGTGAAGCCACTGCAGACTGTAAAACACAGCAGATTATGATTGATGGAACAATTAACCCATTAAATATATATTTTTATAAAGTAATAAGTAAAACAAATATTTTCAATAATTGATTCTATGTAAATAAATTATATTTTTACATTTTCTATTAATCTCCAGCAAGACGCTGGAAACTAGCCCGGTGTGATGCGGGAAAGGCAGTGATGATGACGGCATCCACCCCCAGCCATCTGCCTTGCACCTGGAACCATTTATTATGCTAATGATATGCAGATCGTGTGCTTAATAACACTGGTTTACAGTCAAAATGCTTCGAAAATAAATGTAGTCCAACTTTACTAATTCTGGGTCACTGAGAATGAAAATTATGCTTAAAATTGTTGATTGGCTATAGTTTCAAGCTATGCTACTGGGTCAGTATACACGACCTTTGACTTGGGAATGGCAGAGGATAAGTGAGTTATAAAGGGAAGGGATCTCAATTTAAACCAGAAATGACTAAAATACATCTTTGACCGGATCTACAGTGAGGGAAAAAAGTATTTGATCCCCTGCTGATTTTGTACGTTTGCCCACTGACAAAGAAATGATCAGTCTATAATTTTAATGGTCGGTTTATTTGAACAGTGAGAGACAGAATAACAACAACAAAATCCATAAAAATGCATGTCAAAAATGTTATAAATTGATTTGCATTTTAATGAGGGAAATAAGTATTTGACCCCCTCTCAATTAGAAAGATTTCTGGCTCCCAGGTGTCTTTTATACAGGTAACGAGCTGAGATTAGGAGCACACTCTTAAAGGGAGTTCTAATCTCAGCTTGTTACCTATATAAAAGACACCTGTTCACAGAAGAAATCAATCAATCAGATTCCAAACTCTCCACCATGGCCAAGACCAAAGAGCTCTCCAAGGATGTCAGGGACAAGATTGTAGACCTACAAAAGGCTGGAATGGGCTACAAGACCATCGCCAAGCAGATTGGTGAGAAGGTGACAACAGTTGGTGCGATTATTCGCAAATGAAAGAAACACAAAATAACTGTCAATCTCCTTCGGCCTGGGGCTCCATGCAAGATCTCACCTCGTGGAGTTGCAATGATCATGAGAATGGTGAGAAATCAGCCCAGAACTACACGGGAGGATCTTGTCAATGATCTCAAGGCAGCTGGGACCATAGTCACAAAGAAAATAGTTGGTAACACACTACGCCGTGAAGGACTGAAATCCTGCAGCGCCCGCAAGGTCCCCCTGCTCAAAAAAGCACATATACATGCCCGTCTGAAGTTTGCCAATGAACATCTGAATGATTCAGAGGACAACTGGGTGAAAGTGTTGTGGTCAGATGAGACCAAAATGGAGCTCTTTGGCATCAACTCAACTCGTCGTGTTTGGAGGAGGAGGAATGTTGCCTATGACCCCAAGAACACCATCCCCACCGTCAAACATGGAGGTGGAAACATTATGCTTTGGGGGTGTTTTTCTGCTAAGGGGACAGGACAACTTCACCGCATCAAAGGGATGATGGACGGGGCCATGTACCGTTAAATCTTGGGCGAGAACCTCCTTCCCTCAACCAGGGCATTGAAAATGGGTCGTGGATGGGTATTCCAGCATGACAATGACCCAAAACACACAGCCAAGGCAACAAAGGAGTGGCTCAAGAAGAAGCACATTAAGGTCCTGGAGTGGCCTAGCCAGTCTCCAGACCTTAATCCCATAGAAAATCTGTGGAGGGAGCTGAAGGTTCGAGTTGCCAAACGTCAGCCTCGAAACCTTAGACTTGGAGAAGATCTGCAAAGAGGAGTGGGATAAAATCCCTCCTGAGATGTGTGCAAACCTGGTGGCCAACTACAAGAAACGTCTGACCTATGTGATTGCCAACAAGGGTTTTGCCACCAAGTACTAAGTCATGTTTTGCAGAGGGGTCAAACACTTATTTCCCTAATTAAAATGCAAATCAATTTATAACATTTTTGACATGCGTTTTTCTGGATTTTGTTGTTGTAATTCTCCCACTGTTCAAATAAACCTACCATTAAAATTATAGACTGATCATTTCTTTGTCAGTGGGCAAACGTACAAAATCAGCAGGGGATCAAATACTTTTTTCCCTCAATGTATGTGGCAGCCCTGGTTCCCTTGAGCGATGCGATTTTCCCAGCGCGTCGCCCGTGACGAGACCTCGGGCTCAGGTGGCCACCACATCCACCCCGCGCAACCGCTCGCCCGAGCCACCCAACGGCAGCGCCCACAAGTAAGGCACCACTCCGCTCAGCGTGGCTCCCGCGTATTGAAGTTGTATTCACCGTCAGCAACAAACACCTACATATCGAAACAGACCAGCGCAGTCGCCAATAACAACACCGTGTGTGTGGCCTTAAAAATAAAAGCATATTATAGGTGACGTTCTGGGCAATGGTCCTTCTTCATAGCGCACATAGAGAATCCAAATAGTTAAGAGTGAGACGGACTAATATAATCAGTATGTACTATATAATGATGTATATTTATGAATATAAATTAGGTCAGCGATTGACGGTTGATTTAAAAGAGCACACATTGTAATTAGGAGGGAAGATATGTTGTGGGTAATGAATGAATGAGTCTCGTAGTTAGGGGAGTGATTGCCTCTTAATCTTGAACAACTGGACTGCAATAAAATAATATTGACAGTGACATCAGTACTCACAGCATCATTGATCTTCAGTTAAACCTTGAAACTTAAGCAAGTATTTATCTTATTTAACTTGGCAGGTTATGGAAGCGACCCGTTAAGACAGACACGTAAACACGTTGTTGCTCGTAAGTCCAGATGGAGCATGGCCACGAACCTCCGCTGTCTCTTGCCTGTCCCCAGCCTCTGTGTGGCTGAAGCAACGGTGGCCGTACAGGCCAGCCCCAACATCAGCCTCATCCTGCAGCCGGCGTGTGCCAACGAGGAGGAGGAGGATAAGGGGGGGAGGAGGAGGAGCAAGGGGCGCAGCCCGGGTGGCTCGGTGCTGCGCAGGGTTCTCCATTTCGGATCGGGCCTCTCCAGCGCCTCGGTGCGTGCCTCCCGCGAGCGCAACTGGCTTGACAGCAGCGGCGACGATGCCGTGAGCAACGCCCACGACGGGAATGGGGCCCACACGGACGACAACGACGAGGAGGAGATGATGCTGAGGTCCTTCAAACCTTGCAGCCTCATCGATGCGCTGAATGAAGAGGACACCGCAAACGCAGACTGAGACCCGCTCGGATTCGTGCCTTGAGCCGCGCTGTCCGGCCGTCGGCTGTCGGTATTCGGGAGACGATTCACCGCCACCGTTCCTGCGATTCACTTTGGAGCATTCAGGGTGGATTGGTCATTGCCTACGTGCCTTCTTGCATATATCAAAAAGGAACCACGGGAAGGGATATTCTGCTTTTTGCCATCATTTCACTCCATCCAAGACCCCAGAGTGTTTATTCTTTTTTATTTTGTGGGGTTTTTTTGTTGGATGGATGAGCCACTGATCGGCAGTTATTTGTAAATATAATCATCCCCCAGGTGTCCTTGACCGTTTTGTCGGCTATTTTTTGATAGGAGTTGTTACCGTGATATCTCCTGCTCATATTTATGTCGCCATTTCCTTGGCAATGTGAGAAATGGCACACAGATTAGCACTTCTCTTCTATTTCACTCTCACTGAATGGTCGGTCTGCGAGACTTAGTCATTTGCTGAACGCTGGTTAGGTTATCCGCTCGTTATTTATAGCGGCTGTGAAAACAACAGTGGCCAAGATGACCGCACAGTGTTGCTGCTGCTAATGACAAAGCGCTACAAGACGGCAATGTGGATCGTTCATCGATGCCTATGGTAAAGAAGAAATTCTAATGATAATTATATTCCCACATCTGTTATTGAGAGGAATCCACCTCTCAGAAGTCAAGAGCACTCAGTCCCTGAGTTCTAATCCAGGCAGTTTCCTCTGCTTAAACTGGCTTCTCAAGAGTCACAAATGTATTGGTCTCAGTCCGGTCACTAATTACTTCACACACCGAAAACATGACATTAAATATGGTTCTGCACTTCATTTGGCTGAATGCAAGCTCTGAGACCTAATTTTATTATTAGTTTGACCATCATGGCGTGCTTCTACTGTGAGGCAAGTACTGGTACTGTGAGACCAGAGGTTACTTGATGGGAGTTCGGAGGTAGCTCTGTGATATCCGCTTCTGTGGGCCTTTCTCGAATACGAACGGTTGCACTCTGTGGGAAATGCGAATGCCGTCCTTGGTTCGTGAGAATTGGCGAAATATTTTTTTTGGGATGATAATTTGCTCCACCTCCTGAACCCAGACTGCCACGTGCTTAGTTTTGGCTGATCCTATCAGAATTTAACTAAACTCCTTCGCTTGGGCAGCATGTGGTTTTTGTACAAGTGACGACTCCGTGATGTCCGCCATCTGCAATGACTTGCGTCGCAAACTTCTGGAAGTTTGACGGAATAACCTGGTGCAATAGTTTCGGTGTGCGGTGGTTTATTTTTAGTGCAATTTTCTGACCGATTGCTGCTTTAATGTCGCTTTTCCCAAAAAATGTCTGCAGAAGCGATGCCCTCCCCCCCAATGCAAGTCCCCTTTCACGTTTGATAAACAGCCATTCCCTGACACTACACGAGGGGGCTTTGCCAAAGAAAATCTGTGCCACAGTTGGTGGTGTCATTGATGCGCACGACCTTTTTAATTTGCATTTTCACGTAGGTATTCTTGCGTAACGTTTCTCCAGTTTGTGTTATTATATCCAAGTACGTGTCGCACATTTCGCACGTTATTTAAAAAGCGGTGAAATTATCGGAAATTCTCACCGTTTTTGTGTTTACGTTTAATCCTTGAGGGCGGTGTATTTATTGTTATTATGAATGTTGTTTTCGTCTTATTCAGGTGCTCTACGTATACAGAGGGATGGGGGGTCAATACGCATCTCTCGGTCCCGATGAACATTCGCTTGCATGGGCTTCTCGCCAGGGTGTCATCAAGTGAAAGCTGGGACTGTAAACAATGCTCGGATAATGCAGCCTGGCAGGGGACTAGGCCAATGTAACCTGCACGCGTGTCCCTGTACCAGTACAGTGCCCGTCACGTAGTGGCGAGAGCGTTTTTGGTCTGCGACGTTTTTATTTCCTTTAACCTCGCCGCAAAAAATATACTATTCTAAAATCTCACTGCCTAATTCATCCAAATATGCAATATAATATCCAGTCAATACAAATATCCATAAGCTGGTTATCAGAGCTACCGTTTACTCATGATTCCTAACCAGGGTTAAATACGATACACCTTCACCTTGATTCCAAAAAGAACCTTGCGATTGCAAAGGCTTCTGGGAGCCGCTCTTGGCAAGGTTGTCCGCCGTACTTATTCCTACGGACGGAGAGGGGTGATCAGCAACGTGTCAATATTCATCTCACGGTATTGCCCCTACAAAGGTGTTCATCATATTCACAAACTGACACACTTGTTAAAGTACATCTTCGGAGTATTATAAATTGAAGGAAGTGGACACAGCAAACCCAGACTGTATTATACATCTATAATGGCAGCAATGAAACATTTTCACCGTCTGAGCAAGAATTTGGCAGGATGCCCTTTTGAACTGTATGATACCGGTGTTTTTGGACTTTTTATATTAGTGTCTGGTGGAAAACTCAGAAATAGTCTCCGCTAACACCAACCCTTATTCAACATCTTGAGACTGACCTCCACACTGCTTTCATGATCTCTGCAAAGCAGTTCTGATTCTCTGATCACTCCAAGGGTCAGGGCCAAAGGGCTGGTCTTCACGGGGCGGGGGGAGGGATTCATTTCGTGAGGGATTTGCAGAGACGTCGTCCCATGCGATGAATTTAACATTTGTGCAATGCTTGCGCGTGAATTAGACTGCATGTGCGTCCAGACAAGGTTGGGTTGGAGTGGGATGGGGGGGGGATTTACCTTTGTTGATTGTAACGTACGAATGTATGCTATGCGAATAAACAAGCAAACTGCCGATGCATTCACTTCATCTCCACCATTACATTAATGTTGGACCATTCTTAATTATCTATGAAGCACCATGACGGGACGCATGCAAGGCTTGTTTTTGGCAGAAGATCACGTGACTGACCCAGGTATTATGAGTTGACTAGCGTGCCAGGCGAGGTGCAGGAGGTCACGGGACTGACCCAGGTGTTAAAGGGATGACTGAGATAACTGGCAGATGCACCACCCGTGCTGCCGACCGTGCCACCTAAAACACAACGCGAACATGAACACAATCGTAGTTTGTGTAGCAGTAATTATTTATTCAGTTACAACCTGATTGCAGTTAAAACATGTTTTTACATATATTTAAATAAGTACGAACTCAACTCTGGTTGCTGACCTTTCTAAATGTTCACAACACGTTTTCGTGATGTTGAAAGTTGGTGCTGACAACGCACGCGCAAAATTAACATTTTCAAACTTGGCAATTTAGAGTAATGTTTAGTACTTGGGAGTTTGTTGTCATTAAAACACTTGAGCTACGCATTGCATTCAAGATTCACATGGGCCACTACTTTCTCTTTCAGGAACGCGATATTTACCACGGACCATTAGCTGTGGGGGCAGAGCTGTTGTCCTTCCCCCGCACTTCCGATTAGCACGGTTGGCTACGTACGGTGCGAAAGAAGTTCTACATACGCTGCAGCCACAGCTTCCAGTCGCCGGCTTCAGGAATAACAACAGCAGCAGCCACAGCCGCCGCTCGACAACTGTGGCTGCAGCAACATTCAAGGGGCACAGCCGTCTCTGAGTTGTGCTGATCTATCACACGGAGTGCGGACGGCAACCACCACAAAACCTGCATTTCAATCAATCATTCTCTTGACTACATTCATAAAGATCGCCGCAATGTTTGGGGTCATTTTAGCCGCTCGGAGTCCAAGGCCAGCAGCAACACCGCCGCTTGAGCGAGACATGGCAGTGGTGGCACGGGCGCACATCACAGAGACTCTACACATCCGTCAATAGCTGTGTAAGGGGGGGCTAGAAGGAAACGCACAAGAGACACCGTTTCACCTTTTCCATGCAGAAGAGCCATGGCCTCCAAGGTCGCCCTCCAACGCCGTTACCCTCAGGGCCACGGTGGACTATGTGAAATATTGGACAGCTGTGGAAAAAGAGCTTCATAGCTCATCGGATTTCTCCAGGAATAAATAAATATCCTGATCCTGACTCGAGTTGTGGGTCGGCCACGTGGTAGGCTCGAGTATCAATGCTCTGCTGTTGCTGCTGTTGCTGCTGCTGCTACTGTTGTTGCTGCTGCTGTTGTCGTCAGCTGTGCCTCCAGCCTCTCAGGCCGACCGACACGTGCTCCCACCGTGCTCCCACGCCACAGTCGGTCGCCAATCGTTCCCATAATCCCCGCGTCCCCGTCGCCTCCAACGACTCAACCAACTCCGTCACGAGTCAGAGTTTGCGATTTTCATTCGAGAACCAACGAGGTGCGTTGTTTTGTGTTGGTTGTAACGGCGGTCAACGTTACGGCGGCCTCCGGTGTCTGCAAGGGTCACGTGAACCCCTTGCCGTAGAACACCTTCCACGCACGTTGCAAATCCGACACAATCCGTCGATTGGAATCATCGCTCGACCCCGAGCTGGGCACAGCTGCTCACTCTTTAAACTTCCTGAGAGAGCCCAGGCCACTCACAAATACCAGGCGACAACGCGATCAACATGGACATACGTTGGACTGTTGTAAAGTGAACGGAGGTTTTACACTTTGAACCCACGTCTCGGACGAAAGTCATGCGCATTTCGTTGGCAATTCACTGAACTATTTTAACTGCTATATATTTTAATTGTACTCGGTAAGGCCCACTGAGCTATATCGGTGTTTTCAGAAGCGAACTGGCCACAAATAATAGTTCATTGGCTTATTAAGTGGACATTTATAGCAGTCAAATATATTCTAAACGCATGTTGATTCTAAATGTGAAGGGAAAACCCTGAGGCTCCGGAGAAATAGCCACGTGGCCATGAGGAGAACACGTAAACTCCAAATGTACAGCAGGCCTCAGGGTCGGAATTGAACCCACAACCTCCTGTAGACCAGGCGAGGTCGTTAACATCTCGCCACCGTGGCGCCAATAAACTGAAAAGTGGAAGAGTAGGCCAAAATCACCCGCTAAAGCTCCTAATGTAATGCAGACCCTTCCGCTAGCGGTCGCGTGAGTGCAATTGCAAGGTTGCACCTTTACCTGTGAACTTCAACACAGATATCGCGTGTTCATACGTCACGATCTACGGAGCGGTAGCGTGACGTCACAATAAAACATCACCGCGTCACGCTCCGCTCCACCACCTGGACGAAACATCCTCAAAAACGTCGTGCTCGACAAATGCACAGGACCATTATTGTACAGCAAGTAAACCCGTGTGCATATGCCTATCATTGCTTGGGAGAAATGCTCTGCGTTGCTGGTAAGATGTTTCAGTCGTGTGGAGCGCGCGCATTACCCCCCCCCCCGCCACCACCTCACGCTTTACATGATGAGACAAGCGGGGGGGGGGGGGGGGGTTCTCGGATCGCGCGACACAAGCCTGGTGGCTTTGACATTCCTCCAGCTTGGAAGTGATCGCGCGCGTTGATATCAAAACGTCCGGTAGCAAAGTTTGTGGCCAGGGAGGCTCACCATGAATCTCTGAGGGGCACTGCTGAGATCCTGAGTTATAATCCGAGCGACAGCCACCCGTAATTGAACCATCTTCCCAAACGTTGATAATTTGACGGTCTCATTTCAGCTCCCCTGGACCTCAAACCCGACAGTGCCTCAGAAAAAGGAGGAGGCACCACCTGGCCAAAAACGTTTCGGTGGCCGGGAACTCGGCAGGCCGAGGCCGTTGTGAAGGTCGGTCGAGAGGGCCGACTCATCGAGGCCAATTTCAGCGTCCAGACCGGGTGCCTCGAAGCCGACCTGTCGGGCCGCGGTGCCGCTCAGGTTCCGCTCAGGTGACGCCGCTCAGGTGACGCTCAGGCGCCGCTCAGGTGCCGCCGCTCGGGTGCCGCTCAGGTGCCGCTCAGGTGACGCTCAGGTGACGCCGCTCGGGTGCCGCTCAGGTGCCGCTCAGGTGACGCTCAGGGCCAAGGACGAGAGCTGAGAACGGACGTCCTCGCGTCGGCCTCGAGGCCCGGGCACTGGTCCCCCCCGAGGAGCCCAAGATCAGAACTGAAGCTCGAGGTGTTGGTGTCTCCGCGCCTCAGGGAGCGCTGATCTCTCCTCCTCTCTTCGCAATCAGCGGCGCGGACACCCACAACATGCGTCCGGCCCGTAGCTCACAAACCCGCACTGACCAGCGTCCTGAACTATTTTTATTTTATTTTACCGGATAAGGCTCACCGAACGATGTAGCTCTTTTCCAGAAGTGGATTATCACGCGGAAATTTATAGCATCCAAATACTGTTAATGAGTTTATCTCGAGGACCCGGAGAAAAATCCACGCGACCATGGAGAGAACACGCAAACTCCTAATATACAGGAGGCGTCAGGGTCAGAATCGAACCCACAACCTCCTGTATACCAGGCGAGGTAGTTAACATCTCGTGGCGCCCACGGCTAAGAGACACCCACAACGTTTTAAACATTCCTGCGTTTTTTTCGCCTGTCAATCTACGGAGGGATCGTTCGCCAGGACACCCCAAATTCCCAATGCGGTTGCGTCCCTGGCCCCGAGCCAACAGTGGAAATTCTACATTCTCGTGACGGGGACACAGCAACAACGAATTTAAATCTCGGCTTGATTCACCAATGTGCAGGGAATCCACCACCGGCCGCTGGGTTGCAGAGACGAGGGCTTCTGCCAGTAACTTCACAGGCTCCGTGGCGCCAACTCTGCAGGCCACCTCCGGACATTGCAACGCGATGCTCTGCGCGATCAGACGGGAAGTTCTTCTGGTTTCTACTCGAAACTGCGTTTGCGCAAGCGCGATAATTGACCGCGGCAAATTAAAAACGAAGGATGGGCGACAGCGCGGCTAGCGAGCAGACTCGGCCACCTCGCCCACGGGGGGAGGGGGGGGGGCTCCTGCCGGCCGCTTCGTCGCCCGTCGACAGCTACAAGCAGCACCCCCCCGCCCGCTCCCGTGAGCGCGGTTCATCGGCCGTGTGGACCCAAGAGCTCCGACGTTTCAGGAATAACCCTGGTGTAACCGGTAAGCAGACACCGCGAGCATTCCGTTTGATGCCTTGCACTTTATTCAAACGAATGAATGACGCTCGTAGACCGCCGTCACGACGAGTGGCCCCAGCCCATTCAGACTGCGCACCACAAACCAAGACTCCTGGCGCGTTGACGGACAGCCGTTTGTGAACGGAGCTTGTCAACTTCTCCCGAAGTGCGACTGTGTTCGGCTGGATATATAAATAAAGCACGTGGTGTGTACCGAGATACGTCGTGCCCATAACGACCACTCTTACTAACTCGATCTCAAAGATACTTTTCTAACTTTTAAATACTTTTTGAACTAGATTACTCTGTTATTTGGCTTTGCTTCGGCTCTCAACCAACGTGAGCAGCACGTTCAAAACGCAGCCGCAAGAGGACTCACTCACTCATCGTTTCTGGAAGCGTCAACATATGACAACGCACTTGACGATCCCTCTCCACTGGCACCCTGCTCAGTTCAGAATCACCTTTAAGAGCGCACTCGCCGTTTGCAAAATGATTCACGGGCCCACCTCTCCCCTCCGATTTCAGTTGACTCCCTTCCCCGGGTTCTCCGTTCATTATAGATTTGAAATTTTCGTGACTGCAAGGATCCATACTCTTTGTTTCTTTCGGTAAAGTCACGTAGGTGAAAATAAAATAAAAACTCAATTAAATCACGTTTCGGAGGCAACAAGTCTGATGACGGAGGCTTGTGTTGCCTCCGAAACGTCGTGATTGAATTTAGTTTTCATTTTTATTTTATATTCTCCGTTCATCTTCGTCAGATGTTCTCCACCCTAAAACACCACTCGAACGCATTAGGTGAGCGAGCCTTCTCAGGCGCAGCCCCTACAGTCTGGAAAACCCTCCCACCACTCCACACCCGACAAATCGACTCCACAGGATCATTCAACTCCGAACTGGATGCCCTTTTTTATTCATCCGGGGCATACCGCTGAAAAATCGGTAATCGCTTTGTGGACATTTGAGAGATTGGATTAATGAGCCGTAACCTCCTGTGAGGGGTTCCTGGCTTGGTTGGGAAGTTGGGACTGTGGACTGGGATGTGTGGTCGTAGTCGCAGACCTCGTGGACTCAATTCTCTGTTGTTGATCACTTAATTGTTGTTCGTGTTGCTTTTGTTTTGGTGCCACTCCTTTATTCGTTTTTTTAAATTTCCTTGTGTTTCATTTGCTTGTTAGTGGCTGTACGTGGGATTTGGTCCTCATATATAATTAATGTACGGCGTTATGGGATGCTTTTAGCACGAAGGACGCTGTGTAAAATGAAAGCGTTATTATTTTTCTATTCAATTTCAAGACAAATCCACGTTCACAGCGCACGCATATATTGCAAAACACTGCTCTGCCCCACAGAGCAGCGGAGGGGAACGCAAGGCCCCTGCAAGGCCCCCCACGTAAGGCGCCCAACAAGGCCCTCCAACCGTCGATTTATACCATGCGGACCGCGGCCACATAGGGCCGACCGCTTCCAAACAGCCTGCCAACGATATTTTTCCGTCACCGCAATCATTTCAGCCGTGCTAATCTGTCACCAGAAGGGGGGGGGGGGTATTTTTGGACTGGCACTATGAGCATTTCCAGTCTCTGGATGTCACTGCAGGGGGCCTCCTTGCAGTGACGGACGCGACCGAGGTGTGGCATGTCTCGTTGTGGCTCCCTGCCAGAAGGGGTCTCTGAAGGTCCGATTCAGCCCCTGGAGCAAGCGGCTCCCCAACCTTTTGACGGGTTTTGTGGAACGCGTTCACAATCACTGGGAGGCCGATTAAAACAAATTCCATCAACTCCACGGGGAAATTAAAATACAACGAACAAAAGTGTAGAGACCACAAGAAGCACGCGTCGTGTAGCTTGTTGAAGCACCGTCGGCTGTATGCTGGAATTCTATTGGACTGCTTTTCCACTGTACAACCAAGCTGTACCGAGCCGGCCCCAGCTTGGGGAAGCCCCACGTTGTTTTTCCACTGCGGAACCCCGAGCTGTGCCGCCGATGGCCACGCGCGCACAATGTCTCGACGCAGGTCGACGATGCGGTCACACCGCGTCCGAGTTCCGTACCGAATTACCTCACAGGCACTAAGTGTCATCAACCTCCATCCCTGGCCCTGCTTGGCCCCGAGCCAGATTGCGACGTCGGGTGAGGCCGGGGTGTCAGGGTTTTTGTTTCCGGCACGACAGGGAAAATAGCCGGTGGAAACCAACCCGTGGTATCATGCCGTCTCGGTTTGGATGTGTCAGTGGAAAGGGCGTATTCAATCTCCCGCTGTTTGTGGTTTTACAATTTGAGAATACTGCAAGAACAATAATATATCAAAACATCTCCTTCATTGCAACTACAATTGGGAGCGTGTTAACTAACCTTTCACATTATTTGCTTTGTTGAGATGTTGTCAAATGTTCTAAATCCATTGCATCATTTCGGTGAAGCCACGATAGCGAATGATAGAATGGCTAATTTCTGAATTCTAAATCAAACTGCGACATACCACACATAATAAACGTTCGTGGGTTTACGCCAAACAATATGGTTTCATGCTACGATTTTAATGTAAAAAAAATCGTCAAACATCTCAAGCTAAAGGTATTCCTGAAAGCAGTTTCGACTCCGTGAAGATTCTCTCGTGGCTAAAGGTTGCAATGTTTAGCGGTGGCCGAATTGGACATCGCGACGGCAACAATCTGCATGGCTACTACAGTCGACCCTATAATTATCACGCTTTGCTTTAATGTCCGCGATAAAAGTAAATAACCCAACATTTTATTCCAATTGTTTCTCTTGGAAGTCCTTTGACACACACCGTGGTCGAGGACAAAAAAAAAACGCAGCCCTGCAATTTCCTGCTCACGCCACCGCTTGTGGAAGGAGCCCCCACGAGGGGGAGATGGAATCAAACCGGTAGCCTGTGGATCGCATATCCAGCGCGCTGGCTCGCCATCACGCCGCCGGCATCGTGTTGTTGTTGTTGTACCTTTCTCACCCCGTGCCCCTCCTGGGCACCTGTGGAATAAGAGTTCTAGAGCTCATCGGATTCTTCCAGCCGAAATAAAGATTCCAATTCTGAACATCGCACACCGGGTTGGGGGACCTCCACGAGGAGGCGTTGAACCATCGTACGACGCAACGTCTAAAACACGCACTCCTTGAGTCATACTTCCGCGGCGGATTGCACGAGCTCAAGAGATGGAACCCTCGGCACAAACTGCCCAACACGTATACGAAGAAATAATCCCCCTTGTTCAAAAGCGCGCGACGTGTTCATTCCAGCTGCGACACGGCATTGTAGAAAAATGATGCAAAAAGGGGGTAAAAACGAATGTTCGCGCGGTGTAGAAAAAATAACCGCTGTCAGACTCCCAAAAGCACCACCCCGGCCGCACACCCGCGTGGCCGCACGCACGGCGAGTCGTCCAGCGGCGCAGGCGGTGTGGCTGCACCAGCGCCCACTGGCCACCGCAGGGGGCTGGCTGGGAAGAGGAACTTGGATGGAGGTGGGGCTCCGCGATGCGCCCCCCGCGCCAGGCCCCCCCCCCCACCCCCGAGCCGATCGTGCCGCGCTGCGATCCGTGGAAGCGGCGGTGGGGTTACCTCCGACGGCTGCGTTTTGTTTCTCCGCGGCCAATCACAAGAAAAGTTTTTACCGACACCCAGCGGCCCTGCAAAACCCAACGGGGGCGAGTGCAGCGCTCTTGTCAATTCACCGTTGCATGGGCCGCGGAGACTGTCTGGCCGTACTTCCGCCACTTGGTCGGTGCGGGTTGGTGACGGCGGATAGCGCAGACGTCGCCGGAGCAGCAGCGCAGAAGAGCAGCGCAGCAATGGATTTTGCGGTTCTGCTCTTTGCTGCTGACCACGTAGACTGACAGCAGCAGCTACAGCGGCAGCAGCTGCTACAGTGGCATGTACAGCAGCCATAGTGGCAGCTACAGCAGCAGTTACAGCAGCTACAGTGGCAGCAGCTAGTGGCAGCTACAGCAATTACAGCAGCAGCGGCAGAAGCTACAGCTGCAGCAGCCGCCGCTGCCCATGCAATCATGGCGGTCGCCCACACAAGCGCACCGTCCGGGCTCTACCCTACTTAGCTTCCGAGTTCTGATGACAACGGGGGGGGGGGGGGGGGGGGGGGGGGTGGCGTTCTGAGTTATTTAGTCGACAAGCAAATAAATAAACTGCCTCTGATCGCACGAGCGCACGCCGTTGGTTGCTGGTAACCGGGAGTCTAGTGCATCAACACAACAACAAAGTACAAATTGGTTGTTTTTGTTTTTTTGCTTTTAAAAAGGCGGACCAAGGGAGCACCGTGCGTCAGGAGGGGCAGGTCATGTCGCTGGCGCGCAGCAGGTCAGGCACGACGCCCCAGTGCAGGTGCAGGATGCTGAGCACCACCATGACGTGCATGATCTGGTGAGAGTTGAGCCAGTAGTCAAAGCGCCCGGGCAGCCAGCGCTCCGGCACGCGGCTCACGTTAATGGCGCCGCCAGCCAACGCCATGAGGTCCATGAGCACGTAGTGGCGCAGGGACGGGTCGGCCACGGCGGCGCTGGCGGTGGCGCCGGAATCGCGGGATGACGCCAGCCCGGCCACCGCTGGACCACGTGCGAGACAGAGAGACACAGAGAGACACAGAGAGACAGACAGAGACACAGAAAGAGATATAAACAGAGACAAAGAGAGAGCACACATTAACAGGTGCTTACACATCAAGGCCCACTGAGCTCTATAGCACGTTTTCAGAAGCGACCTGGCGACCGCAAATGATAGCCCAACCAAGTGGTTCATCGTCGTGTGGAAATTTATAGCAGCCAAAATACGCGTGATGTTGATTCTAAATGGAGGGAAAAACCGCAGGACCCGGAGAAAAATCCACACGACCATGGGGAGAACATGCAAACTACAAACATACAATAGGTGTGTGAGGGTCGAGATCAAACCCACAACTTCCTGTATACCGGGCGAGGTAGTTAACATCTCGTAGCCACCGTGGCACCCCAATCACCCGGTATATGCCCGGTCCCATCAGAGCGAGAAGCTAAGCGAGGGTTTGAGCCAAGACAGTGCTGGATGGGCGACCACCAGCACGCACCAGCGTGACGTAGGCAAGGTGATGGTCGGCAGAGGGCGGCGCAGTTGGGACACGCTGCTGTGCGGCACGTCCGCACTTCCACGTGCAAGCTCCGCAAGCCTTCGCCAACCCAAATTGACCAGCGTGGTGAAGTATGGTCATATAGCCAGTGGCCCTCATCCAGCATTGAACTGACAAAAGGGCCAATGCTGCGCACACATTCAAGCAAACACAGCCGCTTTATATGGAACCAGTTACGCTTTCCCAGCATATGTTTTGCCCTCGTAGGTATTTAATTAGCGATCAGGACGCTCACACGGTGGATCCGTGGGCCCCGATGAGACTTCCAAGACCCGCGTAGCGGATCTGCCCAGGAGGGGGCGACTCGCGCGTCAGGGCCGGGATGCCAAGGGGGGCTCCCCCCATTTACGTCAACAAGCTTTGGGGCAAACCTTTCATCGGGTTTTGTCCGGTTTTCAATGCGTGTAAATCCCTCTCGCGGCAACGCAACTTCACGTTCGAGTTTTTTCACTCTGAAGACGCACGGATTAGCGAGCTCGTGGGTAAACGCTTTTGACACGAACGTCAAAAGCGCTCCGGCCGAAGGGCGCTCCTCAACGTGAAGCGCACCTCCGAGCGAGGTGGTGGCCAGGCCGGCCCAGCGGCATGTGTAGCAGGCCATGCGGAAGGCGGCCTGCCAGCCGAACGCTCGCAGGCGCGCGTTGTTGGTGGAGGCCGACACGGCCCGGTGCAGGGCGATCAGTGACAACGCCGAGTATCCCAGCATGCCGAGCGTCTGCAGCACGGGGCGGCACAGAAAGGAGCAGTAGATGATGGAGAGCGCTCCTGCAAGAGAGGAGGGCGAGGGGCACAAGGGGGACAGCATCACTCAGCCACGTAAAACAACGACAACAACCGCTGTTCAACACCCACCGAGTAAACTCAACTATTTTCAGAAGCGACCCGGCCGCAAATGATAGCATACAGGCCTCAGAGTCGGGATCTGACCCACGACCTCCTGTATACCAGGTGAGGTAGTTAACATTTCGCCACCTCGGCGGTAACATCACCATGGCTCGTGCCAAGCTCGGGGCACCTTGAGGCCACGTGAAGTGTCGAAGGCTCGCTGGCAGGTGGTCACGGGACAGACCCACGTGCCTTGGGCGGTGTTGCCATGGTGACGTGGGAACATAAACCAAACGGTGCGTTCAACCACGTACACACAAACAGTTTAGGGAGGTGCATATTTTTGGCACCGTGGATTTTCATTCTCCGAGGGCCGAAGTGGGCCGTTTATGCATCACAACCAGAGGCACGAGGAGGGACCACGAACAAGCGGCAGCAGCAGCAGCCAGGCAGTGAGGAGCCGGTGCCAACAGTTGGCAAAGCTCTGCGGTCCTGTCCATATTCAGCTGTTTTCAGCCAATGAACCCTCTCCCGTTCTGAGACATGCTGCAAGTTGCAGGGTGAGGTCCCGTTCACCGCTGAATCTCGGAACGCGCGAGCGGTTTGGCGTTAATTTGATTTAGAGAGGCGCAGCAGCGCCGTTGTTTTTAAAGACATTGTTCTGTACTCACCGCAGAGAAGCGGAGCGACACGACCGCCGCGCTCTATGATGGCCGGCACCAAACCGTGCCGCACGCCCTCCCGCACGCCCTTGCGGGAGCCTCGGTACTGATAAAGTTAATTTAATTTAGTTTTTCTTCCGGTTCACGGACGTCACCGGAATGGAAAAGGATTAATGAGTATTTCAGCCAACATCTGTCTAGGCCAGCGAATCAGAAAATATTTCCGCACGCAGGGACAAACACATCGAAAATAACCCTCGCCACGGCCATCGGTTTAACGCCATCGGTTTAACGCGATCGCGTGCGCACCAAGTGACGTGATGGCGCAGATGCCGCACATGTCGAGGCAGAGCAGGCGCCGGTAGACGGCCGGGCCCCCCGTGTGGTTCATGAAGAGGTGGTAGAAGACGCTGCCGAGCGGCGGGCACGCGCACGCCAGGCAGTGCGCGGCGGCCAGCCAGGGTGTGTGCAGCCGGCTCCAGGGCAGCGACGGCGGCAGCACCAGCAGGAACCACAGCAGGGGCAGGCCTGCGCCGCCCGGCCGCGGCACAGAGACGGGGTGGAGGTGGGGGGGGAGACGCATTAAGTTGAAACAATGGGGGCGAGTTTCTCCAAAACATTTCAGATAATTTAGAGGTTACCCAGCACTCCACATCAAAAGGCAGCAGCAGCAGCCAGGCAGTGAGGGGCTGGCATCAACAGTTGGCCAAGCTGTGTGGGCCTCTCTATATTAAGCTGTTTTCAGCCACGGGGAGGAGGTGGGGTGGTCGAGCCGAGGAAATTCTACCAGGCAAGGCGCCACCGAGCTACGTAGCTCTTTCACAGAAGCGACCTGGCCACACAATGATGGCTCAACGAGGTGACGACTTATTGTCGTGTGGACATTGATGGCAGCCAAACTACTCCTATTAAGGTAATGGCGGGATCAGGAACGAGACGTCGTCGTGGCGCAAACCGCCGATGCCACTCGCCACCGACGCGCCCCACCACCCTCCACCCGATCCCGTGGCCACGGTGCCTTGACGACCTCCAAGCCCTGCCCTGATCAGCATCCTGTTGGCCACCGGACTCGTGGAGACCACTCTGATGCCTCTCACGGCCTCCGTTCACCTTGCTCACACGTCCCACGTATTGTACGTTGAACTTCTTTTTCACCGTACTAATTGCAGGTTCCGGGTAAAGGACAAACTAAATGCAAAAATCAGTTTTCAATCTCGACTGAACAGCATAGCTCCAGTGGCTTCCTATCGCAAGAGCGTTCCAGATGGCCGCAGAAGCGCATCTGAAAGTGCGCAATGCGGTCTTTCTTCGATGGCTAGCCAAAAGCCGCTGTGAGGATGACCGGAGTTTGCGCGATGGTTTACGCTCCTTAAACAACCATTTTGCCTGCTCATGCCTAAAAAAACTTGCCCTGCAATGTTCCCTTTAAGACTTCCGCGTTGAATTTCCTCTCTCGCCAAAAATCCCCAGCATTCGTCTCAGACAACAAAGCTAAAATGCCGGCAACTCCTCTTGGAGCTGCTGAGTTAGCGTCCAGCTCTCCAATCCATCAAACACCTGTGGACGGTCAACCAATCTCCAAGCGTGCGTCATGGCTCCAGGTGGTTTAATCAGCGAGGCCGGCTCACAGCCAGAATGCTGTCGCCTATCGGACACCAGGATATGGTGATACTGTGGTACATGGCACGGTATGAGCGCCACGCTCATCGTATCGCCGTCTTGCAAGTTATCATTCTATCGTGACTATTGCGTTTGATTTCGGAAAAATACAAAGGAAGCAAAGCGCTCGATCAATCCTTGTTAAGTAACACAAAGCATTTCCTCCTTAATTTTGGAGCTTTCGTGACTGCAGGAATTATTCTTTGGTTTTTTCGGTAAAGTCACGTATAAAAATAAAATGATAAATTAAATAATAGCATACGACGTTTCGATTGCAACACAAGCAATCATCATCAGGTATAATGAAATAGCGACATAGAATATAACCAGAAAACTATAGACAGACATATAAGCAGACAGATATCACCAAGATACATAGAGAGAGCAACCCAGGTACAGAGAGAGGTGATCGTCTCTGTGGGGTGGCCTTAAATAGACAGCGGGGGGCGGAGGCAGAGAGAGGGAGGGGGTAGGGAAAACATTTACATGTCAATGAGTACGAAGGGCTGGGAGTAAGGTAAGCAGGCTTAGAGGGAGACAGAACACACTAAATTAAATACTTTGCTAGGTTATTTAATTTAGTGTGTTCTGTCTCCCTCTAAGCCTGCTTACCTTACTCCCCTCCCTTCGTACTCATTGACATGTAAATGTTTTCCCTACCCCCTCCCTCTCTCTGCCTCCGCCCCCCTCTGTCTATTTAAGGCCACCCCACAGAGACGATCACCTCTCTCTGTACCTGGGTTGCTCTCTCTATGTATCTTGGTGATATCTGTCTGCTTATATGTCTGTCTATAGTTTTCTGGTTATATTCTATGTCGCTATTTCATTATACCTGATGATGATTGCTTGTGTTGCAATCGAAACGTCGTATGCTATTATTAAATTTATTATTTTATTTTTATACGTGACTTTACCGAAAAAAACAAAGAATAAAGCATTTCCTGCAGGATGGCATGGCGGTTCATGACGTCATCGTTTCTGTAAAGTAAACGCATTGTCCCGGTGAGGCCGCTGCGATGTCAGTGGTGCACATCAACAAGAAAATCTCCGCACATTCGTCAACAATGTGTGGCATTAAAAGTAAAAATATATATAAAGCTGACGTTCCGGGCGATGGTCATTCTGCTCAGCACAGAGAGGCCAGGAATAGAGTGGTCATTATTTTTGCTTAATGAGGTGCCTTGTGTGTAACAGGCAGCACGCACGTGACGAGTGTAATGTATCGGCAGGCTGCAGAGACGACAGTGTCATGTGAACAGCTGTCGCAGGACACTTTCAGTAATCTCCATTCAGAATCAGAATCTGTATTTATCCTGGAGGAATCCAATGAGCCACGAAGCTCTTTTTCACAGATGTCCAGTTGGAGTGGGTCAGAACGATACAACAACAAACAATGGCAATATTCACATCGGCGGTAAAACAGAGCGAGGAAAACAAAATACAATGAAAAACTAAATCTAAATGAGAATGACAAAGTTAGGAAAAACTTTTGCACGTTCACTGCCATTGGAATATATCGTGGTAGTTTCCCCCCAAGTGGAGCCGTGCAGGAGTGGCGTGCAACTGCTACGCAGCGCATGCGGCACAGAGGGGGCCCTGTGTGGCCATCGCCACGCACGCTGTGGGGAACATTTCTATTCTGACGGGAAACAGTGACGACCTCGGGAGGAGGTAGACGAGGGAGGGGAGGGAGGGGTAGAAGGTGGTGGTGGCGGCTCAGAGGTCAGAGCGTTGAGCCAACACTGCTGAGATCGTGGTTTCAAATCCGGGTTGTTTAAACAGTAATCTGGAAACCAGTAACAGTTCTTTGTTTTTTTCGGTAAAGTCACGTATAAAGATAAAATAATAAATTAAATAATAGCATACGACGTTTCGATTGCAACACAAGCAATCATCATCAGGTATAATGAAATAGCGACATAGAATCTAACCAGAAAACTATAGACAGACATATAAGCAGACAGATATCACCAAGATACATAGAGAGAGCAACCCAGGTACAGAGAGAGGTGATCGTCTCTGTGGGGTGGCCCTAAATAGACAGCGGGGGGCGGAGGCAGAGAGAGGGAGGGGGTAGGGAAAACATTTACATGTCAATGAGTACGAAGGGAGGGGAGTAAGGTAAGCAGGCTTAGAGGGAGACAGAACACACTAAATTAAATAACCTAGCAAAGTATCGAAATGTTATGTAAAACGACACAGAGAGTCGGTCAACACACAATTAACGCATAGCCTGGTCGATTACGTATTTCAAAGATTGCTAAGTTAGAATTTAAGTGTGAAAATTCCAAGCAAAGACAAAACATAAAAACAAGAGGAACGGAGACACACAGACAGAGCAGAACCTAAGAACGATAAAAAACGAGTGTAGACAGAAAGAATTACACTAAATATACAGGCAGAGAGAGAGAACAAAAACCCAGAGAGAGAGAAAAAGGTAAACTTGGAACTTTCCCGTAGAAGTGGTTCAATCTTAATTTTGGAGCTTTCGTGACTGCAGGAATTATTCTTTGTTTTTTCGGTAAAGTCACCGTTCCTCTTGTTTTTATGTTTTGTCTTTGTTTGGAATTTTCACAAATAAATTCTAACTTAGCAATCTTTGAAATACGTAATCGACCAGGCTATGCGTTAATTGTGTGTTGACCGACTCTGTGTCGTTTTACATAACATTTCGATACTTTGCTAGGTTATTTAATTTAGTGTGTTCTGTCTCCCTCTAAGCCTGCTTACTTTACTACGCGTCCCTTCGTACTCATTGACATGTAAATGTTTTCCCTACCCCCTCCCTCTCTCTGCCTCCGCCCCCCTCTGTCTATTTAAGGCCACCCCACAGAGACGGTCACCCCTCTCTGTACCTGGGTTGCTCTCTCTATGTATCTTGGTGATATCTGTCTGCTTATGTGTCTGTCTATAGTTTTCTGGTTAGATTCTATGTCGCTATTTCATTATACCTGATGATGATTACTTGTGTTGCAATCGAAACGTCGTATGCTATTATTTAATTTATTATTTTATCTTTATACGTGACTTTACCGAAAAAAACAAAGAATAATTCCTGCAGTCACGAAAGCTCCAAAATTAAGATTGAACCAGTAACAGTGTTCAGAATCGGTATCCGGTAACGGTTTAAAGTGGAATGTTGACTGGCACGCACCAAACTTGCATACGACACGGCGGACCGAGTGACCCGTGCGGTACATTTGCCCTCGTTTCCGGGTTAAAAGGCAAAGGTGCGGCCCCGCAATCGCATGCTTTCCCCGACCGCCACTGCTGAGGGAAGGGCCTCCACTGTAGGAAGCTCTAAAAAGAGTATTTGGTCTACTCTTCCACGCCTTGGAAGCGGTGGGCGTACCACACCACACGCGACTTTGCCAATCGACGAACCGCTGGCAGCGGGCAAGTGAAATGTACGGTCAATAGAGCGAGGCACCACAAGAGCACCGTGACCGCTGGCGGTTTGCTGCAGAGAGAAGCCAGAAGGCTCCTTGTGTGTCACAGGCAGTGCACAGCGGCGTGACACTGCTGAAAGTGTCACTGCTGAAAGTGTCACTGCTGAAAGTGGCACTGCTGAAAGTGTCACTGCTGAAAGTGTCACTGCTGAAAGTGGCACTGCTGAAAGTGGCACTGCTGAAAGTGTCACTGCTGAAAGTGGCACTGCTGAAAGTGGCACTGCTGAAAGTGGCACTGCTGAAAGTGGCACTGCTGAAAGTGGCACTGCTGAAAGTGTCACTGCTGAAAGTGGCACTGCTGAAAGTGGCACTGCTGAAAGTGGCACTCCGTGGCGACCCGGTGAGCGACACCGCGGGCGCGTCGCAGCAGAGTTGGCGCCGGCTCCAGCAGCGCCGCCCGCCCACGACCCGTGGAGCCAGCGAGACGCGAGGAGTCCGACCACTTCGACGTCCGCCCGCCTCTGCGCCCCTTCGCTCGCTCGGCTCCGACGCCTGCGGCACCACCACACTATCCGCTGTACCCCATTGCCATTAGCAGTTCCACAGTGATATTCCTGCCCCTTACTTGAAGTCTGTATGTTGTATGAATGTACGTTGAGCTTCTTTAGCACCGTACCGTAGCCAACCGTGCTAATCACAGGTGCGGGGGAAGGACAACAAACCAGACACCTCGCCTGGAGCACGTTCACAACATCCAATCACCCGCACCGACCTCAAGCCCGACAAGTCGACCTCACGCTCCCCCCGCGCCGACTCCCACGCCGCCCACCGTCGTCCACCTCGAGGGGTCCGTGCTCGTCCGGCGTCACTCGCCTCGGCAGCCGGCCCGAACGGCAACCGAGGAGCGGTGTGGACTGTGCGGCACGCTGCGGAGGATCAGGGAGGACTGCCCTCTCGTGCGCACTGGAGGGAGGACCCGGGAGCCTTGAGGGCCGCACGCGCATGCGTCGTGGGGGGGGGGGGGGTCACGCCGTGGCCTGCGCGGTGCACGTGGCGCTCGCAGGCCTGGACGTGGGCCGCCGTGGAAGCCGTCTATCCAACCTGGCACCACCTCCAGGTCTTGTAGACATCTCCTGTCTCTCTCACCGTGCCGCATCCGACTCTTCGACACATCTTCTCTCCGTAGAGCTTCATGCCTTGGCTTGATCGCACCTCGGAGACGTTCCTCGTTCGGCGACCGTATCGGGATGCCGCTGCACACCTCCCTCCCACTGGTGTCCTCCTCGTTGACAGCCGCTGTGTCAATCAATCCACTGGTGGACCAAGGACTCCCCACGCCGTGCGGGTCGCAAGGATTATGTTGACCATACTTCACCACAATATCAAGGGCATCATTACAGAGACGAATATCCACTGTGTAACCTTTACCAAGCCAGAGCTACATCTGACCACCTTTGTATCCCCCAACGCTGATATTTACACACTGCACCATGTACTCCTTAAAGGCTAAATCGACCCAAGAGATGCCAAGAAACCGGTTAAAATATTTCGCCACCGTTATTGCTTGCGAGCGGGAATCCAACTCGGGTTGCGAGGTTATAGGCAACCACTGCACCACCGCTCCACGCAACACACACACACGACTGGGTGTCTCACCTGCTGCTGGTGGTGGTGGCTGCCATTCCGCGGTGGTGCTGCATGGTGGTGCTAGAAGAGGAGAATGACCGCTGCCAACCACAGCACGTAAATGAGCAGCATGGCCAGAATGTCGTAGTAATAGACGAGCGAGCCAGAGCTCGGCTTGCTCACGGCCTTGCGCGCGTCCATGGCCAAGCAGTGATCACCACCCCTCTACAAAACAAAGACAAAGATCCCCCGGATAGCCTTTTACAGACTGTTGGGGCAAGTGCTGTTAGCGAATAGCAGCTATGAAGGCCGGCACAGCACACGAAGGGGGTGGGTGGCCAGCAACCACCCGGCCGCCTTTGTCTCTCCATAGCGGCGATGCTTACACACCGCACCAGGTACTCATTTGAGGCCGAGTCGACCTAGGGGAGGCCCAGGACCGGTTCAGATACTTGTCACTGGTGTCGGCTGGGAATAGAACTCGGGTGGCCGGGGTCGTAGCGGAGCGAGCTAACGACTCTACCCTAACGCTCTCAACGTGCGCATACACACTCGAGACCCCAAAGATTCCTGCATAAGGCGAGGCACCCGAAACGTCCAGAACCTGCCTTTACTCACAGTACCAGTGCAGAGGACTTCCACCCACCCACGCAATAAAAAGTAAAGGTGCAGCCCTGCAATGACTTGCTCATTCCACTGCTGGTGGAAGGGCCTCCACTGGATGGAGCTCTAGGGAGCTCCTCTACCTTGAGGCTAGTTTGGCCTACTCCTCCAAACTGCAACCAAATCCTTGCTGATATAAGCCGGTCGGCCGAAACGTTGAGCTATTCCTTTCTACTCCGCTACAGCAAAGGGAACCCCACGACACCGAACGGCTTCCTGAAGGCCGCACACCACCAGCTGGTGGACCCAAGCCGTCAGCTGTTCAGCCCAAGACATCGCGCGGATGAAGGCCAATCGGCCCAAACGCCGAGAGCCGAGACACCGTCTTCACGGCGTCTTCCGTCAACTCCCATGCGCGCCTGCCCCAATACGAACACAAAACACCACGCTCAGCCGTGTCCACACACGTAGCAGCAGCAGCAGCAGTTCTGTGTGATGTCCACTCGCCTGCCCGCTTGCTAGACACATGAATCTTGCCTCGCCTTCCCGTCAATGCACAAGCGCGAGCCAGCGCTGCTGATGATCGAGCCGCGTGCAGTTACAGCAAGTCCCGGGCCCTGAAGACTCAAACATCGCAAAGCCTTCTGGCCTCCACATCCCTCGTGGTGCAACCATCAGCCCCATCAGAACGTCAGCAGCCCGATGCTGCTCCTTCATCAGTGGACAGTCACAGCCAAGCCACAGCAGTGCCACTGTGGCCATGCGACTCAGACGATAAGACAATTGTCTCAAGATGTCTCGGACCCTCTGGTTGCAGCGCGTATCCCGTAGCACGCGGTGACACGTGGAGTCAACCCGCGGTATCGTGCAGCACAGACGCACGAGTGACCACCACAGGCTATGATGGCCACCACGTGTGAGCCCAGTGTCTCAACCATGAGCCAACAGCACGAGCGGTGAACACAACATCTCACGCACTACGAGTTTACACAATCTCAACAGAGTTTACACAATATCCACGAGTTCCACCTCGTCCACCACGGGGAGAGGCGTCCACCTCGTCCACCACGGGTCCGCGCTCACCGCTCGCTCCGCGCCGCCTCCCCCCTTAGAGACCCCTCAGCGCTCCCCAACAGACGACAGCGGACGAGACGAGCGAGGCGGAGTGAGAGAGCGAGGGGAGAGGGCGAAGGGAGAGAGCGAGGGGAGAGAGTCTGAGTGAGCGAGGGGCGAGGGGAGAGGGCGAGGGGAGAGACGAATGAGAGAGTGTGAGTGAGCGAGCGAGGGGAGCGAGCGAGGGGCGAGCGCTGAGTGAGCGAGCGAGGGGAGAGAGCGAGGGGAGAGACGAATGAGAGAGTGTGAGTGAGCGAGCGAGGGGAGCGAGCGAGGGGCGAGCGCTGAGTGAGCGAGCGAGGGGCGAGCGGAGAGAGCGGCTCCGAGGGAGAGAGGCCCGGAGACAGCGGGACCAGGGAGCCGGGGCGTGACGTCACCACGCGGGGCGGAGACGAGGGGGTGAGGGGCGGGGGTGAGGGGCGGGGGTGAGGGGCGGGGGTGAGGGGCGGGGGTGAGGGGCGGGGGTGAGGGGCGGGGGTGAGGGGCGGGGGTGAGGGGCGGGGGTGAGGGGGGTGCAGGCTCCACGTGAGGTGCTACTCGCTAACAGCCCTTGCCCGTACCGCCTCGTGCAGGTTATACTGTGCCGGGGCATCTTTGTATTTGGAGGCTTCAACGTGGAGGGGAAGGGTCTGGGGGACGAGGTGGGGGGATGGGGGTGGGTGGGGGTGGCGAGGAGGAGGAACGGGGGCGGCGTGAAGAGACAGAACGAGCTGGGAGTGGGGCTGGGGCTGGAGACGAGGTGGAGCCTGGGTGAGGAGGCGGTGGCTGGGTGAGGAGGTGAGTGGAGCACGCGGGGGGGGGGGGGTAAGGGGCACTGAGTGCGCGTGGCCGGCGGTGGAGATGTTTGCTGCTGATGCTGCTGCTGATGATGATGCTGCTGCTGATGATGATGCTGCTGATGATGCTGCTGCTGATGATGATGCTGCTGCTGCTGATGATGCTGCTGCTGATGATGCTGCTGCTGATGATGATGCTGCTGCTGCTGATGATGCTGCTGCTGATGATGATGCTGCTGATGATGATGCTGCTGATGATGCTGCTGATGATGATGATGCTGCTGATGATGCTGCTGCTGATGATGCTGCTGATGATGATGCTGATGATGCTGCTGATGATGCTGCTGATTGCTACTGCTGATGATGCTGCTGCTGATGCTGATGATGCTGCTGCTGATAATGCTGCTGCTGATGATGATGCTGGTGGTGGATGCTGCTGATGATGCTGCTGCTGATGATGATGCTGGTGGTGGATGCTGCTGATGATGATGCTGGTGGTGGATGCTGCTGATGATGATGCTGCTGGTAGTGGATGCATGGCTGTGCGAGTCGCAGGGATGTGATGCCGCTGAGATTCGCCCACGAAGAGCGGCGACGCAGCTCGCGAGCCCGCAGAGCGCGACTCCTGCGGCGTCGTCCGCAGCAGCAGCAGCATCATCATCAGCATCATCATCATCATCATCAGCAGCAGCAGCATCATCATCAGCAGCAGCACGCTGCACTTTGCTGCCCAGAGGTCGCCGATTCGACTCACATCTCCCGGCGCGGCAGCGTTGTTTTATTTGATCCCTCCAGCGTCATCAACCTCGGTTGTCAATCGGCAGACCGCGTGTGGTGGGGGGGGGGTAACTCCCGCCGCCTGAATAAATTTGGAGTCTGCGTGCCGATCTCACCGCGTGGTCGCGTGGATTTTTTTGCTCCGGGTCCTCCGGTGTTTCCCTCCACATTTAGAATCAACAACCCGCGTGTAAGAGTATTTGGCTGCTACAGATGTTCACACGACGATAAGCCCCTTCGTTGAGCTATCATTTGTGGCCAGGTCGCTTCTGAAAAAACAGCACGGTGGGCCTTAGCTGCTGGTAAAATACAAAAATAATTTAGTTTATTCAAAGACATTTGTCCAGCGTGGAGCTGCCTTTGATGGGCGGCGCTGTGCATGTTGACGATGGTCGTGGTTGGCACGCACCACTCGAGGACATTGCGCAATCCTCCGGTGCGATTCGGTCACCGAATCGCCAAGACGATGCAACTACACCCAGCGAGGGAGGAGGCCACATCTCAAATCACCGGTCGCGACTCTCATCTCGCACTTGAATTCCAGAACTGGAATGTCCACGGTGCGCTCCACGCCGCCGACGTTGGTTGGCATCGGCCGCGGTGCGGTGCCGGTAATTCGAGAGGGGAAGGAATTGAACAAAGAGGGGGGGGGGCCCTACCCAATCCTCTTAAGAGCGCCCCCCCCCCCCCCATCAATCCACCACCAACCCTGCTACTCGAGACGGCACCCCGATTCCCCATCAGCACCAGTGGCGTCGTAATGACATCAACAGCTCAGGGAGTGCGGCAATCGACCAAGGTGGGGGGCCCCTATTTGCGGAAGCCCAAACGTGACGACTCCAATGAAAATAAAACGTGGAACGTGAACGAAATTGTTTTCATAAACAAATTAAACGTGGTTGTCCATCGGGCCCCTAACTCTTTGGGGGGGAGGGGGCAAGGCAGCCCCTTCCCCCACGTGAGTTACGCTGCTGGCCACCAGCAAGGTGGTAGATGCGTCTATCCCACTGCCACCACCTGTGTGCGTTGACAGGAACCGGTCCTGGGCCTCCCCTAGATCGACTCCACCTCAAATGGGCAGCCGGGAGCGGTACTGGCCACTAACCCGCCATCGTGTGCCGCACCGGCCTTCATGGGCGATTCGCTCGATATCCCAACATTTCCAAAACGGGTTGGAGGGATATCTTTGGAGATGGCTCCTGAATGAGCCTCACCACGGGGCTCGCAACAAGCCCGGGCAGAAGCTGCCGTCGACTCGAGTGGCGCAGCGCGTGACTCACGGGCCCCTCGGGCTTGAGAAGGATTGTCCCCGGGGTAGTTGACGCTCGGTGGCGTAGCTGTCGGGCAGAGGGGCGCAGGCGGTGCAAGCGCGCCAGGGCCCGCGTGGGGCAGGAGGGGGCCCAGGCTTCGTGCCAGGAAGAGGCGGTGGGGGCTGGGGGGCCGGATTGGAGATAGGTGGGGGACCCCATTAATTCCTCGCACAGGGCCCGTGATGCCAGCCGCTGTACAGTATAAAGCTGTGGGGTGAATCACAATATTTATACTGCAGGAGGAGGAATACGATGACGTATGAAGCTCTTTTTCACAGATTTCCAGCCGGGGCGGGTAAGAACGTCGCAACAACAAACAACACAAATACACGAGAGTAGTGCAAAGACAGGTGAACAAATCACCCAGAAACATCAAAATAAAACTCATCCATCCGCATCCTACAAGGCAATGCCCACTGAGATGTGGGTCTGCCTGGCTCTATTGTTATTTGTCCTGAGGCTCGTTTACCCAGGTAAAGCCTCAGAGTCTCAAGACTCTTAATTCAGGAGGGTCCTGCCAGGTTTTCTCGGACGGGGGCGATGATGCTGCTGCTGCTGCTGCCATGTGCGCCATCCCTGATGTTCGGGGCCCATGGACCGGCTGTGTGTGCAGAGCGCTCCAGCTGGGCAAGAGACGGTTGCCAAGCAACGTGAGCATCGCAACCCGCGGCCTATGCCTCTCACCTCGGGCCCCTTTTGACAATAACTCGAGCACCCGTGATACATTGATTAACTTAATTTCAACTTGTAACACGCCGCCAGAGAGTCAGGGAGAGAACCAGACAAGCTGGGAGGCATGCAGCAGCAGCCAGGCGCCGAGACAACGCCAAAAGTTGCCCAAGCTCTGCGGTTCTCTATATAGTAAGATGTCAACCGGAGAAAGCGTGCGTGTGCGAGGGGGCCCCACTCTCTCCCTGTACAGATGCAACAGATGGAGATTTGTCCGCATCTGCTGTAGCGCCTTCTCGACCCCCACGGGAAGGGAATTTCATACGACACCTTTGTGCGGTAATCCACTAACCCTTGCTGCTGCCTCGACAGCGCTGGACCGCTACGGGCAGCCACGTGTAGCAGCGTAGCAGCGCAGCCACCGCCGCCGCTGCTGCGGAGCAGTCAAGCGGCGGTAATGGGCACTAACCCTATGTCCACGTAAACCCGGATTAAGCAGTAATTCGTTTCCATGTGCGTTGGCACAATCCGGCGTCCATGAAGGACGTTAGGGGCTCAGGTGATGCTGCGATTAACGCCACCAATCCAATTAGACGAGGCGAGGCCCCATTTCCCCTGCCCTCCGTCATCAAATCCTGTCTCAGCTCGCGATCCCATCGGCCCGGCCGGGCATTGACAAAACCCGAGCGCTGTGCTGATGTCACCATCTGTGACTAAGAGTTTAAAAAAAGAGAAGAGCTGGAACCGCCATTGCCCCATCCTCCACTGACCAGCGTGGTGAAGTATGGTCAAGCGACCCTCAAGACCGATGCGGTATGGGGAGGCCATCATCCAACAGTGGAATGACCAAGGGCTGTGTATCAGAGGTCGCAAACGGGTTTTGATACCTTACCCGTACCCGGCCGCACCAGGGTCGCAAACGGGTACCCGTACCCGGCCGTACCCGTACCCTACACCCGTACCCGGCCGGGTACGGGTATCGGGTACCTGATTGCGACCTCTGGGATGAAGCCATGTTGCAGGCGCGGGTGGGTTGATTCTAGGAACTTGAACTGTGAGAAGAGACAAGACGTTGGGAAATGAGTGACAAACGGTTACTCACCAGTGACTCACGGCCTACCCGTACCCGGCCGCACCAGGGTCGCAAACGGGTACCCGTACCCGTACCCGGCCGGGTACGGGTAGCCGGGTATCGGGTAGGGTACGGGTATCGGGTACCCGGTTGCGACCTCTGCTGTGTATGCTTTTTTATCAACGATAACCCTGATCGTTGTGTCGTCGTCTTTTGGCCTCTGAACAAAACGCTCGGAATGGGCCCGGTGACATCAGAGCCCAGAAGCTAAGCAAGGCTC